TAAATTTCGTAGCCGAACTGGCGATTAGTTTGCTAATGATTGTTTAGTGGGATACATTGAAAGAGACTTACTTAAGAGTTTAGACAACGAATGTTTTTGTATTTCTTTCATAACATGAAATCCCATTGTGGTTGCTTATGAAAACAATTATTGTATTAGTCAGTTACTTTTTTTATCTATGAATAAATTATTTGGATATAATTAGTTTTAGTTATATTTGTTAATTAAGTATTCATATATTTATATTATGAAAAGATAACAGGGGTAGTTTCAAATTCTGCTTACGCCACTGAATCCATATCTAACTTTTTAGTTTGATTATAAATTGAACTCGTATAATTGGATACCCAAAAGAAAATGAATATTCGATCCTAATGTAGTTTTTCCTTTATTTCTTTGTTACGAAACAAACAGAAAGGCAAACCGGAGAGGTTGGCCTAGTGCTAATGTTGAGAAGAGAACATCCGTCATACTCTATGTTCGAACGTTGAAATCAACAACCAATGGAAAAAAAATACAAAGTTCTTGTGTGTGCAATCCTCTGATGATATCCCAAATAGACCCCATTTGGATCTCACCCAAATAATCAGTTGACTCAAATTTGACCCAATTCAAACCCAACACAAATTCAAAATTATTGAAAATGTATTTAGATCCATTCCAATACCCATATAGATCATAACAATTAAATTAAATTAAATTACCTAACAAATCGACGCATTGTCAATTTGTCTTGTCATGTGTGCCTACAACATGAAAAAAAGGGACAAAAGAGAAAAGGAGGGGTAATTAACATAAAAGGTCACAAACCTTTACATTTAGTACAAAACGGTAACAAACCTTTAATTTGTAAAAAATCGGTAACAAAAGTTTGAGCAAATATCAAAATGGTAATTCCGTCACTTTCCATCCGAATTTCCGTCTCCTTTGCTTAGTCAGCATTCCACATCATCAAAACTATTAATAAACAAATCCAAGATATTAATAAAAAGATTTACCCAACTCACCGGTCCACCCCCACCCAAACCGTAAGATCCACCCCCTCTTGATTTTGGAAATAAATCCCTCTCATACCCAATTCCCATCACCCATACCCAATCCCCTTCGCTCTCAAAAGAGAAGGAATTGGCTGGAGGGTCAAGATTTGGGTGGTTGCTGTCCCAAATTCATTGTTCAATCCCATGGAAGTCGTAGAGATTTTCTTGTTCCTTTGCCTCACGCTAGTTCTTCTGCGATCCACACAAGCAGGGCAGCAGAGGAGTGATAGATCGGAGCTCCTCCCACATCGATGTCATCTCGGGCCTCGGCACCCGTCCCCTGGGACCATCTTTCTTGACGGTGATGACTGGTCGCGCAGAGGGCGGTGAGGCTCGGACGGAGATGGGTCGTTTTTGGGTTTGCAAGGGTCGCCGGTCGTTATTTTATTTTATTTTTGCAGGGCGGGGGGGTTGTGTGTTTGGGAAGGGGGCGTAGACAGGGGAAGGGCCGGGAGAGAGTTTGGCGGGTGGGAGGAACGGCGACGACGAACTTGGAGGGAAGACGAGGCTCGGGCAGAGCTGGGTCGTTTCTAGGTTTGCAATTGCAATTGCCGGCGGGCGACGGCAAGGTAAATGGCGGCGAACCAATTAAAGGAAGGAGAAAGGGGGATTTGGTTCTGAAATCATGAGGCGAGGTGGGTTTTAGAGATGCAAATCTATAAATTAAAAAACAGATGGGGAGCTTGGTTCTGGGAGAAGGTAACCATTGTCCATGGTGATGGGGAGGTGGGGATTTGTTTTCGAAGAAATTGCGGGTGGGTCTTAAAGTTTGGGTGGGTTGAGTTCAGCTCAGGCGGTTGGTTAGATGATTTTTTTCATTAATATAATTGCTGATTTGGATTGTTGAACGGTCAAATTTAACAGAAATTTGGATGGAAATGGACGGAATGATCTATTTGTTATTCACTCAAACTAATTTGACTAAAACGTGCAAAATTAAAGGTTTGTGACCGTTTTGTACAAAGTGGAAAGGTTTGTGACTATTTATGATAATTACCCAGAAAAGGAGGCTGGGAGGTAGATAGTAGCATAAGTAGGCTTAATGTTTTTATATGCATGTGGGGCAACCGGCAGGTGGGAAAACTACTGAAGGACGGCCGCCGGCCGGCGACCCCTCTACTGCCGCATCAACGACTTCATTTTTGAAGAAGTAATTTACGCTACAAAAAGAGGATGAGGGTGATCTAGATGGTGCTATTAATTCAGTGAATCTGAATCGGGTCATTCCAAGCTGCCATTTCCAGTCTTGATGGAATTCAACTATATTCCTTCCGATAATAGGCAAGTGAAAACCAGCAGATCAGCTTATAAATTCCAGTACGAATGGTAGTTGAGAAATTGCTTAAGAGCCCTCGTGATTAGTTTCTCTGTTTGGTGGGGAGGGAGAGTAACAACTTTCGACAAAAACCAATATACTTGAAAATTCCCGAACTTGACTATCTTGTTGAATGTGATGGAGTGTAGTATTTTTTTTTTTTAATGGTTGAGTTTTTATTGAATCGTTACGACCAATGCAATACGTGAAAAGAGTAAGTATTTGTGATATATTCACATATTTTTTAGATTTCCGACAATTGAGCATGGTGTGGACAATCGCATTCGACAATATAGTCGATCAAATCAGGGAAATGAAGTATTGAGTCATATTTATATTCTTCAAGGAACAAATTGACACTATATGTTTTCCCTATTGGATTGTAGAATGGGAATGGTAAATAAAAAATATATTAGAGAAAAATAAACCACCGAATAATATCGATAACTGATAAGGTATGAGTTATATTAAACTGGAGGTCCAACTACTTTACTACTTATAATCAAGTCAATTATACCTTGATTATATGGTGTAGCACATGATTGGCATTGAATGTTGTATTCCATGAGGTATCGAATCTATTGTTAGTTCGAAGCTTTGTTAATATCTAACCTAGCAATTGAGTGGTTAATTTCTTCTAACAAACAAGACAATTAACTTGCAAATTAACTACTAACCCATATTGAGATTAGGTGTTTGGGATTGTATACCCCTAGCAGATTAACATAATGAATTCATGTAATCCCTATTTATTTTTTATGCCATAATCTATTTAGCTAGGATCCAAGTCAATGGTCATGCACTTAGGATGCACTTCTAGGTTACTATTTGGCTCAATGATCATGCAACCAACTAATTCCTAGAGCATTAAGCATAGATTCTCAACTTGGATAAAAATTCAAAAGCAAATGAAACTTCAATTCAATGGGCATCCAATTAAAATATCATATTGCTTGACTTGAGTTCTAGCCATGACCTAATTAGATGGTCACTAGCTTAGGTCAAGAACAAGACAATATATAATTTAGTCTAGAGCGAGAGATTGACATAATTAAATATCAAAGTAGTAATAAAATGTTGAATAGGGTTCATACATTAACATTCCACTCTTAAGCAATCACTTACATGAGTTAGTGTTCAACTTGTCCAAATATAAAAAGATCACATGAAAGGGGTAGGAAGTACACTAAGAGAGGAGAGAGACATAATCTACTTAGCTCCAATGTGGAAAAACAGCTTCAACCTCCAAAGTTGAAGGTCTTCTCTTCTACTCCAAGCTCCCTCTCTTTTATGAAAGGGAAAGTGGGAAACTCTAACTCGTTTGCTCTCTTCTTGGGTGTTGGTAATTGAAATATAACCTCTTGCCTTTGAAACTCGACTTACTATCTATAGGCACATGAGTTTGGACTAGTTCACGGTCAGGGTTCGTTGAAGTTCACGGTGGTGAACTCAGTGTGGAACCTGTGTACTCTGAAGTGTCATTATTTCTTGAACATATTTGGAGATCATGATCTATGGTTCACAACTGTGATCTTTTCTAGCGCGCGTGAACTCCAAATGACGGTATCCTTCGAATGTCGTCAGACTAGCTACTTCTCTCGGCTCTCTTGTTGCTAGAGTTCACATCATGAATCCCACATATCACGATCGTGAGCATGTGCAACGCCTATGAACTCATATCACGACTAGATGATGATCTCGGTCACGTGATCTATGTGCTGAAGACCGTGAGTTTCCCTTCTTGCTTCTCCGTACACTTGTTGCCCAGACTCAACTCCAATTCACCTAAACAATCACATTCATGCATAAACCTGCCCATATGCGATATTAAACAATCATATGCTAAATTCCAAGGCTTAAGAATCAATTAACCTAAACAAGAACATGGAAACTCTTAGATATGAAAGGCCTTAAAGTAACTCGGAGATTTCTACCTATCCCGTAAACTGGTTTTTGATATTTGGGAAAATTAGGTAAAGTTGTTGTCTTCCGCTTTCATTCAATTTTTACATGTGGGAGAAAAGAAGGCAATAATGGAGGATGAGTGACTCGCCATTATTTGCTTTGATGATTCAACGAAAAAAAAGATGAATGCACCAAATTTTTTTACCGAATATAAATTCCTTAGTACCGATTTTGAACAGATCATAAAGCAAAAGAACCGAAAGAAAAAGGTCCGATGACATGATTCGACCTGCCCAGAACCAAACAACCAACCAACAAGAAGAGTGAACTGCGAATTGGGTTTTCTTTTTTCCAATGATTCTGAACTCTGAAGTAACTCCAAGACAAGAATCACCACCATCTTCACTAGGGCTGGCTATTTGGACCGGGACCGGATGAAAAACCGGAAACCGGACCGTATAACCCGGACCGAGATAAGAGAGCTCAACACCCAAAACTTAAGAGTAATTTGCATAAACGGTCACAAACCTTTGCACTTAGTACAAAACTTAACCAACTCCTCACCCTTTTAGGCCTTAGGCCACTCAAATTCCCACAATCTCAATATAAAATCAAGACCGAATTGGGACCGGACCGGGTCAAGACCGGACCGGATCAAGACCGGACTGTATCCAATCCAATCTTCGGTCCTTATATTTTCAAAAAAACCGGACTGGACCGGATCAATTTGGGCCAATTTAACCGGACCGGACCGTATAGCCACCCCTAATCTTCACCTATCCCTTTTGATGATTTTGCGGCACTTCAAATCACAAGTCTATCAAACGTTAACGTATTGGTGCTATACATCAACCAATTACATGTTTTCAGCAATTTTTGGGACAAAGTGGAAATAGTGCAGTAATGCCTTACTCGTTTAAACATGTACTACGTCTTGGTCGAGTAAAAGTGAAAATTGATGGGACAAAGATAAGATCAACATAAAATTTGTTAGACACGTTAAATTAATGTAAACATAGTATCAGAATATTTATGATTAGTTTTCTCTCAGTAATTCGAGTTATTGAAACTAATTAGTTTATAAAATATAATAACAGTTGTGGAGTTTTAACTATGAGATGTCGTGCTAATCGCATATGGTGTGGCACGAATGGAGAACGATATAAGATTCTTTATTATTAGATGCTCACAACAACTAATAGCAGAGTGGATCGAGTTCATACGGTTTTGATCGATGAATCTATGTAGGGATAATAAACATGTGGGTGCGCCTATGGTGTCTTGTAAGTCACCGTAACTTGCACTTTTCGTTCGACCTCAGTTAGGATTAGGTCAAACTAATATGTTGTTTCAATGTAAATACAGTTTCATGGTGCATACTTTGGAGATTTATATCTTACAATTGACTCGATGGAAATTGGAGATTAATGGCTTGTTTTGAATATGGAGTGTCACTCTACACATTGAAGTGCTTGGGAGCTCGATAGAAAGTCCAGAAGACCATTTTTGAACCTGATCAAAAGGCTATGCCAAACTGGAAAACTGCCTGAAAATGGCTAAGCTTGGGAACGTGTTTGTGAAGCCTACTTTGGAGCTCAATTCGAGAAACATGAATGAGATTCGAGCCCAGGGGCCTCTACAACATGAAAGTAGGTATGTTTGTCTACAAAGTCAAGGCATTGGATGAAATATTGGATATCTGGAAGGCTTCAAACAAAAGGCTCGAAGTTGCTACAAAGTAAGTTGCCTTCTAAATCAGAGATTACCCAATAAGCGGAACCGGATAAAGGAGCGTTGGAGAAACGCCCCATCGCCCGACAACCACTCGTCGATAACCGCTCCGAACCGTCAAGAAGAACTCCATCGGAACCGCTTGCAACTTACCTTCTTGGCTTTTTCTCAATTGCAAATGGCCAGGCTCGGCCAGTTTTTATGCTGGGCTTCGGCTTTGGGCTCCAGATCGTGCAGCTTTCATACGCTTGTTTTTCGGTTCATCTGAGAATAGCATACCTACACTCAACATAATGGGCTTTTGCAAAGAGCCCAATTACGCAAGAAACACCTCTGTGTCAGCAAAAGCCCAATTATGGGTACTCTGAATCTTCCGAGAGTATGGTATGGTCAGCCCTTATCTATCCTCACTCCTCAGCACTCATTTCATTTGAGGATGGGCGATTTGTTGCTCATTGGTAATCCAACCTCGTGCCCCTATCAAGTTGCACAAGATTGTTTTGAATTTTGTTTTTGAATGAAGGAGGAATAGAGTGATGTAAATTCAAAATCAATTTTGTTTATGAACACTTGCTAACCAATGGTAACTAGTAGGGAGGGAACACTTGATTGTTAGAGGTTTTTTGCAAGATCAAATGAAAGATTTTGGAATGATCGAACTACCCAGGATTTTGGACGAGTTGGTATATGATTTTACTGTACATTGATGTTCACTCTTTTTTTCTTTTTTTGAGGAGCACTTATGCAATAATCTAGGTTTGTGTTTTTTACTCGACACTTTATATTAGTTTGGAGAAGTTTAAGTGTAAGGTTCCTCAGTCAACATATTGAAGTCATTTTCTCAAGTTTGGTGTATGATGAAGTATTTGTGCCTAAGAGAATATATCATGCGACAAAATGACTAGTGAAGACAAAGTTATACCAATCACGATTGTGCAATGTTAAGACGATGATGTATAGTGGAGACTTGTTTGAGTGACATGGAATTATAGTCAACTTCAGTTGAATCATTATTCTATACCGAAGTAGAGCATCCCATGAAGAGTCATGCAAGATGAACAACTTTCCTTTACTAGTGCATACACTATAAATTTGAGACGACGTTCTATCACACATTCAACAATCAAGGGGATAAAAAAATATATATCTCAACATCAATATGATTTGAACAACATGTTACACAAATCAACTTGTACAGCCGACGGAACTCAAATGTAATTACAATCACATTCCTAAAGACCTAAATTAGCCCCGATCATCAACTCTCTAATTACATCTTCTATATATTTTGCTCCATTTGTATCCTTGTCATATCTCTTTATCAAATAATAATGTTTTCTTCACTATTTTGCCAACAAAGAAGCTCTTAGATGCCCTTGGATTGATCTCTAATCTACATGTTAGATACTAATCCTTGTCTAAATCAATGATATCAGTGTTTAAACTTTACTGCAATCCTGACTGAAGAGAATATTTCTTGGAATCCAATCACAAGTTCCCTACCAAGAGATATCAATTCCATACAAGACTATAGATATAGAGAACCAAAACCGGATATTCCGAGTCATCAAAATAAAATTACAAAAAATAAACAAAATGGTAGCAAGAAAATCAGAGGTCAATCGTTTCCTAGCCAAACTAAACGGCTCTCATCCACTCTTCCCCTTGATCACTCTATCCCCAATCTAACCGTCGCCTAATCGCCTTTTCTCGTCCCCTCCCCACTTCCCCACTCTTTTGTAGGGATGGCAACAAAACCCGAACCCACGGGTACTCACCCGACCCAACCCGGTCAACGCGGGTAAAATCCTTGTTTACGGGTTTTGGGGCGGGTTTGGGTTTAAACCCGTTCACTATTCAACGGGTTGGGTTGGGTTTGGGTTTAGGTAAACCCGGCCCGTGGGTACCCGCCCACCCTTATAATTAATTTTTTCGGTATATTTAATATTTTAAACAACTAATATTATTTATGTTTGTGGAGACATGTCTAATTTTTTCTTTTTAATTGTGTAGAATGAAGTTGATGTTATGGAGTGGAGAGTAAAGAAACTTAATTGAAAGGAAGAAGCTTTCAATTAAACATGTTATTTATGGAAAATTTGTAATTTGCTTCAATTTTTTTTAGTTTTCTAGATTGGTGTTGAACAATTTGTATAGTTAATTTGTGATTTGCTTGAATTTTCTAGAATGGTGTTTTATATATGGATAATTTGTATTGAGAAATTGATATTTGACTTTAATTTTGATAAGAACTTGTAATTGTAAATTTTTTACGACAAAACCCGTGGGTACCCATGAACCCGCGGGTACCCAACGGGTTGGGTTGGGTTTGAGTTTTTCAAACCCAGTGGGTTTTACCCCGGGTTTTTTTCAAAGATAAACCCATGGGTTTGGGTTTGGGTTTGGCAAAACCCGACCCAACCCGACCCATTGCCATCCCTACTCTTTTGTTCTCTTCTTCCTCCGTCACCGGCGATCGCCAGAAAACCGTCCACCCAAAATTACCCAAACTCTCAAAGAGCCAAATCACAACGCACATCATCCAACCCATATCATTTAATCCACCAAAAGCTAAAAACAGAGACGACCCAAAAGCCACACACTCACCCACCCACCCACCACTCTCCCTTCTTCCTCCACAAGCAGAGCCATGGCGGCTTCGGCTTCTTCCACATTCTCCCAATCCCTTCTATCCCGCGCGATACCCAATCACTCCGCCGCCGCCCACAATTCGGCTCTCCCGCCTCACTCCCTCTCCTTCCTCTCCGCCGTCAAGCCTTCCCTCCCTTCCGCCAGAGCCGCCACCTCCTCCTCCCGCCGCCGCTCGACCCGATCGAGCTCCTCCTGCGCCGTTGTCCGCGCGGCGGCCGTGGAGACTCTGCAGAAGACCGACACCGAGTTGGTGGATAAATCGGTGAACACGATAAGGTTTCTGGCGATTGATGCCGTGGAGAAGGCGAATTCGGGCCACCCGGGTTTGCCCATGGGTTGCGCCCCGATGGGTCATATATTGTACGACGAGGTCATGAGGTATAACCCCAAGAACCCTTACTGGTTCAACAGGGATAGGTTTGTTCTGTCTGCTGGACATGGCTGCATGTTGCAGTACGCCCTGCTTCACCTTGCTGGCTACGACGCCGTGAGGGTATGAGTTCTGACTCTCTTTTTTTTTTGTTTTTTTTATCTCATTTCCCCTTTTGGTTAGATTAGATTGGAATTTGGATTAGTATATTAGAGCTATCTGTTAGCTTTTGAATTTTATAATGTGGAATGGAAGATGGGTTTTGTTTCCTGGTGGTCCTTTTTAACTTCTGCAATTGTGGGATGGCTTGCTGATTTCAGGAGGAAGATTTGAAGCAATTTCGTCAATGGGGAAGCAAGACCCCTGGACATCCAGAGAACTTCGAGACACCTGGAGTTGAAGTTACTACTGGTATGGATTGGAAACCCTTTTCTTTGTTGTAGTTAACAGCACCACTGAATTGGAATTTTAAGCTACATGAGTCTTCAGGAATCATGGGTTGCTTTTGGTTTCCCCTTTTGCTGTAGGTCCTTTGGGTCAGGGAATTGCCAATGCTGTTGGTTTGGCACTTGCTGAGAAGCACTTGGCTGCAAGATACAACAAACCTGATGCTGAGATCGTTGATCATTACACGTAATATGATTCGATTGAACTCTTGAATGTCTCTGGTAATGTAATGGTTTGGTCTGTTGGATTGAAATGACATGTAGATAAATGTTTGTTTTTAAAGGTATGTGATCCTTGGAGATGGATGTCAAATGGAAGGAATCGCGAATGAGGCATGTTCCCTTGCCGGGCATTGGGGACTCGGAAAGCTCATTGCTTTCTATGACGACAATCACATCTCGATCGATGGAGACACAGAGATTGCGTTCACTGAGAATGTAGATGCTCGTTTCGAGGCACTCGGGTGGCATGTGATCTGGGTGAAGAACGGCAACAATGGGTATGATGAGATCAGAGCTGCCATTGAGGAGGCCAAGGCTGTAAAAGACAAGCCTACCATGATCAAGGTTAGTATGATTTCGCAGTTTTGATTATACTTTCTAGGAGTTGTTGTCTTGTCCTTTTTGCTGATTGCTTAGTTATGACAATTACAGGTAACTACTACCATCGGTTTCGGGTCACCAAACAAGGCAAACTCATACAGTGTCCATGGAGCTGCATTAGGTACTAAAGAAGTCGAAGCCACGAGGCAGAACCTCGGCTGGCCCTACGAGCCATTCCACGTCCCAGAGGATGTTAAGAAGTAAGATGAATGCAAGATGGGATCATTTCTCTTCATGGTTTCAGAACATGAAAAGTACCCAACCTTGACTCAATGCTGTTTTGTTTGTGCTTCCCTCACAGGCATTGGAGTCGCCACACTCCTGAAGGAGCAGCATTGGAAGCCGAATGGAATGCCAAATTCGCCGAGTACTCGAAGAAGTACCCAGAGGAAGCAGCAGAATTGAAATCCATCACGACCGGTGAGTTCCCCTCCGGTTGGGAATCAGCACTGCCAACTTACACCCCGGAGAGCGCTGCAGACGCAACACGAAACCTCTCGCAACAAAACCTGAACGCACTCGCCACCGTTCTCCCCGGTTTCCTTGGAGGAAGCGCTGATCTCGCTTCCTCCAACATGACGCTGATGAAAGCCTACGGCGACTTCCAGAAGTCCACTCCCGAGGAACGAAACCTCCGGTTCGGAGTACGTGAACACGGCATGGGCGCCATCTGCAACGGGATCGCGCTCCACAGCCCAGGATTCGTCCCTTACTGTGCCACATTCTTCGTCTTCACCGACTACATGAGAGGAGCGATGAGAATCTCAGCATTGTCGGAAGCAGGAGTGATCTACGTGATGACCCACGACTCAATTGGGCTGGGAGAAGATGGGCCGACCCATCAGCCCATCGAGCACCTGGCCAGCTTCAGGGCAATGCCGAACATCTTCATGTTCCGTCCGGCCGACGGGAACGAGACCGCCGGAGCGTACAAGATCGCAGTGGAGAATCGAAAGACGCCTTCCATCCTCGCCCTCTCGAGACAGAAGCTTCCCCAGCTTCCGGGAACATCGATCGAGGGAGTCGCCAAGGGCGGTTACGTGATCTCCGACAATTCGACGGGGAACAAACCGGATGTCATTCTGGCCGGAACAGGTTCGGAGCTGGAGATTGCTGCCAAGGCCGGTGATGAGCTGAGGAAGGAAGGGAAGGCGGTTCGCGTCGTGTCGTTGGTTTCATGGGAACTGTACGAGAAGCAGAGTGATGAGTACAAGGAGAGTGTTTTCCCCGCGGGTGTAACGGCTAGGGTCAGCATTGAGGCTGCAACAACTTTTGGGTGGCAGAAGTTCGTCGGTGACAAGGGGAAAGCCATTGGTATCGATAAGTTCGGTGCGAGTGCTCCGGCGGGGAAGATCTACAAGGAGTATGGATTGACAGTAGAGGCAGTGATTGAAGCTGCAAAGTCGTTTTTCTGAGCGCCCTCATGAACCAATGTACACTTTGGATGTTGGAGGAAATGTTCTCCCCTGGTTTCTTGGCACGAAACGTTTTGGGACGATTCGAAATGCAATCATCAGAAAAGACGGGACTTCTGCCAGGTCAGGGGGAGCCATTCTTTCGTGGAGAAATAAAGAAGTGGAGAATTTGTTTAGTGATAGAAAGAGCTCTCTCTCTGCTTCTTCAGTTTGGACTTGAATTGGTGGAGTGGGTTTTCTTTCTTATCTTGTGAGTTTGTTGTTGAACATGATGAGACTGTAAATCTCTCTGATTTTGTAGAGCTTTTGAGACTACTGATCAATGGTGGGTTTTGTACCACTGTTCGTGAAATCGTACTGGCAGATCGAATCACCGCGATTGATCGCTCAAGATCTAACCCATGTTCTGTCTGCATTTTAAGCCGAAATTCGATAAAAATCGGACCACAGTGGCGTACTGTAAGTTGTTATGCTCTTGAATTGGTGAGATACTTTCCCCAATGGGGAGAGATGAGATTGAGATATGCTTTCTTTGTATGTATGGAGACTGGAAGAAGCAAAGCATATTCCTGCATTGAAGCCATTGATAGAGAGGAGAGGACCCAATCAGGAAGAGGCTTTGAGGGGCCATTCCGATAAGGTAAGTTAAGGAGATCCGTACCGCGCCTTTGTCTTTAACGTTACCGCCGATGCCATTCTTGATTCTTCTCCTCTAAAAAGCAGGTCGCAGTTGCAGACAGCACACACCCTTTGGCCTTCACCTTCAAACTTGAGGAGGCTCTTCTTCTTATCTTCAACTTTCATGGAGCCAACTTGCAAAATTTTGCGACTCCTTTTCCTTTTTTTCTCACTTACTAAACCCTGTTAGCAAAATCAGTTACATGAATTTTCGGAAGACCTTATCTCATGTTTCTTTGTTCACACTGGTTGGCGATCCAAGTATGTGAAATGTTTACAATCCTTGTTCGATCTATGGTGAACCTATATAAAAAACTCAAATCAGAACGTGTTGTGCGTTATTGAGCTCGTCTCGACCTGGCTTGTGCCTTAAGACTGGACTATTCCCCAAGGTTCGGAGCATTAGGCCCACGAGTATTCCCCGAAAGAGTTGGCTTTAAACCTCTAGTTGAGTAGTTGGTGCATCAAATTTGTTGTAGCCAAGGTTTGACGGACCATCGGCCCATAGGTTCGAGTAAAAGACATTGAGGCTTGACCGGTTGAGTCGAAACCCTGAGCTGGTGATGACAATTTCTGACCTGATCTGCTCGACTCGACCTACTATGATCTGTTTGGGCGGGTAATACCCGACCTGCACTAGCGTACGTAAGGCAGAGTTTGTGTATTGCTTCGACCTATCCCGCCCTGTTTTTGACACGTCCTTTCATAATTTGCTAGCGTTCTGAGCGCCAGAGCGGAGATTCCCCTGAAGAGGGAGCTGGGAAGATATCTTGGCATACACGGTCTACATGGTCGGGTGACGGCGGGGAGATACCAGAACCTTCTTCTGCGCATTCAGAAGAAGCTAGCACCGTGGAAAGCAAAACGCCTGTCCTTGGCAGCGCGCCTCACTGTTTCCAGGTCTATCATTTCCTCTCTTCCCACTTATCATATGAATACAAAGTTACTGCCTAAAGGAGTTTGCGCCTCTATTGATCGTATTAACAGGGATTTTGTGTGGGGTGAGGAGGATGGGAAATCCAAGCTTCATTTAGTTGGCTGGGAAAAGATGATCTTGCCCAAGGACCAAGGGGGGGCCGGCCTCCGTTCGGTGAGGAATGCCAACCTGGCCATGCTCGCCAAGAGTGGATGGAGACTCCTCAAAGAAAAAGATGCTCTGTGGACTCAGGTGTTCAGGGATAAGTATGGTCGGGACAAGGAGAATTTGGATATTTTTCGTCCTATTCAGGGAAGTTCCTTTACCTGGAGAAGTCTTAATAAGGCATCTCCCCTCCTAAAGGGAGGTTGTGCGTGGAATATTAAGAATGGAAAAACTACTAAGTTTTGGCTTGACCCTTGGATTGTGCAGGAACCTCTCTTAAACCTGGCGGAGGAGGAGATCCCCTACTCCCGAAGGGATGAAACCGTGGCGGATTTGATCTCTGATGAAGGCGAGTGGCGCACGGAGCTTTTCGAGGACTTTCTACCCCTGGAGATCCAGATGAAGATTACTAGTGTGGCAGTGGATAAGCTCTCCAATGAGGAGGACACCCTCTTCTGGACTCTGTCTTCGAACGGCCGCTTCACCACGAAGACTGCTTACCAGTCTCTCTTGCCAGAAGGAAACGATCCGGATGCCAAGTTTTGGAAGATTATTTGGAGCCTTCCTGTTCCGGAGAGGGTTCGTTGTTTCATTTGGCTTGTGAGCCTTGGCAGGATTGCTACCAATGCCCTCCGGCACTCCAGGAAGATATCTGATTCGGCGGACTATGGGAGGTGTATCGGGCAGGCTGAGACTATTCTGCACATCCTCCGGGACTGCCCCCCTGCTGCGTACTTCTGGATTAGGCAAGTGCCTAGTGAAAGACAACAGACTTTCTTCTCGGCGAACACGGCGGACTGGTTGCGGATGAACCTTGCAGCGGGGGAGGCCGAGCACGTGGGGATCCAGTGGTCTTCTTTCTTCAGCATGGCTGTTTGGCTGTTGTGGAAGAACAGGAACGACATGTGTTTTAAAGGTATTTCTTCCAGTCTCACTCCTCCATCCTTGACTCACTCGATTGTAGCTAAAGCCAAGTTGTGGAGCGAGGCTTGGCGAGCGCCCTCTCTGTTGCCGAATGGAAGGAGAGCCGCGGCGGCCCGAGTGATGGCCAACATTTCGTGGAAGCCGCCCCCTGATGGGTGGGTGAAGCTTAACATTGATGGTGCTTCTAATGGGAATCCTGGTCCTGCGGGGGCAGGAGGCGTTTTGAGGGATGAGCTTGGAAGGTGGATTGGTGGTTTTGTTGCCATGATAGGAGAAGCTTCTGCAGCCTTGGCAGAGCTTTGGGCTTTCTATCATGGTTTGGATATAGCTTGGAAATCTGGATACCGACAGATCATGGTTGAATCAGACTCGCAATTGGCCATTCAGCTTATTGAGGATAGACATGACCCTGTTCACCCTTATGCCACCTTACTTGCTGCCATTCGCAGGAGGCTTAGCCGAGACTGGCTGGTGCACGTGGGTCATGTATACCGGGAAGGGAATAGAGTCGCAGACTGGCTCTCGAAGCACAGTCACGTCTATCCCTACGGTGTACAGGAGCTCGCACACCCACCGGAAGGAATAGCGAATTGTCTTCAGGATGATATTCAGGGAGTTTCTTTTGAGAGGCGGATTGTGTCCCGCCAATGTAACTCCTCTTCCCCTCATCCCCCCATGTAATTTCTCTCTTCTTGGCTTTGGCCTCCTCTTAAGCAAAAAAAAAAAAAATGATATCTTCATCCCAAATAAATTTCAAGAGTTAAAAGACTATATCTTTCAACTATTTAGACTCAATAATTTCTTTTACTATATTTATCATTCAATTACTCTATGTGTTCTCACTCGTCAAAGAGTTACATACGAACAAATTTTTTTTTTTTCAAATAACATTTAAAGAATGAGTCGACCCACCCTGCTGCATACCTACACGAGTATTACCCGACCTGACCTGTGCTTAGTATGAGACAAATATGGATATTGAGATACTCGCTCCTTTCCATTGACATCACTAACTTGAGCACTGTTGCCCAAAGCATCAGGCTTGAGCCGTGAACATGACCCACAACCAAGCGATTATTTCATCAACCACATCTTCCAATCTTGAGGTTGAAGAGGTAAAAAAAAAAATCTACTGTGTGCGTTTCAGTTGGTCTACAATGTGTAATTTTTCTCGTCGGTAAGACAAAAGGGGCAGTATCTCAAGATTGTATATGACAACTTCATGGTTGCGACTTGCGATGTACTAACAGGGTTGTTCTCAGGTTTGAACTCTAACGTATCAAATTCAGTCCTTGGCTTGGCTGGCATATTTTCACGAGGAAAGGAATATACCATAACCACACCTGCCTGCAAGGCCAGCTCGGCCATTGGATCGGAAGCAGGGACGAAGATGGGTTCACTGCCGACGAGAGAGAGAGAGAGAGAGAGAGGATACAGCGCAAGCCGAGAGAAAAAGAGCAGAGACAGTCGGTGGTCCTATCCCTGCACGTGAACCCACCACAACACAAGAATCCATATTCCATGGGCTGGCTATATTTTCCCTAAATACTACTGTCTCCATCTCCATTTTTTTTTTCTTTTTATTTTTCTCGTTCATCAAAACGTTTCTATCGTAGAATCACAAATTCACAATTGTTCAGTTACAAGTTCAGTCAAAATTCATGTTTTAAAATTTAGGGTTTTACGCTTCTGTGTAAGAATCACGGTTTTGACGGTATTACTTACTATATGTATTTCAACAACGGCTTGCCTTCCCAAGCTACAACGCCCATGATATCTTTTTTAAGTTTCGACAATGTGATTTGAAGCAAGAGTGGATTTTGTTTGGGGGAACAGGACAGGAGAGTGAAATTAAAAATCACAATAGGGGCAGTTGGGGCACATGGACAGAGTGGTGGGACGGTGCATTGCCTTCGGTTTTCCGTTTTATTATCTATCAGACTATCACCCATCCCACTACTCTAATCTAATCCAAGGGAGGAAAAATCAGGAAATTGCTATTTTCATATAAACAAATATTTCATAGGAGATTTCGGTATAACGAGTAGAGCGTAGTCAAATTTTACCTTACGAGTAAGGTTGCGAATGAGTAGAGCGTAGTCAAATTTGACTTGGTTCAGATTCAACTCATTAATAAACATGTCGAGGCTAAACTTGATTCGTTTATCAAAAATCTTATTCATGTTTGAATCGAGTTTTGTTTATTAATATGCTCACCAGCTCGACTCGAGTTCGGTTCATCAATTAGCTCATAAATCTCAATTCATCTCACTTTATTCATTCTAAATAGTCGAAACCTAAACTGAAATCTGAAAATAGTTTATAATATTCGTACATCATATATAATACAAGTGAATTGTAACTAATTTTACGAAGAAGAAAAAAACACAATAGCCTAGCTTTCATCGTTAGTTGATCCCATGTTTTCATATCATGTTATATAATAAGTAATTAGCGTCTAACCATTCTATAATACATAACTAAATATGTCAACTCGATCTCGTCTCATTTTATATCCTAATATTTGTATGTCATATATAATGCATGTGAATTATTATTAATTTTATGAAAAACAAAATAATAGTCAATTTTTCATCATTAATTGATTCAATGTTGACATACTATGTTGATATCATATTATTTAGTTAATAAATTTTAACTAGTTCATATCATGCTATTTAATAATAATTTGTATCTAACAATTATATAATACATAATCTATCTTTTTAATTATAAATTAGATGTATTTGTTCACATACTCAAAGTCTTAAAGATCATATATGGTGAGAACTACAATATAAAAAATCTAGGAATTATCTACAAGCCAACTCACAATATACATATCGATATACATTCATAAACCGCTAGTTGAGCTGCTTGCTAGCCACAATATCAAGCCAACGCTTCAGTTCAAAAAAAAAAATCACGAGCTGATCTCAACACATCAATAAATCAAGTTAGCGCATGGTCTCGCGTGTTAAACAAAATCTAGTCAACCCTCTACTTAGGGGTGGAAATCGATACGGTATCGGTATCTCGATACCAAATACCAAAATCTCTAATACCGAATTACACCCTAAATTCAATACCAATCCCAAACCCTAAATAAATTCAGTATCCCAATCCCTAAATATTTCGGTATCCCAATCGGTATTGTCAGTACGGTATTTGCTATTAATAATTAAATCAATTAATTAGAGTATGCAATCTAAATTTCGGGCAAAGATGCTAAGCAAAAGGTTTTGAGTTCGTGTTGAGCTAGGACATGGATGAGGAGAAGGAAGGAGATGGTGACATTTCAATTTCTTGTCATTTGTAATCTTTAATTCGACGGATTGGAGGGCGAGAGATGACTAATGAGTGTATGTTTTTTGGTTTTATGAAAATAACAATAAATTGAGGGAGAGACAAGTGACTTAAATTAGAAACCAAATTTCAGTTGGATGGGGGCTTGTGAGTTGTCAAAAAGTGAGGAATGACCAACAGTTGTGTGCTATATTTCATTTATTTTTTTCGGTTTTTATCGGTATTTCGGTATATACCGATCACAATTCCTTAATTCCAAATACCGAATAACACTCGAAAATGCAGGGGCGGAGCTAGCTTATGGCTCGAGGGGGCCCCGGCCCCCCCGAGAATTTTGAAAGTTACGCATAAATTCGATATGATCTTTGCTAATTACGTATTACTTAGATACAAACTTAGTCGCATAGTCTGTGACTTTTATATTTGATTTTTTGAATATGTGAATTACTATATTAATTAAATTCTTTAGCTTCTCATTTCCAAATTTTAACTATTATTTTTGCTATATAATAAGTGAATTTTATAGTGAACATTTCTTTTGCCGTTGTGAAAATTGTTAAAAACATATTGCATATGAAATGTATTATTGATTTTTGTTGGTAATTAACTCATTTGTAGTTAAATAATATGATTAATTTTTATTTTAGCATTAATTCCTACTTTGAATGAATCTAATTATCTCAAATAATAATTTGATTTTCTTATTATTGGTAATTATTTTTGTGCTTTTATGGATTCTTCGATGATACGAGGAAAAAAAAAAATCCCCCCCCCCCCATACTCAAATCCTGGCTCCGCCCCTGCATCTCCGTTACCTTTGTCTCTGGCTATTGGGCGGACGGAATTTAGCACACTAAATTTCTTTGGTTGCCGCACGAGGGACTATTGGTGATACCATGGGCCTGCCGCAGGAAAAAAAATCACCAACATGAACAGTGCTTCGAAAAAGACTAATTCAGCAAGTGATTTATGTTTAGCGGTTTTTTCGTATGAAAAGTGATTTTATTTTTAGATTACTTGTCAATTAATAATTTTTATTTTAGCATTAATTCCTACTTTGAATGAATCTAATTATCTCAAATAATAATTTGATTTTCTTATTATTGGTAATTATTTTTGTGCTTTTATGGATTCTTCGATGATACGAGGGAAAAAAAAATCCGCCCCCCCGATACTCAAATACTGGCTCCGCCCCTGCGAAAATGAATCCCAATCTCGATCCCTAACAAATAAATCAATATTCAATAATACTAAATAGTGATAAATTCGATACTGTATTCGATTTTCGATATATGCCAAATACTAAACTTTCAGGTCTACCTCTACTCATCAGTAAGTGAGACAAATATCAAACAAACTCTTTCTAAATCAAACATCCGCCCGTTCGTGAGCAACTCGACTCGTTCACATCCACTTACGACTTACAAACATTGTAATTTCAATAATCCGCAAACCAAACTCCCACCCCCTATACTCACGAGCATTGTAATTCAATTATAGTCAACACGTTCTTGGATTGTCATCCCAGCAGTCGCATACCCATTGTCTGTCAGATCTTGGCTCTTTGCCCAGTTTTCTCCTCCCCTCTCTAATATATAAATATATAAATATATATATTACCTTTTTGGCTCCACTCTTGGCTTGTGTCGCTGTGGTAGGGATGGCAATGGGTCGGGTTGGGCGCGGATAGTGCATATCCGTTACCCTACCCAATATAGTTCGGGTTTTACCCATACCCGTACCCACACGAGAAACGGGTAGAAAATCAAAACCATGCCCATACCCGTTCGGGTTTCGGGTATCCACGGTTATCCATGGGTAATAATTTCTCCTTATAATTCCAACCAATATCTTAACATTCACACGTATACTCACATTACGTAAGAGGAAAAGTACGACAATAATTCACTAGAATGACGAAAATTAATTAAAACAACATAACTTCATGAAAATATTATATTTATATGCTAAATATAAAATATTCTAGAGAAACATAATGATTATTTCTAGACAAAATACATATGCATGTGTATAATCGGGCATGTTCGGGTTGGATAGTGAGATAACCATGCCCACCCATTACCCGCAATATTCGGGTTCGGGTTTTACCCGTACCCACGAAAAATGCTTCGGGTTCGGGTTTTACCCTACCCGATTAGTTTGGATTCGGGTGGATATCCACGGTTACGGATATTTTTGCCATCCCTACGCTGTGGGTTAATTAGTCACATGGTGAAGTGGCGGTGGGCAGCTGGCAAATTTCTTTCCAGTCCCCCCCGCAAAATAACAAAACAAAGCTATCAAAACGTGGGAATTGGGTCCCTCCTCTCCAACTAGACACGTTATTCCCTCCGGAATAGTGACTTTCTCCTCTCCCGTTTTGATTCCTTTTTTACCCCGCCAAAGGTTCAAAAAAAAAATCATTTACTTATAGGATTAAATTATTCTATTAGCTCTAAACACAAATTTGATCGAGTAGTTACGAACTTACGATACCAAATTTCGACCGCACTGGGAAATTTTTTGGGAAGCAATCAAATCATATTCATAGGTGGGATATAGAATATGGTCCACACGTTATATGTTATGCCAAACACTATATCATTAATTAAATTTGATGCTCACCGGAAAAGAAGAAAAAAATCACAACCAAGGCCAACAAAGCATTTACAGACATCAATTATTGAGAGAAAAGAATAAAGCTAACATGGGCCCACACGCCAGCCCGGCCCACACAAGCCATCAAATCTCTGGTTTCTCTGTTATTAATTCATCTCCCCCTTTTTAACCATCCTCTCACTCCCACACTTTCTCCTCCTATCTCGCCATTTCAGCAAAATTACTGAACCGACACCACATCTCCTGCAGTAAAAAAAACAACCAACAAATTTCACCAATTGTGGTAACTTCTAACTCGAACTCTCCTCCTACAAAATATTTTTTTTACCCCCTTTTTAAAACTATTTCCCCCTTTATTCGATTTCTGTTGTTTCCCCAACCAACCCCCAATAATTCCGTCCAAAAAATAACAATAATAAAAATCATTCCGCCCAATATCTTCCTACTTTTTCACCTTTTATTTTTTCACCTTCGGATAAACTTTAAGGGAAAAAAACGAAGAAAAGAAAAGGAGAAAAGGTTGAACGACAACTGCAAGCAACCAGAATTAAGATATTAGTAATTGCAGCAGTGGCAGCAAGCAATACTTCCCCTTCCTAGCTTCCTTCCTTCCTTCTCCCTTCCTCTGTATAGATAAAAAAAAGAAACCAACCTCTGCAAATCTTGAATTCGATTCCTTCTCTCTCGATTTCTTCCTCCTTCCGCCTTAATTTCTTTCTGTTATGGATAAATCGATGAGCAACAGATTCCGGTACCACTTCTCCGCCACGAAGATGGTCTTCTGGACCTGCATTTTCCTCGGCCTCATCTTTCTCTTCTTCCTCCACGCCCCTCAGCACCACTCGGACCCCGTACCTCGCCGCCGGATCCTGCGCTCGCCCGATTGGGAGTCGCGGGTCGCCAAATCGTCGCAGCCAAGGTCGCGAGCAGGCGGGATGCGGGTTCTGGTGACGGGGGCGGCGGGATTTGTCGGCACGCACGTCTCCGCCGCATTGCGGCGGCGCGGCGACGGAGTGGTGGGGCTCGACAACTTCAATTCCTACTACGACCCGTCGCTGAAGCAGGCGCGGCGGGCGGTGCTGGAGCGGGCCGAGGTTTTCGTCGTGGAAGGCGACGTCAACGACGCCGCCTTGCTGAGGAAGCTCTTCGAGCTGGGGAAGTTCACCCACGTGATGCACCTGGCGGCGCAGGCCGGAGTCCGGTACGCGATGAAGAATCCGGCGTCGTACGTGCACAGCAACATCGCCGGGCTGGTCGCGCTCTTCGAGGCCTGCAAATCGGCAGACCCTCAGCCGGCGATCGTTTGGGCCTCGTCGAGCTCGGTCTACGGGCTCAACACCAAAGTGCCGTTCTCCGAGAAGGACCGGACCGACCAGCCGTCGAGCCTCTACGCCGCCACGAAGAAGGCCGGCGAGGAGATAGCCCACACTTACAACCACATCTACGGGCTTTCCATCACGGGCCTGAGGTTTTTCACGGTGTATGGGCCGTGGGGGAGGCCCGATATGGCTTACTTCTTTTTCACCAAGGATATGCTGAAGGGGAAGCCCATTCACGTTTTCGAAGGGCCCAATCATTTCACGGTGGCGAGGGATTTCACTTACATCGACGATATAGTGAAAGGGTGCCTGGGGGCGCTGGACACGGCGGAGAAGAGCACCGGCAGCGGCGGAGTGAAGAAGGGGAAGGCTCAATTGAGGGTTTACAACTTGGGGAACACTTCTCCCGTTCCCGTGGGGAAGCTTGTGAACATTTTGGAGAAGCTGCTGAAGGTGAAGGCGAAGAAAGTAGTGATGCCGATGCCGGCGAATGGGGACGTTCTGTTTACTCACGCGAATATCAGCCAGGCTCAGAGGGATTTCGGGTACAGACCAACGACGGATTTGCAGTCGGGATTGAAGAAGTTCGTGAAATGGTATTTGGATTACTATCACTCCGACGGAGCTTTGAAGAGTTCTTTGTAAATTGATGATTCTGCTGCTGCAAAGAAGAAGAAGAACGAGATCAGGAAGGTCTCATGGGCTATGGTAATTGAATTTTACATATATACATATATTTTGAGGGGATGGAAGTGGAATCTGTATAATTGATTTGTTTGGGTTCGTTTTGAATCTCTCTTGTCTCTCCAGAATACTCAAGAAGTAGTGAGCATTCAATTGTTACATTCGTTTTCATTTAGTTGTCAAGCTGAATATAAATAGTACATTTGGATTAGAGGAGATTGAGATGATCCCCAATATGGTGCTGAGCTCTCCTATTAGCTAATTCTTGAATTTGCAATGAACGAACAAGCGGAAAGGCGCCTACTTTTCTGATCTTCTGCTCCATTTTCTGAAGTCGTGATTCATGAATGACATTTAAATTTGGGTTTTTGCAAGTTGTAGTTTCATTTTTGTTTGAGGAGCGCTGGCAAGTGTGTTTTTTGCTTTACTGAATCATATGCTTGGTGTTCTTCTGCTATGAGAATGTGAATGTCTTTTGTTATCAATGGAGTCTTGAGAATTGAGATTGTGATAATGCCAGCATGTTATTCAATTGTAATATCGAACCTTTGCAGCTTGTGAGTTTTTTATGGTGAGATTGTTACTTCTGAACATATGTCTAAGATAGTTCATTAGGTTTTGACATCAACAGTAAAAAGGGAGTATATCACACTCTGTCACCTTCAGTTTGTTATGAATGCATGAGAAGAATAGTCGTATTTCTGGGATTGTGCAGGCTGCCCTCTGTCACATTCAGATTGCCAAAATGTGCAGAAAGTGTTGGTTCTTAGTTTCACCCCTGTCCTGCCTAATTCCAGTGATTCATGTCTGTCACTCCCTACTGTTCAACCGTGGAATTTTGTAGGAGGAATCACACTTCATTAAGTAATAACTACCTCTGCAACTGTAACTTGGACCCCATCACAGTGTGGAAAGAAGAAGAAACATGGCCAGCTAGCTGGTTGAGTGGTTCTTTAGTGTCCATGACTTGTGTCGGTGGGATTCGCACAAGCTTGAGAAAATTCCTAACAAAAGGTGAAGATGGAGATCTTAGTTGGATGGCACCTAACCCAATTCCCCCACCACCAGGTTTCCTCCTCATAAAGCATGTTACTTGTTTAGTTGTTTTGTTCCATCGTTATAACTGTCAGTATTGTCATTACTGTGAGAAGAAGGTAGGGAAAGGTTTGGGTGTCTGTTCATTTCCTCAAAAGAGTCCTCATTTTCTATTATGGGTCACTCTCACTGTGCTCTGTTTGTGGTAAAAGAACTGATTTTGATGAAGAGAGTCTTGCCAACTGGAGAAAGATGGGGGTGAGAATTTAGACAAATACAGTTTAGTTTATAGTAAGGTCTTGATTCTTCACTGTCAATATCTGAAAAAACTGCTGATTAAATTATTGAAGTCAAAGCTCATTTTGTCTCTCCCACCTCCAATTTACCCCTTCCCCAACTTGTATAAATAGCTGACCCTGTCATTTGGTCTCATTAATTCACCAGCTTAGTTATTGATAGTTTAATACTCATATAAACAACACCATTTCTGCGAAAATGGACTGTAAAAGCCGTGTCATCATCTTCATCCTGGTTCTGGTTCTGATAGCCAGCCATTCCCCCTGTTCCAATGCCAGGATGCTGGCAGCCATGGAGCAGAAGCAAACTGATTCCCCTGCTGTTTCACTCCCAAGCAGGAGCTACGTATTCGTACGAAAGCTTTCGTATGGAGACGACCAACGGTGGTTATATGAGAAGTCGATGATCAGCTCTCATCTCGGAAAGCTTGATAGGGTTCTGCACTCGGTGCCCAGCCCTGGTGCTGGCCATTTGTAGACAAAGTATTGAAAAGATTATGGTATTCAAACACTAGACATCTGTCAAATACTAGTATGTTAGTATAATCATAATATGATTAAGGAGTATGGCCAGTTTCTTAACATTCCTAAAATATATAAGATTGGCCTTATAATTATAGTGTTGACTGCATTTAGCCTCAACGCTTCCCCTGCGCAAAGTCTGTTTGTCCACCGAGAAAAAATATGTACTATGAGAATGGAGTTAAAATAATCTCAAGACTTAATTGGTTCCATTTCAAGTTTGACAAATAGGGTTGCAAAATCAGTCAACCTACTAACAAGCAATTCGATGCCCGACGCGGAAAAAAGATTGTTCAAAACTTGATTTGTCAAAAATTAACGAGATTGAGCTCAATCTTGTTCAGCTTGTGAGTTGTTTTGTTCTGATCTCATGAGCTGGCTTAACAGTGTGATTAGCTACGTTACTCGACTGATGACTTATTAGCAAATCGATCTATAGCTAGCTTGTGAGTTGGCTATTTGTTGTAGTTCATAGGTTTAGTTTATTATACATTTCACATTATACAATGATTTAAAACTTTGACTACCCGACTTTTTTTAGATAAAATATGTCTCATTTATTATTTAAAACAAAGATTATTTATATATTAATTTATAATTTACTATTATTAAATAACATGATAAGAGCTCGTCAGAATTTATGAAATAACATCCTATATTATCATTTTTTCATCATGTCATTATTCACATATATCATATATTCTATACAAATATTAGGATATATAATTTACAAATTATTTTAGAGTTTACGTTATAGTTCAACCATTTAGAGCCATACATGAAGTAAGCTCGAATTTAACCTGATTAAATCGATCTCGACTCAAACTTAAACTGAACTTGAGTCAATGTTTTAGTAAATGAGCCGAACTCAAATTCGATTCATTTTCTAAAGTGTGATGAATTTAAACTAGATTTCAAAAAAATTCTAAACTTGTTTGTTTCTAACTTGGTAATATCCTTAATAAACTCAGTAATATCCAAGAATTGTGAAATTGTTCTAGAGATCTGGTTCACAGGCAATATCTGCACTGCCCCGCTAACTTTCTTTCGAGCCCATGTATATTTAATTTAAAGAGAGTACCAGGCCGGCAGGCCCATTTCGGGCCCACTCCACTCCCCCTCCACAAAACCCTAGTTATATATTTCTGAATCCTGCTTCTGAAGTAGTTTCTCCATTGCTGCTCACTGCTTGTGCGATTGAAGTTCTCTTCCCGACTCTTAATTGTGCTTCAGCGAGAATCAACCTTCCAGAGCGCGAGTAAGTAGCAACGAACTCCCCCTAAGCTGCGACTTGATGCAGCCCGCTCGTGCTCCGTTTTGATTCCGTTTGCTATTTTGACATCAAATGGTTTCGTGTTGTATGCTTATTCGTTGTGTGTTTTGGAGCTTCGCAGAGGGACCAAAATGGCGACCTATGCAGCGATTAAGCCAGCAAAGGCGGGATTAGAGGAGCCGCAAGAGCAAACCCACAAGATCAGGATCACACTCTCATCCAAGAATGTGAAGAACCTCGAAAAAGGTTAGTTCGCCTGTTTTCTCTGTTTAGGGTAGATTAAGGGATTGTGGTTTTGGTTTCTGAATCATTGCGGGCTCTGATATTGCAGTTTGCGGGGACTTAATTCGTGGTGCCAAGGACAAGAGGTTGAGGGTTAAGGGACCAGTGAGAATGCCCACCAAGACTCTTCTAATTACTACCAGGAAGTCTCCCTGTGGTGAAGGTAAAACTCATTTGACGACCTTATAAAATGGATATTGAATCAAGTCCTGAGTTATAGTAGATTAGCTACCTGGATTCTTCGGGACATGCAACTTCTGAGTAGTGAATTGATTGAGAGATAGAAATTTATCAAGAAGACCTAGTGCTGGGTGAATTCGATGATGTAACTTGTTTAGGGGGTAGGCTCGATTCCTTTTTAAATGGATTTTTAATCAAGTCCCGAGTTAGGTATAGCGCGGATTCGGTACCTTAATTCATTGGGACGTGTGCCTCGTGAGTTGTGAATTGATTGAGAGGTAGTGCTAGTTTACTTTGATGATGTAACTTGTTTAGGGCGTAGACCTGATTCGTCATGCTGATTATGCAAATGGTGGTTCCATGAAGAAATGTTATTGTGAATTTGCTCCAATGGGGTTCAGTTTGATACTATGTCTCCATGTTCCATACCTTCATAGCTTTCAGTATCCCAATCTTGGAAATTCACTCTTGGCCAAGTAGTAGTACTGGGCATTATGTTTTGAACACTTGGAAAAACCATCTACCCATCAACCCGATGGATATAGCCATATAGGTCAAGTGGGGTGTGTTGAGATCGGTTTTAACTTTTATGTGGGTTGTATTAGGGTCGAAAGTGTGATGAATTGGTACTTGTTGAATTCTGTGCTTATAGTGATGAATTGTTGCTTACTTCTATGCAATGTACTCCTTTTCCAGGTACCAACACGTTTGATAGATTTGAGCTTCGTGTTCATAAGCGTATCATCGACCTATTCAGCTCCCCGGAAGTGGTGAAACAGATCACCTCCATTACCATCGAGCCTGGAGTCGAGGTGGAAGTCACCATTGCTGACGCTTAGAAATGTTTTTTTTTTTTGGTTTCTGTTATGAATCTCCTTTTTTGTTACAGATATTCAGTTTATTAGAGGAGAAAACTTGTGCACTTTCATTCCTGCCCAATATGTACATTGAGCGGTAAAACAGTGTTGGATGTGGCAAACAGGTTATTATGGGTAGTAGACCTTACAAATTTTAATGACTTGAATGCAAGTTTCCGAATTATGCATTTCATTTTTGTCATTGGTCAGCTACTTGTAACAGAATCCACTTTGCACTTACAGGGCTCACGCTTTCAGGATGTTATATGCCATGCCTCCATTGAAAAGACAAGTCCTTGCTTTGGTTTCTCATATAAACTAAAAAGTATGTTTCTTACTTGCATGTGTTAGAATGCCGTTTGAAGTCATTATCTATTGTGGTTTATTGATACTACAAATCAAGGTTGATGGTTTCGAAGCAAAACTCGTCAACTTTGAGCCAGTCTCGAATCGACACCTTGAACCTTTGCTCCGGGTTCAGCCGCTGTTACTCTTATGCATGAGCGAGCTCGTATCTTCTCTCTGGCTTTAACCGCTGGTACTCCTACGCATCAGCTTGGAGAAACTACTGAAGGACCGCAGAGAAGAACCATTTACACTGTGATTTGAATCCGTCATCTATAGGTTGATGATTTCGACGCAAAATTGGGATATGAACGTCATTTTTGGAATTCGAACCTGGGGACTCCAGACTGAAAACCAGCGGGCACGACCACTCGCAACTCTTTTTTTGGTTTGAATGTGACACTAACGGCGAAACCTGCTCCTGGGCTATTTAGTCCACACGTCTTATTACTTTGATACCAAAAAGAAACTGGGCCTAAGCGATAGAAGCCCACTAATTTATAAACTCGGCGGAAAAACCCTAACGTAGGTATAAGGTTCCAATTAGGGGTGTTCAAACGGTTTGGTTACCGTAGTAACCGTTTTAATCGGTATTATTTGGATAATTTGGTTTGGTTAATTTGGATAATTGGTTTGGCTTGGTTAACGTTTTTAGCTTGTTTGGTTTAGGTGGTTTGGTTTGGTTTCAGACATTCCTAACCAGTCAAACCAAATTAACCAGTTAAGTAATTAGTCATATATCTAACATATATTATATACACATACTTAATACTTTGCATAACCACTCAAGAGTTAACGTTCATCCCTTTTAGACTCATAAAATATAAAGCTCAATATTGCTCATATAGTGTATATTTGTATATGTAAAGTGTAGACCACAACATATGGACGCCCAATTTAGATAAATTTCATACATTATAATGGATGAAAACTTGAAAGGAAGGGCATTTCCAGCCTATGATAATTGCTAACAGACTAAGTAAATTTACACAAACAAAATAATTCATTAACCCATAGCATTGTCATAAATTTTTGTTAGGTGAATACTTCTATACTAATTGTAAGATAATTGTCTTAGTTGCATGTATTTTTGTTAAGGGTCAACTATAACTACGTGTTGATTGTTATGTTTTATTCATTATATAAATTGCGAATTGTTGCATTAATCGGAAAATTTTCATCGTCAATGATAATGTGATTTTATATTGGTTAATCTGGTTAACCAATTAACCAAACCGATTAAACTTTAGTTTGGTTAATTTGGTTGTTGTATTAGTTTGGACAAGGAAGAAGTCCATATCTTGGATCCACAACCAAATGAAGACCACAATTCCTTTCGACTACAATTTGTTCAAACAATGGTAAATTTGTGACATTGTGCCGTTATAACGCAAAAAAATGTAAATACCTCTTTCTAAGTACAAACGTTTCTTAATTTGTACAGATGAGATTTATGCAAGCCTTGTGGAAGATTCTCTATCGTGAACAAGGTCCGGGATTGTCGCCACCAACGATTGCTGAGTTTTCGTACACAAACCCTTCAAAGGATCAAGAACAACTTCATCGGTAAGTATGCCCATTTTTGTGTGATATTAAACGACGACTTATCAACTTGGTTCTTATCACGCAATGCTTTTATTTTATGTAGGTCTGACAGTGGAGTCTGGGTCTGCATGTGGATGTATGGCGCAAGCTGGGCCTCCTCTTATATTTGGGTAAAGACAATTCTAGTTTGCATATTAGAAAACCACACTTGATTGTTATTTTTGAATCATGCGTTAAGCACCATGTTTGTTGATGTTGATAGCCATGCACTCAAGTGAGGAGGATGCAGATCGCTTTGTACCTTGTTCGAGAGCCCATGAACTACATAAGGCATATGGTGCTCAGGGAAGCAAGAACAGTTGCACCTCAAGTTGAAGCTGCAGTGGAAGAGTACAAGAAAGCCCATGAAAGGAGGAAAAAGGAAAGAGAAGAGCACAAGGAAACCCAATCAAAGAGCCCAAGGACAACCTGATTTTGCGTTTTTGTTTTCAAGATGATGGACAACTGTTATGTTTTTTTTTCTCAAGATGATGGACAACCGTCTTTGGTTTGGTTTGGTGAATGCTTTCTATATTTGGTTTTTGGTTTGGTGAATGCTTTCTATATTTGGTTTTTGGTATTGTGAATGCTTTCTATATTTGGTTTTTGGTTTGGTTTGGTTTGGTTAATTGGTTTGGTTTGGTTTGTTTTTTCGTGGAAATGGCAAAGGGACTTCACCAAAATTCCAGCTTCCAACTCTTGAGTGAGGTTGCTTCTGTTCAAGCCATTGTATCTTGTAGAGAGGTTTAATTGGGATCATATCATTCCACTTCGTTCCCAATTGCCCTCGTCTAATTAAATTTGCATTCATGTATAGTTAACCCAAAAGGTAAAACTGATTGGCTCCCAATCAGTATAATTAATGACCAAACCCCGTACAAGGCAGATAGAAAATTCTTATGTAATTAATTTAATCTTCCTAGGATATGGAAAGGCTTCCATTCCTTGAATTTCCACCAACGATGTTTTCACTCCCCTTTTAGTGAGGAGAATTCATTGTAGTATAACTTATTGGCCATCACGCAAACATGAGGAGGTAGCCGTCGAGGAGCTGCAAGCCAAGTCTGGTCATTTTGAGTAGGAGAGTGGATGTCTGGTTGAGGCAAACTTGAAGCTCGCAATATAGTTGGCTTTATAGGAGTCCAAACCGAGCGATTTGCATTGAAACCTTTCTGCAGCATTGTCTGAGAAAGATGGAATCGTGGAAGAGCTTCAGTCTTGCAGGAGAACCACTGATGATGTCACACAGCAGCTCTCTGCAGGAGAGAAGCTACAATCTCAGGTTTGCGTGATGGCCATCATTACAGTAATGACCGTATTCATCCTTCGCTGCAAATGTTAAATTATGGAAGAGAACAGTTGGCTCAACTAAGTTGGCTCAAACAAAGAGCTCCAATTGATCATTGACCAGCTCAAGGAGCAGCTGAAAGAGCAGAAGCAAAAGGAAGATTCAGCAAAGTCAGAGGTTGAGTGCAGATCAAATGAAGAGACACTGGAGGGAGCAAACTGCCAATGCTACGAAATTAACTTAAACCCATATGCCAGTTCTACTTGGGAGCAAACATACATCAGAGTCTCATAAAGAACTAAAACCAAAAGGAAGATAATAGACAAATGCCACAAACACTATAATTGTTTTTTGTTATCAGAATCCTCTCAAAACCAAGAGTAGAGTTTTCTTCAACTTATGGAGAGAGCCTTCAAACAATCACACATGCTTGGTGGTGACTCCCATGGGTATCGAATCTTAAAAGTCTTCAGTCTGGTAAAACGAGAGAGTTCATGCTCGATCAATGGCTTCATTCTGGCCAGAAGAAAGTTCTGTTGGCTCTGAGATGAGAGAAAACAAAGGTGGGGAAAAAGTCAGAATCGGCACACGATTCCATGACATATATACCAAATGCATCTGTCATTACCTGCTGCCCAAGAGTATCAAAGCATAGGTTGAGAGATTTTGCATTATGCAGGCCACACAACAACTTTGTGAATGCGCAATTCGCCATCTCTATTTTCTTCATGTTCTCCTTGTTGCGCGCAAAAAAGCCAAACGGCAGGTTTGGCCATTCAAGGTGGACACTAGCTTGAGCAAGAGAAGGAATGTGCACCACATCGAGGTTGCGAATATCATATGCGTGACCCGAAATGTAAAAAGACTCAAGCTTTGGAGCGGACACTTGCCCAATTCCGAGTTTGAAATGATCCAATGAGGCAGGATCATCGCTTCTAATTTCGAGCTTCAGCAACCGGTCCCCGGACACTCTGAAGGGAACCCGTGAGGAGCAACCGAGCAGCTTCAAGTTGTTCAAACTAGGGAGATTGGCAAAAGGATCACAAATCACCTCTTTGCTCGTCGACAAAATGAACGTGCAGCGACGCAGTTCCAGGGTCGTCAACATACTGAATCCGAGATCAATCAGTGAATTGGGCGGGGTGATTGTAGGCACCTCCAACTTGAGAGTGGTGAGAGACTGACAATGATGGTGGCGGACGATGGAATTGGCTACCGAGCAGCTAACGCCAGCAGAGTTGAGGGACAAAACCTCAAGACGGTGATCAGCAAACCCCATGACCATATCAAACAGTTTATCGTCTAATGTCCACCCATTCACACGCCGACGCTCACCAGAATGGAAGCTAATGTTTCCAACAATGGTATGGTGGGAGCGAAGAGAGGACAAGAGGTTTTGCAGACTCGACTTACAAGGGAAAGAGCTTGCCTGGAGATGGAGAACATTGACGCCTTTCCACAGGTTGGTCCACCTCTTGGATAGAATGCTGGTTCGAACGGAGGATTTGGTGTCGAGGAAGGAGAGAATGTGATGCAGAATGCAGTCTGGAAGATCGCTCACCCTGCTATCATCCCGGCTCATAATGGTTGCTCCTTCCCCTGTCATACCCTTCTTCTTTAGCTTAGCTTTCTTCCAAATTAAAGAACACTAATTGGCTGTAGCTATTATACGGCAGAGCCTTCCAATCTCCTGGTACTGGTGGGGCTTCTCTCCGATCTGAATCGGACGGGGAGAAGAAGAAAACTGGGTAGATCCGAGTCCGACCCTTCTTTATCCATATTGAACTACTGAAATCGCATTTATTATGTGTTGATTAGGGTTTGGTTAGGATTTTGATAACAATATATTATTTTAAAAACTTCAGTTTTTTAAACGTGGAATTTCAGTCTAATAAGAGAAATGAATATGAGATTTCGATAAAAGAAACGTTTCAGTCTTTTTTTTTTTGGTTGAATCACCTTAAAAACAATTTCTCAAAATCGACGAGGTGGGTGGAATCAATCGGTGTGCGAGTGATGCGGAGGTGATTCTGAGGTCAAGCATGAGGGGGGGGATTTCTGCTACTTCTTTTTTTCGGGAGGCGACATCGACCGAGATGAATGATGGCGGAGGGTGGAGTTGAGGATGGTGAGGTCGGGTGAATCAGAAAATACATTATTGCACTTCGTGAAACCCTCTAAAAGCTGCAAATTCAAATCCCTGAAAAAGAGCCTGTGTTTTGCCTTTGTGTTCTTTGTAGATTATAGATAGATTTATAAATATTATATACATAATTGATTATTAATTTTTATTATTTAATTATTAATTTTTATTTTAAACGTTAAAATATTATTTTCCTACGTAGCATATACGTGTTGCATACGTGGACAACACATTGGCGCCACTTCATCAATGGTTAGTCAAAGGTTGACCGCCGTTAGGTCAACTGTTAGTTCTAACGGTCAACATAAATTTGCCAAACACCTAATAGGTTGGAATATTTTTGTATTTATTGAACTTACGTAATATAAATGGCAATTTCACTAAAGGTTGATATTTCCAGTGGTATTAGCCTAGAATATTATATAACTAGTTAAGCAAATAAACCAAAACGAAAAACATCAAAATGTACAGGAAGTTGTTTGTTTGAATCTTTATGAAGTGCACATTTGCTTCAACATATGTCTAGTATTTTCCATCAACTTATTTGCCGAAATAAGCTAAATATATTATTCATTATAAGTTAACGCATCTATAATATGTTATGCTTCTAAAATTATATACACAAAAAACTATGTGTACCATAGTCAATATGTTATACTTATACACAACATAAATGTGTTTTGGACGTAAACGCTTAGTACAATAGTTGTGACAAGAATCACATTGTGTCAGATATCTACAAGTTGCATAACCCAAAATCTATACCTAATCCAAGAGAGACGAGTTAAAAAAAAAAACTCTCACACAATCTCAAAAATTGATTTTATCGATAAATATAGGTGACTTGAATCAGGTTGGATGGTGGTTCGCGTTACTACTAATTTTTGTTGGCGCTAGTATCTAATCTATATAAGCCAAAAACGGCACATCACTTTTACATTTCAATTTCATTTATAAAAAAGAAAATTAATTTTTTTTTTTTTTTTTTTGGATTTGGCACACTCCCGGGCGTGTGCACTCTAGCGGGAAACGAATTGGGGACCGCAGGGAAGGGGAGAAGAGAAGCGGGGATATAAAATAAATCTCACTGCTCATTCTGCAAAGAAGCAACAACGAAAAATCTCACTGCTCTCTCTGGAAGTCTCTCTAGAAGTTAGGGTTTTGCAATCGGACGAAGGAAAATGGCTGCTGATCAAGGGGAGGAGCCGGTTCCGACGGCCGCTGAAATGGAGGCATTTTACAAGGCGGTTCCGAAGATTTATAGCTCAGTTTTGATTGTGGATATCGGCAAAGCCGATGCCATCCAGCTTCGCAAGATCAAGCAGCTTCTTGAGTATGAGCATGGCGACCGGGCATTGATGAGGTCTTACCCGGAGTCGGAGGTTCTACTTCGGCGGCATGCGGCTTTCACAGGGAATCCGGATCTTGATCTCAGCGGTGTGCTTCCTCTGCTTAAGGTAAAATCACTCGCTAACCCTAACTTGAGTTGAGCTTCCATGGATTCTTGAGTGTATATATGGATCTTGATTCGAGTTGGTGCTAGAAATAGGCCTAGCGTTTATGGCGTCGACGTACTCAGTGAAATCTTTTTCAGTCAATAAATGCGTATTGAGATCAGTAAGAGCTGCTACTTTGCTCTGTTCTTCTGGATTAGTTTGTGGCTTGGAACGAACTGCTCTGTCAATTAGTTGTGTATGTACAGGTAGGGATTTAGGTAGGATTGGGAAGGAAATTCTTGTAGGAATTTCTAGTTTCTCAACGTAACACAGCTTCTTCTGGATCTCAGGTATCAGAATATCACCGTATCTTGTTCTTGCGTAGAGCTGATGGGGACAACGATCGTATGGCGGAGGAACTAGCAGAAAGCTGGGTAATTATCGACTTCGATCTGTTTGCAACCATCTAGTATAATGTATGCTTGTTGCTAGACTAATTAATTTCCAAATCTCCATGTGGGTTCGATCATGTGCAGGATCCAAAGCTATCGAACGTGCTGTACCTGGAACGACTTGCTTCAAATATGGTGTGGAAGAAAGAGGACGTAGAGTTCATTGGTAAAGAGGAAGATAAAGGAGAATTTGTTGGCGCCGATGTAGCGCCATTTGACATGGTGGTGAGGGCTGGAGACACCTATGACTTGTTCGAGGTGAGTAGCATTAGATCAGATCAGTAATTTGCCAGCTATGCCATAATTTATTACAAGTGTGGCCAACTAGATTGAGTGTGAGGGAGCTGGACTCTCGATGGGTTATTCATTATTGTTTGTTGTGACTTATTTGTGGATTAAACGATAATTTATTCTAAATCGTGATTGACTAATTAACCGCAATTCAACCATTTTACATCCCATCCAATTTGGATTTCGATTTTGGATGTTTTTCGGTCCCACCATATATTCTAATTATTACCCGGCCCGTTGGCCAGATTACTGTATGTTACCCACTTGTGGAATGGGAGAGAAAGCAAGTGAGAGTGAAGGGATTGAGATTCCACTTGATTAGGACCGACCCACTAATCCAATTCTTCCCGACCCGCCCCAACCTACAGGGTCAGAAAGAGTCAATAAGAAAATACGAACGGGGAGGATTAGTCATATATCTTGACTCTTCAGAAGTGGGTCAAACAGGATCAAGGTTGGGTGAGGGCAATTTTTAGCGCTAAGCAGAGTTCTGGGTTGAATACCTTTACTTATGCCTAGAAATTGGTGCTGATGCAGACTGCAGTTTTTATTATACCATCATCAATCATCATTGAATTAGTCCTGGGCATCCCTCCCCGTTGTTGGTCTGAATTCTAATGATGACTTCATTCCTTGCACCAGCCATATCAGCGAGTTGCCATCTCGAGCATGATTTGCCTATGTACAAATAATACAATTAGAGTATGAAAATGAATTCAATGAAAAGGAAAAGAGAATTCTATCACATGCCAATAAATATACACATAATAGTTGAAGCTAAGTGAAAGTCATTACTCGCACATCAATTCTCAAAAATTACAGACTAAACATTGGCTAGAATGGCACTGAAACTACCAAGAAGCATGGACGAAACAACTTGTCAAATTAAATAATCCTTATACTGAAACTACCTTCTAACTTGAAATAAGACATGATCACAGTTCATAGCTCTCTTCTCACTATGTATTGGTTGCAGCTCGTCCTTATCACTGCCTCTCAAGCTCAATTCAAACAGAATAGAGACCGTTATGTAAGATAACCATATTCTTACTGATCATAATTCCTTTCTTCACTCCATTTTTGTCGGAGAAAAGAGTTATCCCCCTCTCCTGCATTTCCCTTTCCCCCTCTCTTCTCCCTCTTCTTCACAAACCGATCCCTAAACCAGCAACAACAACACAAAAATAGCCTTCGCCTCTTCCGTCTCCATCTATTTAACGCGTTGGTGGCAAGACAGGACTGCATAAGCAAAATTTTCTAAAATCAAACTAAATTTCTAAGTATCTATTAGTAACTACTATGCAATCGAGTATATATGATTTTTAGGCACTGAATAAGAAAAGTATAGATGGCTCACAAATGAAGACGTAGCAACTGAAGGTAGCACACAAAAACCAAAAATAGAAAAAGAGATAAGAAAAAAGGCGAGAAAAAGTCAAACAAAGAAAAAGCCCACATAGGAATACCTCGCTAGCTTTAGGGACTCTCTGCCACAACAAACAACCTTCTTAAAAATCTAACACCCTGAGACATCAAACAAACCTCCCACGACACTAATGTATGGCATTCCTATTGTCCAATAGGTTTGCCCAATTTAGACTTCTAAATAAATGGACTTTTCACCATTAAACCAAAACTCACAATCATTAACAGTTAATGCAAAGACATACATTTCTGAGGCCAATCACAGCATTTAAGCATAATTTTTAGTTGAAAAGAACAACTAAGTATTTAGCTAAATGATACAGTAGAATGAACACAATCTGCTACCTACTAATGATATAAACGTGTACCGGTACCATCGTTGTATCCTGACTTGCCATTTGCAACGGGCACTTTGAAAGACAACTGCATTTTAGAGAATAAACACCCATAAGGGCGTTACGAAACCAAGCTTAATCCAAAATCTTCATATTCCACTTCGAAGACTCCATTTTCAAAAATAAGAGAGTTTAACATGTCAAATCACTCATTTGAAAAATCTCAAACAACTATTAATCAATGCAATATAAAGGCACGTTCCAAATTATGTACTTGTAGGAATAATCCCAAATAATTATCAATTAATGCCCCAACTACCTAATGTGCAGAATAGCCCTGGAGCTGTGCTCTTGTTTGCGTTGGTCTACCTTCAAACATAACATAGTTGCATCACGAACCAAAGCAATTAAGCAAAAATCTTCATATTCCAAGTAGAATGACTCAATTCAATTTGGCCAACGCTTTATACATATTGTTTACCCCTGGACCTGTTGCACTTGCGCCTTCAGATCTTCGTGAAAACAATACAATTGCGGAGATGAGGCTGTCAACGGAATAAAAATTGTTAATTAAGTGAATCACCATACAACTAAACAAACGCGCTCTTCTTGATTAGCTATCAAAATAGTGGGGGTCGCTACAATCCATCGGTTGCTCCCTCTGCACCTAAGTTGTAGATATTAGGTTTCACTGAGAACTTTGAGTACATGAGGAGATATTTTGTAGTGGAGGAGATGACCCGGCGAGTAGAATAGGAAGATTTGGAGAGGCTGCGATGGGCAAAGCAGTTAAAATCGAGATTTTACCTAAAATGGAAAACTGGGGTAAAATCAAAATCGTATAATCGAATCGTAAAATCGTAGGATTTTAAGTACCATATAGAACATAGCATATAAGAATATTAATAAGGTAAATTATTAATATCACAAAGATACATAGCATTTAAAATGATAATTCAGAAGATTTTTTTCCATAAGATAATTCTCAAGATTAATGTTCCAAAATCACTATTTTAATTGTTATTTAATGTGTAACTCAAAATAATTCATGATGAAGGGATATATTTCATGGGTTTGGCTCTTATTTTCATGTTATGTCTAGGTTGTTTAACTCAAAGTAATATTTTGACATCGTCTACTAAGTATGATTTAAAACTAAAAATAATTGAACTCCAATAAAATAAGTAATGTTAGTGGCTTGGTACAAATATATTCATTAATAAATTAATTAGTTAATAATGATGTTAGTTCTTACATACTTCCAATATTAGGACATGTGTTTTACCAATAAGTTAAATGGGGTGAAGGGAAAGAGATTAACCGAACCCTAATTTGGTTATTTTTATTATTTTTGAATATTTTTCTAATAGAAAAATATCTGAGAAGATTCCATTGCCCTTTCCGCTGAAACAGTTATACTTATTTTAAATTGGCTCAAACCACCTATTTTGTTCTCTTACGATCAAAATCCCGATTTCGGTACTATTTTACGATTTTAACGATTTTAGTCCCGATTTTAAACGATTTTAAGGTCCATCGATTTTATAGTAAAATCAAGATCGGAATCCCTAAGTAAAATCCTAAAATCCTACGATTTTACGATCAAAATCCCGAATTTGACTACATTGGCGATGTGTGCACGATTAGTGGGCCAAATAACAGTTTGGGCCCGTTTAAATGAAAACATATTTTTACTTTCGTGCTCAACAGACCGACCGCACTGGCATCTTCTAAATTTACCCCTAAAAAATTGCTCTGTACGCATCAAATTTGAAATGGAATCCCTCTTTTCTCATTTCACATTTCACATTTATATGATGTGTAGATTGTGATGAGTGTAGATGTAGACCTGTCATTGTCCTACAAATTCATTAATACGCCAAAAAGTGGTGAAATGAGCCACCCTATTAAACACAATCTTGTATAATGATCATTGGATCCAATCATGCCAGATTATGAAGAAGTTTAAAATGTAGCGGTTATCCCGACGAAAACATTAAAAGAACCAGTCTCATATAGTTTGCACAAAGATATAATTTCTCCATAGTAATTCTGAAAAATAATATTAATTTAAGAAGTCGATATTGCTTCTACATGTTTAATATTGCAATTTGATATGCAATATTCGAACCAGTGATATTTGGGCTGCAATTTTAGGGTTATTGTATATTTATAAAATAGATAGAAATTTAAATTAAGTATTAAACTACAACTAAAATAATCAAAGTATTAAAACACCAAATAAGTACTTACGGGAGATTCAGTGGCCAACTAATCGTTAAAAAAGTCATATGATTTTCATAATTTAGGTTCGTGTATGTTTGAATTTAAATAGATACAACAAATATACTTAGTGTGATTGGTTATGATACTTGCTTGCCTTTAAAGGGACCAAGGTTCAAATCCCATTGCATGCCTTTTTTATGAATAAATAAATAAGAAAATAAGCAATTGTGAAGACCAAAATGTCCTTCCTATAATCACTCTCGTTGCAGGAAATTTGAAATGGAGCAACAGTTTTCATCATTCGGCTTTTATTTATTATCTAGACTAAGTAACCTAAACGAGTCATGTATAGTAGGGATGGCAATGGGTCGGGTTGGGGCGGATTTTGCCAAATCCAAACCCAAACTCATGGGTTTATCCGTAAGAAGAAAGGAAAAAAAAACTGGGGGTAAACCCTGTTGGGTTTGAAAATTTCTTCACTCCTTGAAAACTCCTTCCTCCTTGTCAACTAAACTTATTCACTCTCTACTCCATAATATCAATTTCATTGTACACAAATAGAAAGAGCAAATTAGACATGTCTCTACAAACATAAAAAAAAGATTAAGATTAGTTGCTTAAAGAAGATATATTGTTTAGAATATTAAATCACCCGAAAAAATTAATTATATAGATGTAGACGGGTACCAAAGGGCCGAGTTTACCTAAACCCAAATCAATCTGATGAACAGTGCAGCGGATTTAAAGTTTAAACCCGAACCGAACCCAAAATCCGTCAACACGAATTTTACCCGCGTTGACAGGATTGGGTCGGGTTTTTTTGCCATCCCTAAATTATATACATCCAAGTGGCATGCAATAATTTGTTTGGGCTGACCGTGACTGACTCCTATGGGCCTATGGCCCAAGCTACACAACTTCGCAAATTGGAACTTCCCCGCGATGGGGATGGGGTCATTATTAATAAGGAGAGCGGATCTGGTGACTAAGGGGGGGTGTTTAGTCATTTGGCTAAGCCCCTCCCAGCCCTTAGATCTGAACACTTCAATCCAATGGTTAAAAGCTATCAAAAAAAAAAAATCCAATGGTTAAAAAGTGGGAAGGACTATTTAATTAATGACAGGGGTAGTTTGGGTATTATGGAAAATTACGAAGTATACAAACCGGATTTACAATCAGTACAAACCATACAAACATACGAACAGTACAAACTAGAGCGACAAAACATACAAACAGATTTACAAACATTACAAACGTATGAACTGTACAAACAATACAAACTCGACTGACAAACAATACAAACCATACAAAAAGAAAAAACACCCGGGTTGACTTTGGAGGCTCCATCCCTATATAGAGGGGCTCCTTCCCAAAGTCAACCCGGGTGTTTTTTAGACATACAAACAGTACAAACATGGTGGACAAAAATGACAAACTAGACTGACAATCTATACGAACGGAAAAAAACACCCGGGTTGACTTTGGAGGCTCCATCCCTATATAGAGGGGCTCTTTCCCAAAGTCAACCTGGGTGTTTTTTAGACATACAAACAGTACGAATATGGTGGACAAAAATGACAAAGTTTACGAACATTACAAAATGAAAATAACAAAGCGTACAAACATTACAAAATATGTCAACAAACATTACAAAATTGGCACTATCATCGGAAAATTCTTCTCCGGCCACAATGATCGCTGGGAAAAAAAATTCCGACCAAAAATTTTTTTTGGCCAGAATCCCTCTCCCTCCCTCTCTCTCTCTCTCTCTCCCTCCCTCCCTCCCTCCCTCCCTCCCTCCCTCCCTCCCTCCCTCTCTCTCTCTCTCTCTCTCTCTCTCTGGGACGAACCAAAAATAAATGGTTCACCAAGTCATCAGGACTGAAGGAGCGACTGGATCGTAGTTTCTGCAACTTGGAGTGGAGGCAAAAGTTCCCTGGAACAACCGTCTTCCACCTGCCGAAGCTTAAGTCCGACCATAGGCCTATCTTGACGTGCACAACAAGTATCCCTCCAAGCCATAAACCGGTGAGACGGTTCCAATTTCTTGCTCCATGGCTTGCGCATGATGATTTTCCTAGTTTTCTCTCTTCTTCGTGGAATCTTGGCTCTGATTTCCCTTCCTCCTTGCAGGTTCTCTCCGAAAAGCTCGCCTGGTGGAATAAGGAAATTTTTGGCAACATTTTCCGCAGGAAGAAGTACTTGATGAAGAAACTCCAAAGTTTGGAGATCCTCAACGAACGATCGGCCACTCCTCACTCCCTGGAGAAAGAGAAGCATACCAGAGAAGAGCTGGAGGAGACGCTTTGGCAAGAGGAGATTCTTTGGCTGCAAAAATCCAGAGCAAACTGGATTGTCCACGGCGATAAGAACACCCGATTTTTCCACCAGAGTACCTTGAGCAGAAGGAAAAGGAATGCGATTTCTTGCCTTAAGGATGATTCGGGGAACTGGATCTCTGATCCTGACTCTATCCTTCTGATGGCAAGAATGTTCTTTGTGAAGCTGTATACCAAGGAAGACAAGGAGCACCATCCCAATCTTCCTGCTGATTTTCCAGAGCTGGCACCATCGTTGACCGAGAGGCTTGGAGCACCCCCATCCTTTGAGGAAGTCAGAGCAATCCTCATGGATATGAAGGGTCTCAAAGCGCCAGGGAAGGACGGCTTCCACGCTATCTTCTTTCAGAAGTGTTGGGACGTCGTTGGAAGGGAGTTTTTCTTCTTTATCTCTAGCTGCTTTAGTAACCCTAGCGTGATTAGATCCCTGAACCAAACTCTGCTTGCTCTCATCCCTAAAGTTGCTGCTCCTGCATCCATGAGTCAGTTTCGTCCCATTAGCTTGTGCAATGTGGGGTACAAAGTGGTAGCTAAAACGATTGCAAATAGACTTAAATCTCTTATGCCCCTTTTGGTTCAACCTAACCAATCCAGTTTCGTTCCCAATAGGCATATCACTGATAATATTCTGATTTTGCAGGAAACAGTCCACTCGATGGCTCGTAAAGGTGGAAAGAAGGGTACCATGCTCCTGAAGGTGGATCTAGCGAAAGCATATGATCGTATTGATTGGGCCTTCCTCGAAGAAACCTTGATGCTGGCTGGCATCCCCCCACAATGTGTCAACATCATCATGCAATGCGTGACCTCGGTGGAGATGCAGGTCCTTTGGAACGGAGGAGAGACCGATCCTTTCTCCCCAACCAGGGGAATCCGGCAGGGATGTCCTCTCTCCCCTTACCTTTTTACCCTTTGCGTTGAGAGATTAAGCCATATCATTGATAGGAAAGTTAGGGATAAAAAATGGAAGCCTGTTGTGTTGTCTGTTGGTGGGCCTCCTCTGTCTCATTTGTTCTTCGCTGACGACTTGGTTTTGTTTACCGAGGCTAGCGTTGAACAAGCTGACTGCATCTTGTCCTGCCTGAATGATTTTTGTGTTGCCTCAGGAGAGCTTGTTAGTAAGGATAAGTCTCGTGTTTTCTTCTCTAAGAACACTAAGATGCATGCTAGGACTAATATTTGCTCTAGGCTTGGTATTCAATCTACTAATGACCTTGGAAAGTATCTTGGGGTGCCTGTTATCCATGGTAGACTGACTAAACTTACCTACAGGTATATTTTGGATAAAATTGACAGCAAACTAACGGCTTGGAAAGCTCGTACCCTCTCTCTTGCGGGTCGAGTCACCCTCGCCAAGGCTGTTCTTGAAGCCATTCCCTCGTATGCTATGCAAACCACCCTTTTACCTGCCTCTGTGTGTGACACGATTGATAGGAAAATTAGGTGGTTTGTGTGGGGGTCTCAAGTGGGGAAAAGGAAAGTCCACTTGATTTCTTGGGAAACAATCTGTAAATCCAAAAATCAAGGTGGCCTTGGCCTTCGAACTGCTAAGAGCTTGAATCTTGCTTACATGGTTAAGTTGGCTTGGCATGTTCTGAATAATGAGAAAGATTTATGGGTTAGGGTGTTGCAGGGTAAATACTTCCACCACAAGGATGGAAAAATCACGGCTATGAAAACCAGCAATCACTCTAATCTTTGGAGAGCGATCTTGAAGGCAATGCCAACGATGCGAAGAGGAATGGCATGGAGCATTAGGGATGGGAGGTCGACCGGATTCTGGACACACCCATGGCTGGATCAGGAAACTGTCCTTGAGGACTTTGCACTCGTTTCCTTGTCCGAAGAGGAGAGGCTCTCTTGCGTGGCGGATTGGACTAACACGAACGGTGAGTGGAACTGGGATAGACTTAAGAACTTCCTGCCTAATGAGATTTTGATTCGTATTGCAGGGTTGGAGACACCAGACCCGGAGCTTGGAGAGGACAAAACAGTATGGGGAGTGGAAAAAGATGGAAGGTTCAGGCTTCGATCCGCTTACGAGCTGGTGGAGGGCTCGACTGAAGACAGGCCGGAGGAACACTGGAGAGATCTCTGGAGATGGGACGGCCCCAACCGAGTTAAACTCTTCCTGTGGCTTGTCTCACACAACAGACTTCTCACCAACGCTGAAAGAAAGAAACGGCAAATGACACAGAATGGGAGCTGCGCTCACTGTACCGACGAAGAAGAAACAGTGGAGCACATCTTGAGGAAATGCAAGAAGACGGAGGGCTTTTGGCGACATTTCAACGGCAAGATCAAAGACAAGGGCAATGGTACTCCTTTCAGCCAATGGATCCATAGGAACATTAAGGCTGTCGACACAGGAATTGATTTTGGCATCCTGTGTTGGCTTGTCTGGAAACAAAGAAACGAGGAGGCTCTTGATGGTAAAAAGTACTCGGAGGAGGGTCTGATTTGCAAAGCTAATGCGTGGCTCAATATACACCGTCATGCAAAAGAAAACATCATCAGGAGCCTGGTGATGACAAGCTCTGTTCAGGTGGAGAAAGAGCTTTCCTGGAAACCTCCAAGAGAAGGATGGTACCAAGTCCAGGCGGATGGTTCGGTTCTGGGGGCCTCTGGTTTGGCGGCTGCAGGCGGCGTGATCAGGGATTCCCTGGGACGATGTTTCGATGCTTTTGCGTGCAACCTTGGTGAATGTTCTATTACTTGTGCTGAGTTGAAGGGTGCTGCTGTGGGTTTAGAGAGGACTTGGAAACTTGGATTTCGTAAGATCGAGCTTAATCTGGACTCCACCACCGCCATCAGCATTATCAAGAATTGGAAGGACAGCAACCATTCACATGGTTTGCTGGTTGGAAAGATTGGAAACCTCCTGTGTCGTGATTGGGAGGTGGTTATTAGCCATGTGTATAGGGAAAGAAATGTTGTTGCTGATTTTTTGGCATCCAAGGGTCATTCCCTTCCTTTTGGTACACATTGTTTCGATGTGTACGATCCTAACCTCGAACATTGGTTGATGTATGATGTCATGGAAATTTCCACGACCCGTTCTATTAATATTATGCACTAGGGCGTCTCGCCCGTCTTTCTACCAAAAAAAAAAAAAAAAAAGGCAGTGGCAGGATTAATGGCAGTGCACAACCACGCACCGGAAAAGTCTCGACCCGCCGGAAAATTTTGATAGGCGAGGAGACGGGCTGGTCGGCCACTGTGAAATTTTCGTAGGGCGCTGGTGTTGGATTTTATAATTATTAATTTTAAAAATTAAAATAATCATGAATCAAATAATTACTACACTACCCTTCATTAAATTGAATTAATTAGAGCCATTGGGTTTTAATGAACTTGAAAGGCTAAGATTAGTCACCTGATCTTGGCCCATTAATAAGCCATCGTTCCTTTTTTCTTGGAAGGAAGCCACAGACAAGCTGAGTCATCAAATTAAATTACAGAGAAACGGATCTAAAACTTTGTTTACAAACTGATGTCAGGCAAATTAATAAAACACACATGCCTAAAGTCATACCAGATTCATAACCCCAAAATTTGAAAAACTTGAAAAGAAAAATAAAGCAATTACAAATGGTAAAGCTGCATTCTCTTTTTCTTCACCACCAAGGCAAAAAAAACCCCACACTCTCTTTAAACACTTCCACACACCACTCCCTACTGTGAAAAGAAGAAAAGCTCCCCAAATTAGGGAAAAAGAAAATACAATGCCTTGGTTAGTAGCAGAGACCCTTTTTCCCCAGTTCTATACTTGATCATCTGGTCCAGCAAGCATAACCTGTCACATACCGAAACCGAGATTTTTCGTCCATCAAAGGCTCTGATAAAGTGAACTTCTTGGTTGTGGAGGCAGTCAAAGATATGAGCATTTTTCGTTACTTACATTGCAATCGTTGGAGAACTTTCTGGCAATCGTAATGGCTGCATTCCTCGCTTGCTCTGTCTCGAACTTCAGCACGAAGGAGAGCCCCTTCCTGGGTTGCCAGAACAGTGACTTTGAGGCAGCATTGCTACAAATCGCTTGAGCTCCACATAACTAGAGTTCAAGAACATGGGGAAAATGTCAACAAGATTACATGTAAAAGTTGGAGTCCTCTTCTGAAGTTATAGACACATTATAAGATTCTATTGACCAGGATTAACGGGTTTATATCCAACTTGTCATCTACAATCTTGCTTCTTTTTTGGTCACTCAGCCGTAGATTCGACATATAGTGATCTTCACAGCTCATGAGAAGCAGAGTAGAAGTTACCTGCATGGATGCTGAGTAAATTTCTCTCGCCTTTGTGATCCATCCTCTACAAAGTTTTATCCTCATCTTCCCCACATTAAACGAATGGACTGAATGTGATGGATTGTCTTGTCCATTGATCTGCGAAATTGTCACCTGCATATACAACACATAACCAAAACCAAGTGAGAAGAAAGCTAATATGTAAAGTATCAAGCTTCCGGGAGTATAGGAGAGTTTGCTTACACTAAATTCAGCACTAGATTTTCGCAGAAGTGTCTCTACATGGCTCATAAGTCCTGGAGCTGTTTAAGAAACCAAAGTTCACGAGCTATTCAGTTACCACGATGTACACATGGCACACAATGAAAGCAAGTGCAAGGGAACATTGCTAATATAGGAAGCACCTGGCTCGATATGACCAGCGGTTGTTACGCTGCTAACTTTCTGGCCGTTTGAAACCACCTTGACTTGAAGGACCCGGCCAACATCAAGTGGTTCAGGAGCATATATTGGCTTTTCAGCGCCTTTTGAGTCACCAGAAGAGGAAAAGAACTGATTAAAACCATATCAAAATGTGTAGATAGTCAAATCTGAAGTATAGTATGGACCAATGACATATCATTCGTACCTAAAATGACTTCGTTGTGACTCCCTTCAGATGAGACGCGGTACCACTGAATTGAGCATTTTGAAAGTAGTGGAGCATCATTAATACGAGGATGGAGACGCAAACACGAACCGAGAGTATCAGAGCCTTCTATTCTGTATATTGCTAATTTGTTCTCCTCTACTCGTTTGCTGATTGGCAGCTGCATCAGAAAAATGGAAGTCAGCGCCTTAGACAACAGGCAATAAACAACTTCAGAGAGAAATGAATAAGGCAAGAAATCATCACAGGGGGAAAAGCGGGTAACGAGGAAAAACAAACCTCTTTCTGAAGTTTCACAGAGAAGATGGCTTTCTCGCGGATTTGAGCTCTGAGTGCACCAAGTTCATGCTCCATGTCCATCCCCTACAGAAATCACACACTTTCTTGCAACGGGAAAGAAAGGGAAGAGGAAAAAGTAAAAGGTTAACATGACTTAGATTTGTGATGATTGCGGTTGCAAGACATGGCTGGAAATAACTAACAGCAGTATGATTCACAAGGTTGACTTCCATGCATTCCATCATGCAAATGTCATGACAATATACCATTTACAATATCTAATGTCTATATAAAATTCAAATGCAAATTGAACGATCAATGGGAAGAAGGCCTTTCCCACTTCCTACAGTTCCAAGACTCAAAAGCCTCAAGTTTTCCACCAATTAACAAGTGCCAACTATAAGACTTGTATAACAAGCAACTATTTATCCTAAAAATAGTGGGATGTTACTTCAAGCCACGCAACAACTAAATTACAAGATCTTACAGGCATACCTTGCTCGGGTAATGCATCAATTTGATTCTTCTAGCCTCTTGAACCTCCTCAAGTAGTACCTCCACATTCTGCAATACCATCAGGAATCAGTCTAACCATTTCGGAAGATGAAGTCTATGTAAGTGACAATCAAATAGAGTGGACAGATACACTACAAAGACAACTAAACTTACAGGAGACAAGTTTTTAGAAGTTGAGCATTCTTTTCTTCTTCCTCTAAGGCCTACCCAAACCTCTGAACAACAGCCCGGGCGCTTTCTATTTCAGCACATGCAAACGATCTTTCTTGGCTGACCAGCTTCTTAGCATCTTCTGAAGCCTGTAGACACCACAGAACACATCAATATGAGCTGATGAAACAGAATTGGTGAATAAGAAGAGATAATTTTGACTCAATAATTCTCTGCAAATTGACAAAAAAGGGAAACATTAGCCAACCTGTCTAAGGAAGTTTGCAAGCTTTTTCACTTCGAACTTCTCCTGAATTAGTTCACCTTCTTTTTGAGTCAGCTTCACAGCCAATGCTTCCACCTGCAGTTTGCAGTAACTGTTAATTCCCAACAGCAAATAGTCCCCTTAGAATTTAGATGCAATGGAATCCCAGAATCCAGATGCATCAAATGGAATTCCACAATCATGTAGATATCCAGCTACTGTACCCGAATGAAGGAAAATGGAAACCGGGAAAGAGAGCTACTAACCATAGAGATAGCCTACTCCACATCCTCTTTGTTTCGCCCTGCCATACGTCCTCTCAAAGATTCTAATGCATCTCTCAGCTTCTTCAAAAGCACATGCCCCTCCAGAGAAGCCACTTCTCTAAGTTTCGCCTAATTACATCAAATACAAGAGTGTTAGCATAATTACCAAAGGATAGTTTTCTCGTACAAAATGACAGTAGCCAAAAGTGACAAATGTAGCAGGATGGGATAAAATCGGAATTGGCAAGAGTTTTGAGAGAGAACCTCCTCGGCCAACTTAGCAGCAGAAGCCAAGTTCTTGTCGAATTTACTGGCCAGGTCACGAACCGACAGGCGTTTATGCTGTTCTGAGAGCTGTGCTGTCTCCTGCTCAACAATGTACTTCAACAATGGTCCCTTTTCATCCTCTTTTGGCTCTTCTACTACCTGATTCTCAGGTCCTAGCTTGTACTTGGGAAACCGGTCCAAAGGGAAGCTGACATCAGCTGAAACTGGAAGGAAGATCTCCATTCCAATCATCTGCTCTCCAAGTGGACTAACCTTGGTCATTATAGATCGGGTCCAAGATTGGACTCGTTCCCTAATTCTTCAACAGAACAACATAAGAGCAAAGGAAAAGAGACAAATCAGTATAATGTGAAGGTAAAATTGCAGATTTCCTCCAGTAAAGCATCACATTACATGCAAGATTCCATTGTTTGTCCAATGTGTTAAAGGAGACATATTCAAGCACATCACTGAAATCCCAGCATCAAAAGAAGCATGCATTAGGGATAAACTGGAACCAAGCTGATGCAAAGACAAGGGGGGAAAAGAGAAGAACTATCAAGTGGTAGCTCCAATTGAAAGGACAAAATGAAGAAAACATTAAAAAAAACGGGCAATCCAAATTGGTTGGTGGGTTTAGGTGACCTGAACCAAAGGTTTAAGAATTCATTTCCTGTAATCCAAATAAAGATCCAAACTTTCGAATGCCCTTTACATTTGCACACTAGAAGGGACATTCTTCTTATGAACCCAAATGAAAACTTACCCAACTCAAAGCCACATTAGTAGAATACAGGTGGAATGGAAATCAATCAAGTCACATTTAGAACACTGTCCTTTGTAAAATGCAGGCAGGGAGTCTCAGCTCAATGAAGCAAAACTAGAAAAGACAAAGGAAGCATCATCTCTGGCCTACTCATTTCCCACTTCAACTTTGTCGAATTCGATCATAAAAATTTCCAGAAAAGAATGCAGCCCAGAAGAAGAACAAGCCGGAAACATGAAAAGGAAGAGAAGAAATGTAAGAACTTACAGAGAGGAGGAGAGGGAGAAGCAAGGACAAATTGCAGAGAGGGCCAAAACCCCAGAAGAAAAAAAGTAGTTGCTAGCTAGCAGCTCTTCATGCACGGGGGGACAGGAATGATTTCAGTGTGTTGGGTTTTTGCAGAGGGAGGGGGAGAGAGAGAGAGAGAGAGAGAGAAAAGGAAAAGTAAGTAAGAATGGAGATTGGAGTGAAATCACTGTGGAGAGAAAGAGAATCTAAGGAATGGCGTAATTGGTTTAGGCTGCTCTCCTCTCCTTTTCTAAAAGCAAGCGCCAGGGAGAGAGAGAGACAGGAAGGAAGCGAAACCTGCTCCTGGGCTATTTAGCCCACACGTCTTATTACTTTGATACCAAAAAGAAACCGGGCCTAAGCGATAGAAGCCCACTAATTTATAAACTCGGCGGAAAAACCCTAACGTAGGTATAAGGGTTCCAATTCTTCGTCTCCGTCTTCCATCGTTAGCAGAAAGAGAAGCCGCCACTCAAAGCCTAGCTGCATCCTGCTCGCCGAGCTAACGAACGAAGGTGAAGTTCTTCAGTTTCGAACCACGTATTTGATTCGTTGCTGGATGTGATTTTAATATGCGTTCTTGTTCTGGGTATCTTCCGACATCAGGCTATATCGATAATGGCGACTTATGCTGCAATTAAGCCTGCGAAGGCTGGGATTGAGGAGCCTCAAGAGCAAACCCACAAGATCAGGATCACTCTGTCCTCCAAGAATGTGAAGAACCTCGAGAAAGGTCCGATTGTTCGTTCATGGGGATGGTTAAACCAAGGGATTGTGGCTTTGGTCCCTGAATCGTTGTTGTTTTTCTATTTGCAGTTTGCGGAGACTTGATTCGCGGTGCCAAGGACAAGAGGCTGAGGGTGAAGGGACCCGTAAGAATGCCCACCAAGACCCTTCTTATTACCACCAGGAAGTCCCCTTGTGGTGAAGGTAAAATCTTTCGACCATTTTCGATTTTAGCCTGAATACATGTTCCTTGTGAAATGGATTGAATCAACTACCTCTGTAGTACTGTTTGAATCCCTGGTACGAGTAAGTTTATCGTGCAAGAAGTAGTTCGTGACTGAATTCATTCTCTAGTTAGGGATTCTTTCTTGAACAAGAAGTAATGTTTCATGGATTTGATGGTGTAACCTGTTTAGGCGGGCTAGACACGACGATTTCTCAGTTGGGGTGATATGAATTGATGTTGTTTTTGTCTGCAACTGGTGTAATCTGATTGAATTTCTCAACATTCCCATATTTCAACAAGTGGTTTCATCATCTTACTCTTGGGAAAAATATTCAATGGGTCGATTTGTACTTACTAGGTGTTATGCCTTGAACTGTTGGTAAAATCATCTATCCATCAACCCGATGGATATATTTCCGAATGGGTTTGGTTTAAGATAAGATCGGTTGTAAATTGGTGGAGATAGGGTTTCATATTGGCACCCTCTTTACTGACTTCTCCATTTTGCATTTGAATGTTTCGTTCAGGAACCAACACCTTTGACAGATTTGAGCTCCGTGTTCACAAGCGCATCATCGACCTGTTCAGCTCCCCGGAGGTGGTGAAGCAGATTACCTCCATCACCATTGAGCCAGGTGTTGAGGTGGAAGTTACAATTGCTGATGCTTAAGAATGTCCTCTGTTTTGCTGTCTTGGATCCTTCTTTTTGGCTTCTAAAGTAGTTTATTGTAGTACGGGTCAGCCCGAGTTTGGAATGTGTTGGATGCTTACATGTTATCGAACGTATGTGCCAGTCAATACTGCCTAGAGGTTGTATTGTTTTACATTTCCAGAGATTCTGTTAATGCAGAAAGAGAGTTTTGCTTAACAAGTGTTATGTTGTGTGTGTTGAACGTTAAATCGGCATGAGGGCAATGGAGGTACCTCTTGGATGCTTTTCGCTGTTGAGACAGCAACAAGTGCTCGATTGAGTTCTAGTTAGGCCTGTGCAAGCATGGTTTCTTCGAGTAATTCGTTATCGAAAGCTGAACTATTAAGTTGTTCTTATTTTTTGTTACCGGTTTGCGATAAATGGTTTCGAAGTCTGGCAAAGGTAAGATTTCCCAGCGTCTGGAAGATGTTCTGGGCTACGCATACAACAATAGATATTTTCTAATGATCAAAGTACACAAATGCACAAACATTGAACAAAGAAGTCAATTTATGGCCTTTCTCGTTTTCACGTTCCATATCTTCCGCATCTAAAATATCGCTGATCATTGATTTGCAGCTGCAAATTGACACACAACAAGAAGGAATGTTCGATAACATGAGAGATCGAGCTTTATAGAATTTCTATAGCTAAGATCCCTTCATTAGGTGTTCTAAGTTCCAACATGGAATCTTTACCTATTTCCACTATACCCTGGTTGAGACAAGTGGTTGATCGTAAAAAAGCTTCTCATGTGATGGGTTAGATAAGACACTTGTAAATCATACCATATCTGTCAGATAAAATGAAGCACGTATAAGAAAGTTCCGAATTAATTTTTATCATCAGGACAAATGCAACGAGTAACGCCTGTTCATATCTGTATACATACCCACCAAACAAAACACCATTGCATATTCTATGCTCAATCAGTTATCAACACACCCTGTAATGAATTCACTGAATCGGAAAACATTGCGTCTACTCCCGAATAGGATAGTACGAGCATGATTGCGTAACTAATTCAACGAAATCAACCTACACAAGGAAACTGATTTTAACTTTGCTCACAAGTTTAGTTCATAATTTGCCAACATCCATCGATCCCATCTCACCAACTCAACACCAAATAATGGAGTCGACCACCACTGTGGAACCATTTCACCTCTTTTCCTATACTAATTGTCAGTGTTTCGAATTGACCAATTTTCTCCCCTCTCTCGACTCTTATCCCTCACTCTTCTGATCGTCTTTGAACTCCATAATTGACGGCGCCATGAGAATTCGAAGATGAGACTAACCATGCCAAAAGCTGAAGACTGAAAGAGAATAAGCACAAATGCCTGTGAGGTTCACTAACTAAATGTTACACAATGAAACATCTTTTGCCACCATATCCCTCTTGTTACACATTCAACAGAAAAATGCAGGGTCTGGAATTTACATGGAACTGTTGGGAGCATATAAGTTGTAGAATTGCTGCTACAAAGCACACTACAATGCACATCCTCCATAAATAAAATCTCTTTGCATTACAGATACACCCAGCTGATTCACCAACTGTTACACATCTTGTGCCAACCCTCTATCCCTCTGATTACAGATTCAAAAGCCAAATGCAAAGTCTTTGATTTACATGAACTATTGATAGCTTTCTAAGATGTAGAATCGCTGTTAAAACACACACTCCAACATCCAACCATCAGTCAAAGAAGTCAATCACGGCTGTTCTCGTTTTCACGTTCCATCTCTTCCGCATCTTCAAATCGTTGATCATTGATTTGCAGCTGCACATACACGCGCAACAACAAGAAGAATTGTTCATAACATGAGAGACCGAGCTGTAAAGATTTTAACTTCTCAGAAGTGAGGTTAGCCTGTAACGGAAAGGCTCACCTCAAGCACAGTACGAGCCAGGTCATGATCCCCATTTGAATGGCCAATGGAGCTGGTTGGGGAGAACCATTCGGGGGCTTCCACATCTGGAGAATGACCAGTATGATCATGTAAGTTTAAACTATGCAAAAACGAAATTAAACAGTAACCAAAGGGACCATTGACATCAAGTATATAATACCTGCTCCATCATCAGCCATCATGTCAGCACTGAAAACCCAGTTGTTGCCGCCGAACCCTTCATCTTCTAGAGAGAGAGAAAATCAAGCATTTAGAGGATTAGGAATAGCAACATTTCAATACCGGTCAGAAGGTATGACGAGGGGACTGAAGAAGAAATGCGTTCACCTTCAATTGGTTCCGGATTGAGCTCAGCACACTCACAGAAGATCTGGAACAGAGTATCCACTGCATCCAAAGACAATAACAAACTCAATTGTAATGGATGATGGATCGAAACTACAGCCATACAAAGAAAAGAGAGAGAAAAGGAACAGTACGCTGGTTTGGGTCAGAAGGAACAAGCCTCATCTCTGTTACTTTGGACAAGTCCAAAGTTTCTTCATGCTCCGAATCTGAGCAATCCGAATCATCTTCATCAACTCCCGTCTCAATCTTCAAACCAAAAAAGATAGATCAGAAGCATCATTCCCCACAAACAAGAAGCATAAGTAGCCAGCATAAGTTACAGCTAACCACTGAAAACACCGATGTCATTGTAGTGTATTTCATTTATGCACACAACGCAAAACCAATTATCACTACCCATATGACAAGTAGCTCATAAACCAAATGAATGATCCCAAACAGAAGCAGGCAGTTTGCGAACTAATCTAATATGAACTATAACGTTACAAACTCAAGTTGGTTCATCAGGGCTAACTAACTAAATCAACCCTAAGAATGCATAACCGACATTCACTTGGCAAGTTGGTCGCCATTTCAAACTGCAATTGAAGCTTAAAGATAGAAAACTGAGTAGCTCACCTGAGCATAAATACAAGGAGAAGGAAACGCATCCGGATCCCTCGACACAGCGTGGAGCGACAGAGCCAAGAAATCAACAGCATAGCCCTTTTCCCTATCCACATCGCTCAACCAAACCACCTTCCTGGTAACAATTCATCAAAGCAGAGAAAGTATAGTGAAAAGGACAGCTTCCGGCACGTTGAAAGTAAGAACGAGGAAACAGTACTGCCCATGCGCGTGGATTACCTGGAGGAGATGTAGAGAGTTCCGGGAGCTTCCGGGGAGCGATTGGCGATAACAATGGCGACGCCGGGCTCCACGTGCTTCAGCTCCTCGCCATTTTCAGTGTCGAGCACCGGCACACCGGCACCTTCGCCGGTACGGTCGGTGAATTGTCTCAGCCCTGGAACCATTTTTTGGGTTCTTTGACCTTAGTCTTCTTCTGGTAGTCTCTTGATTCGGAGGTTTGCCCTGGCTTGACTTGGATTGTTTAGGGGTTTCTCTAGGGTTTAGTAGTTTTGCTGGAGAAAGTTCTGCAGCTATCGGATGTTTCCGATCTCGACCAGCTCCTGAAGCGCTAAAGAGGCAAGAGCTGGTAGGCTTCGGAATGAACCCACGAACACGAAGGCCCAAAAAAAGGACGGGTCGGGCATACTCTAACTATGTACGGCGGGAACTTTTTTTTTTTTTGGTGAAACCAGGGCGCAAAGGGCGCCCTAACCTTTATTCCGTACGAATCAGGCGGGGGGTTTGAGTCCCCAAAGTATCATAATACAACCAGTAAGCCAGAGCACTGCTCGGGCTAGTAACAATGTGGTATCCAATCGGAACCGAATGGCCCATAGATGCTAAGTGATCCGCGACATGGTTAGCTTCACGGTAGACATGATCGATCCTAACGGTCCATGGCCGTTCCAGCCATCTTCGAACTTCAGCCACCCACGTGTAGTGTGGGTGGTTCGATGATGCCGTCTCTATCAGGGACTTGGCTGTCGCTGAGTCAGTCTGCAGAACAACCTTCCTGGCCCCTTCCTCCCAAGCAAGCCTCAACCCATACACAATTCCAGTTAGCTCTGCACAGGTTATGGAACCCCCTCCAAGGTTCGTCATGAATGCTCTGATGAAGCGACCATCGTCTCCCCGCACGATGCCGCCGCAAGCTGTGCTTCCTGGAAAGGAGTTAACTGAGCCATCTGTGTTTACACAAACCCAGTTCGGCGCCGGTGGTTGCCAGCCAACGTCACGCCTCACTCGGAGTCCCCCATCTCCGAAAACTTTCATCTCCTTCTCGAAAGCTTTGAGAAGCTGCTCTCTAAGTTGTTTTGCTTGGACCTGAATATGTGTATGAGTTTTCAGCTCGCTCCGGAAGACAAGGCCATTCCGATTCTTCCACAGCAACCAGGAGACACCTGCAAAGAGAGTACTATCAATTATTTGACTCCTTCCTGAAAGATAGAAATGCGACCAACGCTTGATATCGGGTTCTAAGAAGAGGCTGTCTGGTTCGGCTCCAAGCATGTCCGCCCAGGTAGCTCGTGCAAATGGGCAATCTCGTATGATGTGGATCGTTGTCTCTAGGTCCGCGCCACAGATTTTACAACCTTTTTCCGTCGTCAGGTGCCGGCGCCCTCGTTCTGCATTGGTGAAGAGGCGGTCGTGATTCATCAGCCAAAGAAAGGAACGCACCCGCTGCATGGTTGGTGCCTTCCAGATGGTTCGCCACACCGGCTGGGCCTGGGTCGTGCTCGCCACTGGGTTCGTCAGTTCGTACGCCGTCCGGAGTGTGAAGTCCCCCCGTTCAGACCATCTCCAAACCCGGACATCGTCTGCTTCCTCCGCCGGGACCGGGTGTGCTCCAACCTGCAAAACAAGAGCTGGGGGTAAGTACTGTTTCAAGTAATCCTGATTCCACTCGTCGTTTAGTACGAAATCGATCACTGGCATGTTGCACACTTCTGGCCCTAGGCCAGCCGCATAGTCCCTGAGGATGATGTCGTCATTTAGCCATCTATCACTCCAAAATCGTGCCACTATGCCATTACGAACGTTCCATGCCGTTGCCCCTCAATCAGATGGGCTACGCGCATCACTCCGCGCCAGAGGTTAGACAGCCTCCCCGTATTGTGAAATACCCATCCCCCTTCCGTTAGCTTCCCGTATTTCCCTATAAGAACCCTTGCCCATAGATCAGTCGGTTTAGTAAGCATTCTCCAGGCGATCTTCAGCATATAAGCTTCATTAGTCCTTGTAGAGTCTCGCATCCCTAGGCCTCCCTCCTCTTTGGGCCGACAGATGGTCTCCCAATCGATCAGATGCACTTTTCTCCCCTGATCAGTACTGCCCCAGATAAATGCCCGAATTTTTTTGTCGATGTAGTCACAAACACTTGCTGGAAGCAAAGTTGTCTGCATCGTGTAGGCCGGGAGGGAAGAGATCACTGATTGCGCCAAGGTGATACGCCCAGCTAGCGAGAGGGAGGCAGCCTTCCACCCCGCTAAGCGTCTGTCAATCATGTCAATTAGATCCGTGAAGGTAGCTTTCGACACTCTATCGTGGATCACAGGGACCCCCAAGTAGCGTCCCAGATTATTCGTTTCCGGTATCCCAAGTTCTTGACTGAGATTTTGCCTTTGCGAGTTCGTCACATTAGATGAGAAGTAAATTCTTGACTTGGGCTTACTGATTTGTTGCCCCGATGACGCCCCAAACCTCTCGAAGCAGGCATTGATTTCCTGAGCTTGGGAGATTGATGCTTCCCCGAAGATGATCAGGTCGTCAGCGAAAAAGCTATGGGATAGCGCCGGACCAGTGCTCGAGAGCTGAATAGGCTGCCATCTACCCGATCGTACCGAGGCATCAATAATATGTCCAAACCTCTCCATGCACAGAGTGAAGAGGTAGGGAGAGAGCGGGCATCCCTGGCGTAACCCTCGCGACGGTTGGAAGCTCTCAGTAAGGCCCCCGTTCCACTGGATTTGCATAGACGCCGAGGAGATACACGCCATTGTTATTTCCACAAATTTAGCTGGAGAACCTGTTGCTACAAGGGTATCCCGAACGAACCCCCATCTGATCCGGTCATAGGCTTTAGCGAGGTCTATTTTCAAGACCATCCAACCTCGCTTTCCCTTCCTCGCGCGTATTGAATGCACCACCTCCTGCAGGATGCAAATATTATCTGTGATATGACGACCTGGGACAAAACTGGTTTGTGTCTCGTGCACGAGAGTGGGCATCAGACTCTTCAACCGTTCTGCCAGGCATTTCGTCAATGCTTTGTATGCCACATTACACAGGCTGATGGGACGAAACTGCTCAATCGACGTCGGTTGCAGGATCTTCGGAATGAGCACCAGGATTGTTGAATTCACTTCTCTGATCTTCCCAGGGTTGGCCCAGCATTCGAGGATGAACTGGGCGAGAGATGGTCCCACAGTTTCCCAGCATTTTTGGAAGAAAATGGGATTCAGGCCATCTTTCCCGGGGGCTTTTAGTGCCCCCATAGCTCGAATCGCTCTCTTGACTTCCTCCGCATCCGGGTCCCTAGCTACCGCTGTCCAGAGCGATCCATGAATGGTTGGAAATCGGCCTGCAAGGATTCCAGGTCGCCGCCTTCATCTGTGTACAGGGTGCTGAAGTACACGCGCGCTAGCTCCATAAGCGCGCCAGGGTCTTCAATCCATTGTCCCTCCCCGTTCTTCAGCATCAGGATGCAATTTCGTTTCCGACGCCTCACTGTTCTTGCATGGAAGTAAGCTGTATTCTTGTCCCCCAAAGCAAGCCACTCAAGTCGAGATTTCTGGTACCACAGAAGCTCTTCCTGGAACAGAATGAGCTCGAGCTCCTCTTGGGTCTGTAGGAGTTGCTCGGCTGCTCCATTTCCTCCCCCAGCATTCTCAAGACTTTCAATCCTCCTGAGCAGGTACTCCTTCTTCCGCAGAATATGGCCGAACACTCTTCTATTCCACTCGATAGCATCCCGCGCAAAGGCTGCTGCTGACTCGGTAAATGAGCTTCCCTTGGCCCAGGCAGCGTCCGCCATCGGTCGGAATTCGTCGTGCGTCAGCCACGCTGCCAAGAACCGGAATGGTTTTGCACCTCCTGGCGCAGCTTCGTTTTGCATTGATACGAATAACGGGCGATGGTCAGACTTCTTCATTCTGGGCACATGGCGCACAGTTGTTTCAGGAAAGGCTTCCAACCAAGTGTTGTTCGCCATTCCTCTGTCGAGTCTTTCTCGCAACCCTGTTCTGAACCAGGTATAAGCCGGACCATTGAACCCCAAGTCATTCAATCCGGTGTCATGGACCACATTCTGGAAGTCCCGAATCCTCGATGAGTCGAAAGGTGCACCGCCGAGCTTCTCACTTGGGCTGATGATAGAATTAAAGTCGCCGACAAGCAGCCATGGGAGCTCCATACCCTCGTCGATTCTTCGGATTTCCTCCCACAGTTCTCGACATTGAACTTCCGCCGGGCTCCCATAGATGGCGGATAGATACCAGCCCTGACCATGACCATTCGTGTCTTGCACCTGCACATGAAGGCATTGAGGGTGAGAGTTGGTCCTAGTAATGACAAAGTCACCGGCATTCCAGAGCACCCAAATGCCCCCTGAGAACCCACTAGCATCAACCACATGCTCACTATCGTAACCCATATCTCTAATAACTTCAAGTGCTCGGTCCCCACTAATCCGAGGCTCTACGATAATCACAATACGAGGTCTAAACTTTCTACGATACTCTCTAAAAACACGTAGGAAATTCCTACTACCCGCTCCCCTACAATTCCACGCTAGAATTTTACAATCCATAAAATCTAGAGAAGAAAGGGACTCCCTGAAGGTTATCTCGTGGTTGGGGTGACCCCGTCGCCACTCGTTATCGTCTGGCTCGCGCATGCGTCGCCTGGGTTCTCGTTATTTGTCGGCTGCCGTTGCTGGGCTGACCCGTCGGGTGGTTCCCCACCAAGATTGTGATCCACCACCTGCTCTTGCACCTTTTTTTGTGCAATCTTTGGAATGCTCGGGACAGTAGTATGCTCAAAGTTCTTGCCCGACACCTTCACCATCCCTGTACCTTTCATTTCTGTTCTCTCAACTGTAACGGGTCCCTTTGTTGCAGCCTTTGCTTTGTCACGTGGCTTCTCCTTCGCTGGGATTTCAAGGTTCGTACACCCATCGGTTGCTTGTTGGGTCTCTCTACTTTGTTCTTTATTTGCCCTACCTTCCCCCTTACCATGATGGGTCTTGCCAGGTACGGGTGCATCCCTGATCTCTATTGGCTGCGACTGCTGTGTATCAGGAGATTCTTCCATGACTAGCGCTTCAAATCGGGAGCCGTCGGGCTTCAGCTTCTCACCCGCCCTGGTTGCGACATTGTCATGTCGCACCCCTCCTCCTTGGTCCTTCTTCCCCGCCCGTGGTTTTCTCTTCGCAATCATCCACTCTCCGTATGTTTTCTCAGGTTGCTTTTCCTGATTCTCCCCCGTCTTTCCCACTTCCTCCGCATCCATAGGTTCGTACGTCTTAGTACAGGTACACGTCCCTCTCTCGGAGTACGTGCCACAGTCGAGACAAATTTTGTCAAGCCCCTCGTACTGGACAAAGTACTTTTTGCCATTAATAGAAAATTTGGAGAGCATCGGTTTGGTTAAATCAACCTGGACACACACGCGAGCATAGTCGCTGCGCGCTACCGTGCGAGTAGCTTCATCAATTCGAATTGGGATACCAATACGGCGCCCGATCTTCATAACTTCCTCCTGGTGGAAGTATTGAATAGGAATCTCGAGTAGCCGAGCCCAGACCACCGTTGAAGCCACCTCATGATTATAAGGATCAAAGTCCTTATCCCACATATGCACTGTCAGGTAATTCGGTCCTATCATCCATGGTCCGTTCATGACCGCTCTGTCATAGTCCATCCCATTCGTAAAGCGGACGAGGAAGTAGCCGTTTTTCATGGACGTAACTTGGATACCTCCCGCCTTTGCCCAGATCGCATTGAGTCGTAGCGAAACCGCTGTATAAGATACAGCTCGGCCAAGAGCTTTAACCACCAATGCTGAACGTAGGCTTCTACAGTAGTGGCGTTCTTCAGCTGGGGAAAAATATATTGGCGGGCACTTCGGGTCGTCAGCTTCTTCAAATCCCATGTCTCGCCCATCCTCCCGGATAGCCGCAGCCGTATCCTCGGAGTCTGATTCCGCAGTATACCATTCGTTCAGTCTCGTCTCTGCACCAAACAGCCTTCGCGCAGCTCCTCTGCCTTGGTTCCAGGCGTTCGGAGGGGGGCTCTGAGGTATCGTCCGACTTTCCTCCTCCGTAGACATGACCTCGTCCGTCTCCGCGTGCACGTTGGTTATTGGTGCTGTTTGCTTGGCTTTCTTTTTTGTGTGTTGTGATTCCCGATCCCCTTTCGGGTTCGGTGAGGAAGATTCCGTTGGTGGCCGTCGGTTGCCGGCGAGGACGTCAGGTTGGTGGAGAGGGTTCAGGTCCCCTCCCCCTGCCGGCGGCACGTTGACCGCCGACATGCAGCAAACCCTAGGGCTGTGATCGATCGCCTGTGAGTCGCAGCAGATCGCCTCCTAAAATTTCGGAGCAAACCCTTTCCGTTTATCCACCCTAACTTTGACTTTGTACGGCGGGAACTTTGGTATTGATATTTGGATATATCGAATTTATTATTAGTTGATATTACCAAATAACGAATATATCGTGATTCATTTTTTAGTGTTATTTGATATTTGAGATTATAGGATTGTGAAAGGTATATATTGAAATACCAAAAAAATTATGAAAATTTAATAAATATAACGCACATACTTTGGTTCTTCCTCAATCTTTGATAACTAAGAAGGTCCACATCAAATCCAATTTTGGCTATCCAGTTTAAATGACTCTTGTCTCTCACTCAGTCTCTTGTTATTTTCATGACACCAAAAAACAAACACTTTCATTAGTCGTCTCTCAAATCTATTGAATTAAAAATTAGCAATGACTAGAAACTGAGATATCATCATATCATCTCTTCTCTCCTTATCCATGTCCTAGCTCTAGACGAACACAAGACCATTTGCCTAGTCTCTTTGCATAAAATGGAAAGTTATGGCTTAATGAATCAGTTCAGTTGAGACTTGATTGAATCCAATCAATGATGACTTCACTTTTAGTTTTTGTTAGACTTTTTTCACCTCAAACTTTCATAACAAAAATGTTCAATCACGAAGTTCAACATACAAGTCTACATTATATAAAATGCTCGGAATTAGGGCCATTATAACCATTATTTATTTATTTATTTATATATTTGATTTTTACTTGCAAAGATAATTAGTTACGTATTCGAGAATACCAAAAACTAGTAAGCTCCATCGAACTTAAACAACACAACCAATCTTATCAAGTACTTTGCCAACAAGGTATATCACGACAAACTAAAGAAGTAAGCGGAAACTGAAGATAATGAGTATTTTGAAACATCCTCACGAATATCCTCATCAGGAAAGGAGAGAGTTGATACATTCACTTCCTAAATGTTTAGTCCACCACAGTACCATTGCCGCTGGAAATTAGAAGCTTTGTCAATCATAGGAAGAGAAGTGCATTGGACACTCAAATTAGTTTCTAGTTAGAGAAGCATTTGAACGAATGGATCGATTAATGAATGAACTTCAACAAATTCTCCATTCAGCATTTGACTAACATTGCATTATGCACTTGATCCACTCGAAGTATTAACCATGAACCAACGTATTAAACCATCAACGAGAATAAGAACCATCTACCATTAGGATGACGCAGAAGGATTGAAAAGAATGGCACAGAATGGGACAGCACACAAACAACTTAACTAGAAGCGCAGAATTCAATTGGTTCTACAACTCAATATGATTAAAAAGTAGAAGCGATTTGGATAATAGTATGTTCTCTAAAACTTCGGACCCACAAGATACATTCAACCGAAAAGACAAACTAAATCCCACTCTAACATCAAACCCAAAAAAGGAGTTCATGGCTCTCAAGATTACTCTTCCACTGATAGAAGAACACTTGACTAGAAAGCACCACTTCAGCAAAAACTTTGAGAGCAAACATGGGTTGCCTAGGCCACAAGAGTGCTGGCAGTGGTCGACTCGCTGCAAGAAAGTAAATTTGTGTATGTCAGCATAACAAATAGGGTAAGGAATATACATAGGGAAACTAGCAAGAAGTGCAGAAAATGTTCAACTAGCAACAATAACTGTTGTGTCATAGACAAGTTCTGCAACCAAGTCGTTATTCATTCAGAATACCATCATCGAAACTAGACACTAGAACCAACTATTACGTGATCCCTACATGTATAGAAAGCAAACTACATACAAACTAAACCATCGTGAATTCATGATCACATAAATAACTTGACAAGAAAGCACTTACTACTTCCAGACTGGGGGGAGCTTCTTTGTCTTCTTGTAGTAACGGGCAAGCCTGTGAATTCTGCTCTCAACAAGAATCAGGCGGAACTTGGAGTCCTTGTCCTTCCTGTTCCTTTCCAAATGCTTCCTGATGGCAACAGCCTTCTTAATGAGGTGGTACAGATCCTCAGGAATTTCAGGGGCAAGCCCTGCATCGAAACAAGCACGAGAAACCAAATGTCAACAAAAGCCCAACCAATCTATAAAATACAATAACACTGGACGACAATCTACTATGACAAGATGCCACTTTTTTCTACAACTACATACAGCTGCTACATTCAGGCATGCTCATCGCTACCCTTTCGTATCTCTAATGAATCTAAAACACCAACTAACTAGTGACACTAATCCAAGGGCTCACTGTTCATAGTATCCACTACATCCTAAACACCAGGCAATCTAGTATATGAACAATCCCCTTCTATGATCAAAATAGAAGTTCCAAAATTTACCATTTGCCTTGAGAATACGGAGGATCTTGCTGCCAGTCACACTCCTGACCTGAGCAATACCATGAGAGTCACGGAGAATGACACCAATCTGGGATGGAGTCAGACCCTTCTTGGCGAACTTGCAGATGTTCTCTTCGACCTGGAACCAAACAACCCCATCAAATCAGTCACAATGCAAACACAGATATCAATCGTAGGTAACCATTCTTCACGACCGAACATGAAATGGAAAAATAAAACAAGGGAAGCCACAGCGCATAATCGACTCACATCCTGAGAAGAGATCTTGAGCCAACTCGGCGGGGTTCTTTTGTAGGGCAGAGCAGAAGCGGAAATACCCTTACTACAATCCAGAAAATGCACCGATCAGCATTTGGATTCATAAAACCGATTGTGGAAGAGATTGAAATGATAAGCGAAGAGAAGAAGGAGACGAAGAGGTTGGAGAGTCTAACCCTCGACTGTGCATACGACCCATGGTGACGGCGACGAAGGTTGTGCGGCGGTCTCTTCGCTCCTTCTGCTCAGCAGCCGATGCCTATACACACTGCAAAGATGCAAACCCTAGCTTCGCGATTATAATGTGTTAGGGTTTATATGCCTATATATTCTTTCAACTGACGGGCCTGCGCTTGTGGATTCAGATTTGTTAGACATCCGCACGGGAATTGGGCCTGGTCACTGTCATACTGGGCGCTCATTCTAATTGGCTGGGCCCATCTTCAAACCCTTGGACTGGGTGAATCTTGTTTTGTAAAAGCCCAACAAGTATAGTCCATGCCCGATTTTGCAGAAAGGGAGAACTCTTCCAAAATCAATTCCTCCCCTCGTTTTGTCAACACTCAATAGTTTAGTGCAATTTTTCTATATCGGTCGATCGGAATGTAAATACAGGATATTAAATCCCAAACAGTAGGGAGTTTAACGAATAGAAATAGTTGGATCACGATCTTAGTTTAAAATACTCTATTACTAACTTTTTTTGTATGATTTCTGGTGCGGTTTCACAATTATTGATTTAGTGTGATATATGTCACTGCTCATACCATGTTTTGGGTGAACAATCTAAAATTATTTGAGTACTATATAGATATTGAATTTAGGGTAGATACAAAAATGGGAATGATCCTTAAGCTCTATTCTAATGCCAACAAAAAAACTAGGTTTCAGGTTGTACCTTGTACGTTAAGTTAGCCTTGAGGGTTTCATCTTCATCCATGTTCACAACAAAACAATTTTAATTTAGTGATTCGTTGTGACGAGTCATTTCTGTATGATTCATATGATGTGATACGTTAATCTCAAATGTTTTGTTTGCGTTTTGTATTCTATCAAAATAATACGCATCGGCCGGACAGAGATCTCGAGCAGAATTATCAGAATCCCATGCACTTAAAAGGAAAGATTCGTTTGCATGCAAAGGTGGGCATGAAAAGCTTAATTAATCATGTGCTTAGTTAGCTTCCTTTATCTTCTCCAGCTGCAGGGAAAAGAAGGAAAAAAGTAAATCCATGGCTTTTCCCCCAGCTGAGCAGAGATCTCCATGCATGAGAACTGGGATAGATAGATGCATGCCCCTGCCATTCTATAGTTGTTCCCGGTGCTGGTTATCTTGCTAGTGCCTAGTTGTATCTGCTGCTGAAAGGAATAATACTATGGGGAGAATAAAAAGTTAACAAGGCAATAAGGGGTGATCGACACAAGGGAGAATCGGTTGGGTGCTGTCCTGGAAGAGATCGGTCATTATTTGTGCGCTCAGCCGGGGTTTAGTGTGCGATTTATAGGTCGGGAGAACAATAGGGTAGCTCACTCGGTAGCTAGAAAAGCCCTCTCTTTGTATCCGACTATGTGTCGCTTTTTTTATTTCAGGGCCTGGCTGGTCTCCAGGATGTAACTATTTTTTTTTTTGTGTGATCAATATATGATATCTTTTGACAACAAAAAAAAGATTGAGACAAGAAAAGATAGTCACTTCATTTTAGCAACACATGATATAGCGAGTATGTACAAACTTCAACCTTATGAGCCGACTTTCGTTTGAGTCGGTGTATAAGGAAGCAATTAAGATTCATATATGGTCCTTTCGCAACAATTAGTCCCAATAATTCGAGATGTTGAAAGAATGTTAATTGTAAATCTTATACCGCACTCTCTTATCGATCGATTAAATTTCTTCTTCGAATTGTACGCTCAACCTAAACAATCATACCTCAACGAAAGCATTTGGAATTTTTAGTGTAATTTCAGTATTTCACGAAGATTTCTACTTTCTATACATGATTGGCCCAAATTATTAGTTCAATAAGAAATACAAATCGAATGATGAACGAGGAATCCCATGCTCCAACCAACATCATCGATTCCCAAGGCTTCACATCCCAGCAACCAATGACTAGTTTGGCTTGGTTTGGTAAAACAAAAACAAAGTTGGGCTTTGGGCTCCAACACACCGTCCTATGCTCTCTCTGCTATGGCTTCGGGCCCCCTCCAACACATTTCTCCATTCATTTTCTAATTCAATAATTTACTAATAATGAAATTTCCACTGAGAAGAAAGTTTTTTTTTTTTAAAAAAAAATATTCTTCACTGCCCCTGGTGTTCAGTAAAGATAAAACGATGAATGGTTAATTAATAGGTTCATGATTTGAATATTATTGTGCACAAACCCCCCAAAATATTCAAAAGTACCCAAACAAAAATAAATCCTGAGTACCAACACATATTTGAGAACTATGCAAAGGGAAATATATAAGGACCCTAGAGGAGGAAGCTAATTTTGAAATGGTTGGATTGTGCGAATCGCGATTATATCGCTTCACATGCATATTTTTGGTGTCGTAATACAAAAACCAATTCCGTGTACATCTAATGTTCAAGATCCCATAACAATAATGAACACATTGTATTACTAACCTTCATGCTCATGTTAATAAATCTCTATAAACAAGCGCATAATAATGTAAATGAACCAACCAATAGTTTTGTTTCGAGATAATCAAATAGTATCACAATTTCAAATCCGAATTTTTCTCAAATAACTTCAACATTTAAAATATATTTTTAACAACTCAGATTCATCTAGATCTCAAATGTCGACTCAATTGAGTTGTTTTCTCGGCACCTTTTTCAGCCAAATATTGACAAACTGCAGAAGAAAAAACTCACTTTTCAATCGGGCAATGAAATCGTGCAGTGTGCTGCACATTCATTCATACTTTTTCCTGATCTCCTTTATACACATTCTCTTGCAAGTAGAACTTTGTTTTTGCCTTTCTTTCTTTCCTCCAATGTCTTTGTCAACCTTTTTTGCCACTACTGCATGATCATTTTTTGGGGCGTGGTCCAAAACCCACAGACTTGTTGTTGTCACAACAACACAAACAACATTACAAAGAATGGGACAACTTCTATATCTTTCTATGTGTCGTGTGTTTGCTGAGACTAAATGATGAAAGAATCATATGCCCCCATCTCACTTCCTAGCTAAGTTGTGTGTGCAGAAGTTTAGAATCTCTAATGTCAAAATTACAGCACCAATTGTGTACATAAAGTGTGTAAAATATTAATATACCACGGTTGAGTTGTCATGTCCTAAACTAGTGTCCAAACCTTAGTGTGCAATTGTGGTCCTTCCTGATCAACTTGGTTGTCGTTTTGAAGTCATGGCGTGCCCTTAGGGTGTAAATTTTTAAACAATTCCCAAGCTAAGTCACATGTACATCACACACTTGTTTCATCAACAAAATTTCTTTTCTTTTTTATATATCAACAAAATTTAATTAAAATGACGTCCCGCCAATATTCACTTAACAATATATTTCTCCCTGTTGAATTGATGATTTATATTCATAGATACAATTTGTTGTGAACCCTAATAAATGTATGAGTTGAAACCCGAGTAAAAAGCTAATATCGATGAAAGCTCGAGCCTCATTCGAGATAGGGTTTTTAGAGGCATATAGCTTTTTTTTTTAATTAACTCATCACATTCCCATTATCACATAGGTATGCATAAGGTCTAACTTTCCCCCATCATTGTCTTATAAATTTTTGTTCAGAAAGTATCATCTGAAAGAAATTATCAACAGAACGATGCACGCATCGCAACAAACTCTTGCAAGAATGGTGACATACCGAATGGTAATGATTAAACTTACGACCTACTTGATAAAAGAAGATCTGTGCATCTAATAGCCAAACGACATTGTTGATATGACTTGATTTGGATTACGTATCGTCGACTGGAAGTCACGGGGTCTCAATATAGATGTAATCTCCTCGAGTAACCTTACCCTTTATCATATTGTATTAGGGTTAGGTCGTTGGAGAAGTGCTCTATATACTTCTCATACTCCTCTGTAATTTGTAATCTTCCCAAGTATAATGAGGTGGCTCTCTCCCGCCTCTGAACTAACTAACGCACGTTGTGTTAGTGAAACACATAAATTTGTGTGCTCATTTATTTCTTGCTATCGTTATTTTTCTTGGATTGTCAATTATCTTGATCCGTTCTTAACACATATTGTATACGTTGATTCCGATCTTCTACCACTGTGTATGAGTGGCACATGAGTAGTTATGAGCTTGGTAGTGTTTTGCTGAAGTTCAATTATACTGTTCATAATTAACCATGGCGTTTTAGTCCCACATTTTTCTCTCCATTTTCATTTTTCAGGCCTTCCCAAATCCCGAATGCTGGTAGCCCTCAAGAGAATCTAGGAACTGAATATACTTCCAACAGAACATAAACAACCCCTTTTTTTGGACGAGTATATACCTTGTAATATCAAAACATGTAAATTCGAAACAGAAGAAACAGAAACTGTCTTCTCTTGTTGTCTGTTCAATGTTCATTCGATGGACAAAGGCCTACAGTGGAGTAGTGCAGTGGCCGATCGATTACTGTTATTTGCTAGAGAACGACTAGAAAGAATCTCAAAGGGAGGTGCCAAAATTGACAGTATTTTACTATTTTGTCAGAAATTTTGAAAATAGAATTGCAAAGCAAGCACAGACTGCCACACATGGACTAAAATGTTTGAAATAGCTGTTTTGGGCCTAATCCATTATTGCACGTTGTTGTGAATGACTGATTTGTACTTTACCCGAAAAAAATATTTTACTTTTTATGAATAGGTTTTTTTTAATAAAAAAAGGGTAAATACAATATATTATCCATAATTATTAAGTAGCGGGGAATTATAGTCACAACTATCGAAATACAAATTGTTAGCCATAACTATTGTTGTGAGTCAAGATTTGGCTAACAGCGCGTTACTGTTTTCAAATTTTTAACGTAGAAGGCCATGTCAGCATCGTAAAAAATATGATATGATGACTGCCACGTGGGAGCCAGCTCACCATCGTAAAAGCTTAGTCATCATTACTAACAGAAGTGTTAACGAAAACTTAACGATTGGCTAATAATTTGTATTTCGATAGTTGTGGCTATAATTCCCTGTTGCTTAATAGTTATGGCTAATATATTGTATTTGCCCAAAAAAAAAGATAAATATACTATCCATATACAGTGACGAGCACCACTACCAAATGAGAGGATGATTAATCTTGTTAGTGGCTAGTGAGAATCAATATCAGAGTGAATTTTCAACCGCTAATTAGTAGTATAATAATTTTAGTACAGTTTGTAGAGTTAGTAGTATAATAATTTTAGTATAGTTTGTAGAGTAGTTTAGTTGTTTACTTTGAATGTGTTCTGCTAAATAATAAACTGAAGTTAGTTAAAATAAATCTAGATAACCATGGATTTGATATTTTATTACTTGTGTCATTATAATATAGTCTCTTTCATTGGTTATACTTGGTCTATGTTAGGAATATGATTTGCAGCAGCAAGTAGCAACCACCCTTCCAATCCCTTCCAAAGCCCCCAAGTTTGCGAGAATGTTAGATATTTTGCGAGGTCGTTGGAGTTTTGCTAGGCCACCATAGATTGGCGAGGAGTCAAGGATGTCGCGATTTTGCGAAGATCCTAGTGTAGCAAACACCGATGATTTGTCTGTTTTTTTTGTTTAGTTTTGTGTTTTTATTCGTTGCTGTAGAAAGAAGAAATGAGAAGAGTGAGAAGGAAGACGAACTAAAAATTCCTGAATTTTTAAGTGAGATTTGAATCCAAACCCTTCGCTACATCCCTTGTACCAAAATTCATCATCCAAAGGTGGGTAAAAGTAGGGAGTTGCTAAAGGTCGCCCTTAAAATTGCTAAAGGTCGCCCTAAAAAGAATAAAAGTTACACTTTTAACCCCCATAGCTTCTTTACCTTCCCTTCCTCAAACAAACATCACTTGGACTAAAAAAACACTCTCTAAGGAGAGAAAAATCTCTCATCGTCATTTTGAAGCCGATATCGTCGATAGGACGTCTGAATCATGAGTAGCGACTCCGACGAGGTAAGAACATGAACAAAAAAAAAAAAAAAACAGAAAATGGGAACCGCGGGTGATTTGCGGTCCGACCATGGTCCAACCGCAAGTGACCTGCGGTTGAACCATGGCTGGACCGCAAATCACCTGCGGTTGAGCCATTGGTGGACCGCAATTGACCTGCGGTTGGACCATGGTCGGACCGCAAATCACCTGCGGTTCAGCCATGGTCCAACCGCAGGTCAATTGCGGTCCACCAATGGCTTAACCGCAGGTGATTTGCGGTCCGACCATGGTCAAACCGCAGGTCACTTGCGGTTGGGCATTTTTTGGTTTTTTTTTTTTTTTTTTTTCGTTGAATAATTTTTTTTTTATATGATTTATGATTGTTCCATGAAATAATTTGTTGGGTTTTGATTTATATAATTTATTAGATTTATTTGCATAATTATTTTTGGAATTGAAGGATTTAGCATTAGAAATTAAGATTAGATTTTTGGAATTGAAGGATTTAGCATTAGAAATTAAGATTAGATTTGGCCTTAAATTAAGATTAGATTTAATTTGGTGTTAATCTAGAAAATTAAGATTAGATTTTGCATTACAAATTAAGATTAATATAATTTATTAGATTTATTGGGTTTTGATTAGATTTTTGGAATTGAAGGAATTAGCATTAGAAATTAAGATTAGATTTGGCCTTAAATTAAGATTAGATTTAATTTGGTGTTAATCTAGAAAATTAAGATTAGATTTTGCATTACAAATTAAGATTAAATTTATTGCATAAATAATAGATTCGCATATGAAGTTATGATGATTATTAATTTTAATACTGATAACATTGCAGGATATTGGAAGTTACAATCCGGATGGCCATGATTACACCTCGGATTTCATTGATGGCGTGAAATACACTACGGAGTTGCAAGCATATGAAGCAGCCATTGAGATTGCAAAGGGTTTTGGGTTTTATTTGGTGAGGGCATCGAACAAAAAAAATACGAATGAAGGTACTTGGCGACATTACTTACATTGCACTCATGGTAGGAAGAAGAAGTCGAAGGAACCTGATCCGAGTAAGGAAACGAGGCCTCTTACATCTACTGAAAAGTTGGGGTGCGAGTTTAAGATCAAGCTTGAGCGGTCAGGTGATGGATATTGGTTGATCCTAGGGGTGGCAAATACAAAGAATCCTGGTGCTAATTTGGGTTTCCACAATCATCAGTTGGAGCTATTTCCGGAGGGATCAAAGGGAAGGAATGTTTTGACTACAGAGGACAAGCAATACATCAGAGAGCTGAGATCAGCCGGTGTCCCACCAAGGAATATCCACAAGGCAGTGAATGACAGAAAAGGTGCAAATGGAACACACAACAGAAAGCAGATTTATAACGAGTGTCACAAGATAAGGAAAGAAGAGCTTGGTCAGATGACAGCCTTACAGTATACTTTCCGCATGGCGCAGGAGAAGGGTTACTATGTGCAGTATATGGACGATCGTAACGTGCTTACACACTTGTTCCTAGCCCACCCCGAGTCAATATTGATGTTGCGAGCTTGGCACCATGTGATCGTGATAGATGCAACATACAAGACCAACAAGTATGATATGCCTTGGGTTGAGATTGTCGGCATGACACCAGTGGGATTGAACTTTGTCATTGCATCTGCAATAGTGTACGACGAGACGAAGGAGTCGTACCAGTGGCTTCTGACGCATTTGCAACATCTTCTTGGCCCCATTGTTCCAGATGTGTTTGTCAGTGACAAGGCAGGAGGATTGGTTGAGACCGTGGGGGTAATGTTTCCATCATCGACTCATATTTTATGTCTTTGGCATATGGATAGGAATGTGAGAGCAAAGTGTCTAACGGAGGTGCGAAGGACGACTCATTGTGGTATAGATGCAGCCAAACCGACAGTGGATCAGATCATGGCGTCTTGGCAACGTGCTGTATATGCATTGACAGTGGAAGACATGGATACTGCCTTAGAGAATTTCAGACGTGGTTGGGGAGTACAGTACCGACGTCTTTGGGGGTATATGACAGCTGAGTGGTTACCAGTTAGACACATGTGGGCTAAATGTTATACCAATCAACTGCGGCATTTGGGTAACACAAGCTCTAATAGGGTTGAAGCTGCCCATTCCTCCTTCAAGAAGTGGCTTCAATCATCTACTGGCGCAGTCGACACGGTTAGTAATCTAATAAATCTTTATTGATACACACATAAGTTTTAGTAGTTTCCTAATTGTTCTTCATTGTTTGTAGGTATACAAGAAGAACGATGATTACATTGAGGCTCAACACCTTCAAATCAGGAAGCTGCTGGAGGATTCCCGACAAAAGAAGCTGCTCCGAGCGGATGGAAAACCATTTCGAGAGTTGAATACGAAAGTCACTCTAGAAGCTCTGAGGTTGATGTTGTTCGAGGTAGCAGTGGAAGGGGAACCTTGTACATGTACGTTTCTTCCTACCTATGGTCTCCCATGTAGATGTTCCATTCAGTTAGCACGACGTGAAAATCGGGATTTCGCCTTGTATGATGTGTTGCCATTCTGGACCGTTATCAACTATCGTGAACCTCCTACTCGGCCGGAGTGGGATGACCATAGTGATTACCACCGTGGTGTGTTCCAAGGTCTAGTACAGGAGGTTCTTGATAGAGGCGACGAGACCATTCGAGGTGCAATCGGCCTACTCCGGAGCCATCTTCATCCTGAAAATGATGGCATTGATGAACCGCATGGGGGACAGCCCCGCCCCGGTCGCCCAAGGACGTCCACCACTCGAAACCTGTCTCACTTCGAGTGGCGATCACGACTCTTATCCACAAAAAGCGTGGATCCCAGCAACACAAATAGGTAACACTGCACCTCCATCTCCTTAATCTTCAGCTCTCCCCCACGCACCAACAATCCCTCTGCATGCATAGCACCATTATCGTACCACTTCGACTTCCACTTACCACCAACCTGAGCATCCACCGAAAGTCGAACTAGACCACCCATGTCTGACTTAAGAGTATCCTGCGACGCCTCATCTCCCATCAGCTCTCCGTCAACCGGTATCCGAAGAATGTGATGCACATCGTGTAGAAGGATCGAAATCTCTCCAAACGGCATGTGGAAGGTGTTTGTGTCCGGCTGCCACCTCTCCACAAATGCCGACAGTAGAGCCATGTCTAAATGCTGCATCATGCACCCCGTCAAGTGAGACAATCCTGTGGCTTCAACCATCTCCTTGGAACCCTCTGCACTCCACTTATATCGCAGAATTTAAAAAACAGAATTTTTAAAAAAAAAAGCCGAACCGCGGTCAACGCGCGGTTTGACCGACGGTCAACCGCGGTCAACGCGCGGTTGGACCTGCGGTCAACCGCGGTCAATGCGCGGTCCGACCAGCGGCTGACCGCGGTCAAAGCGCGGTTTACCCATCGGTCAACCGCCCTTTGACCGCGGTCAGCCGCTGGTCGGACCGCGCGTTGACCGCGGTTGACCGCAGGTCCAACCGCGCGTTGACCGCGGTTGACCGTCGGCTCAACCGCGCGGTGACCGCGGTTCGTGCAATTTTTTTTTTTTTTTTCTTACCTTCTTCTCCACGCGGCTGGAGGCGACGGGGCGGCGACGGGAGGCGACGGGGCGGCGACGGGAGGCGACGGGGCAGGCGACGGGAGGCGACGGGGCAGGCGACGGGGGCGGCGGGCTGGCGGCGGGAGGCGGCAGGGGGCGGCAGGGGGCGGCGGGCTGGCGTCGCCGGCGGTGGCAGGGGGCGGCGGGCCGGCGGCGGGCTGGCGTCGCCGGCGGTTGAGGGGGAGGGAGTGCAGAGGTGAGGAGTTGGGGGGAGGGGGAGGGAGAATGAATTTTTGAATTTGCCTTAAGGGCTTGTTTGTTTTGAGTTTTTGCTTAAGGGCATGTAGGTAATTTTATATTTTAGTTAGGGCGATGTTTAGCAATTCTTAGGGCGACATTTAGCGATTCAGTAAAAGTAAACCCACCTCTTAATGTAATACAAATATGTGTACACAATCACCAATGTGAAGCAAGGAAGTAAACTGATGAGTCTTGTAATTCTGTAACCTACTGAATTAACGAAAACCTCGAATCACGTGAAAACCATGGTCCATGAAACCGTATCGTACCGACGGTTCAACCACGGAATATCAGTATCGGATGCTAAATCGATAGGCGGTATTTAATGATTTAACGATTAAACCACGATTTTATCATAAAATATCATAACGCTAAATTTTCCGATACGGTTTCATGGATCATGGTGAGAATAGAACTTGATTCTATACATTTAATTTCATGTACTCCAGAGTCCAGACTACCACAAACCCCCGTGGCACAAACCATCTGTCGGTTAGCCAGGTGATCTTACGCTGGGGTTGCCCGTACGGGATTCCGAATTTTTGAATTCAAAAACGCTTTTTTTTCTAATGGGGATTTTAGCTTTGCAGTGACTGGGGGAGGTTTGACCGACAAATGTGTGTTGCCACCTGGCGGCGCTGTCCTTCCAGTTACTGGGTCAATGCCTGCACCATTGACAAGGAACTGAGTGAGAACTACCGTGAGAACTATGTTTCGGATTTCATGTTAAAAAATGAGAATGATTTTAATACACTTTAGTTACTTTTATGTCTCAAATTATGTGGTAGCGAGCATTCTTATTGCGCAATAAACATTAGCGATACATGTGAACCCAATACCGTTAATAAGATACATGATCCAGAATTGAAGATCTCCCAACAACTTCCTTAACCACTTGTTCACTTTCTTACATGCCTCGTCAAACGAAAGCTAACTCATGGACCTGAAGTTTGCACAAGCCCGTCATACCGTGTGCTTGAAGACAAGGGTTAATAACGGGGTCGTGAGGACTTGAACACGTGATCTCAAAGACAAGCCAATTGGTTTATGACATGGTATCAGAGCCTTCTATGACCAAGATGTCTTATGTTCGAATCCCAATGACCCACAACTGATTCTTTTAAGCACATGGTATCCGGACCTGTACGTGTGCAAACTCCAAGCCTACACGAGTAGCTTGAGTTTGAGGGGGTGTGTTAATAAGGTATATGATCTAGAATTGAACTTCTCACAACAACTCGAGTTATTGGGATCAACTGGTTCTTGACAAATACTTATATATTTATGTGTCAAAAGTTATTTTAATTTTTTTAATTGAATCAATTAGGAATTGATAAGGGGACTATAAGTGTATAACATTAATCTCATTGCTAACCACGCGGCCTGCTTTGCTCCCACCTCATGCGGCGGAAGCCCCCTTGTGACCGGAACACATGTATCTAAGCCTAAATACTTGAAGCAAACAATGGACTTTAGACAAAGTCCATCATGAACCCAAATCCATCACCAAATCTATCAAGCAAACAACCTCTTGAAAGAGAGGGGTGCCTTCGGGAACGCAGACACATATGGTGCATTGCTGTCGCCAGCTCGTAGCGTAAGGTGTTGGAAGTGAATACTTTATCATTGAAAAATTACTACGAAAATCAATTTTCACATGTCTAATTGTGACACCTAAACACTGTCCTGCATCGAATCATTTCCTCTTGCATGCTTTGCATATACGTTTTTCCATTCCCATGATTTCCTTCTTACTTACTTGCACTCCAGCTGATCATTTTGCCTAAGCTTCTCGTGACCACAGTACAGGCTACAGCAGCAGCAAGACGAGAATCAGTAGAGGAAAAGACCAAACCATCCTCATCCATCTCACCTCTCTTGTCACTCTCTGTTTTCATGGAACGAGAATGGATTGGAAGAACCCATTCAGGCGCCATAAGTAACTAGCCAAAATGCTACCCTACAAAAGGACCTCCTCCAATAAAGTCCCCTCATCCAACGATCCACAACCCGAATCAAAATAACCCACAAATTGTTTCTTTTCGAAATTTCCATCCTCTCTTTTCTTTATTATAAAATGTACTTGTTCCCCTGTTCAGACCTCTGCTCCACTCTTTTTCGGGTTGCGGTTTTCGATATGGTGGTACACTCTTTCCCTCGGTCCAGAAAAAAACTAAACTAATAATTAACCATTTCTCCATTTACAGGGGAGAGCAGAGCACCCCATTAACATTCCAAGCAGCTTTCCTTTCTGCATCCCCTTCAAAACAAGCTAAAAAACAGAGCATAAACAAAACAGAGTGAGAGAGAGTGAACTGCAAGTTGGGAAACAGAAGACAATGACTTCTGTTGCTTCTTCAGCAATTTTCCTCTTCTTCTGCTTCTTCTCCACTCTGGTTTTCATACAGGGAGTAGTACTTCAGGGCGCTACTACCAGCACCGAGGAGCTGAGTTCTCTCCTGGAAGTAAAATCAGCTTTGGACCCTGAAGGAAAGTACCTTTCTTCATGGACCGTCAATGGCGACCCTTGCGGCGGCTCGTTCGAAGGAGTGGGTTGCAATGAGAAAGGTCAGGTTGCTAACATTTCGCTGCAGGGGAAAGGGCTTCATGGGAAGGTATCCCCTGCCATTTCTGGGTTGAAGAACTTGACTGGTCTCTACTTGCATTACAACTCTCTGTACGGCGAAATCCCCTCTGAGATTGGGAACTTGACCGAGCTCGTTGACTTGTACTTGAACGTCAACAACCTCTCCGGCGAAATCCCTCCCCAGATTGGCAACTTGGCTAAACTCCAAGGTTAGTCCCCAAAAAGCAAACTTGCCCCTGTTTCAGAGAAGAATGCTATTTGCTAATTTCTAACTTTTATGTTCTTTTATGGGGGGGGATTTCAGTGTTGCAGCTCTGTTACAACCAGTTTAATGGAAGCGTACCAATCCAGCTAGGCTCATTAAACAAGCTAACAGTTCTCGCCCTTCAATCAAATCGATTTAATGGCGCAATCCCTGCTAGCCTAGGCAATCTAGGGATGCTAACGCGCCTAGATTTGAGCTTCAACCGTTTCTTCGGCTCAATCCCAACGAAACTCGCCGATGCTCCCGTTCTGCAACTTCTAGACATCCGCAACAACACTTTCTCCGGCAATGTCCCTCTCGGTAAGCTACAAAAATCAAACCCTCTTCTCTTCTTCATCCATTTCTTCATTTGGGATCGTTTAATTGGATCTCCAAATTGCTTAAAGTTCGCATCTTCCCCCCTTTTCACAATGTTCTGCATTCTGGGTCCGTCTAGTTTAATGTCAAAATGGCTTAAAGTTTGTTTACACCTTTTTGCTCTCAGCTCTCAAGAGGCTGAACGAGGGTTTCGTGTTCACAAACAACCCGGGACTATGCGGGTCGGGTTTCATGTCGCTAAGACCTTGCAATGCCTCAGAAGGAACCAACCCAAACAGGCCAGAAGCTTTTGGACCTGGAGATGGGATTCCAAATACAAGGGAAATCCCACAAACAGCTGATTTGAGACTCCCCTGCAGCGAGAATCAAACTCACTGCTCTTCAAATCCAGCAACTCACCACCATCAAGCAGCCTCATTCATCGTGGGCTCAATTGTCCTCACCATAGCTTTGCTAGCCATTTCAGCACTCTCATTCATTCATTACCGCCGCCGCAAGCAGAAGCTCTCTGGCACATTGGATCCCTCTACTGATCAACAAGCAAAGGGTGTTGGGATCTACAGGAAAAATGGCTCCCCACTAATCAGCCTGGAGTATCCCAACGGTTGGGATCCTTTGGCTGATGGGAAGAACTGTGGGAATGCCACCCAACAAGATGTTCTTGAGAGCTTCAAGTTCAACTTGGAGGAAGTGGAGACTGCAACGCAGTACTTCTCCGAGATGAACTTGCTTGGGAAGTCGAAGTTTACCGCGACGTACAGAGGGATTCTGCGAGATGGGTCCGGTGTGGCGATCAAGAGCATCAGCAAGAGCAGCTGTAAGTCGGATGAGGCAGAGTTCTTGAGAGGGTTGAATGCATTGACTTCGCTGAGGCATGACAATTTGGTGAGGTTTAGAGGGTTTTGCTGCTCGAGAGGGCGCGGGGAGTGCTTCTTGATCTATGATTATGTTCCTAATGGCAACTTGTTGAGCTATCTGGATGTTGAGGAAGGTGGCAGCCGTGTTCTTGAATGGTCCACTAGAGTCTCCATTGTTAAGGGCATCGCCAAAGGTCGGAACTTTTACTTCCCTATAGCATTTTAGTATTGATTTTTGAGACAAATAATGCGTAGCAAGAACATTTGATGTCACATAAACTGTCTCTAACGAAATTCAGTTTCATGGTTGGATCTTGTTTTGTGCAGGCATAGCTTACTTGCACGGCTACAAGGCCAACAAACCGTCGATGATCCACCAGAACATCACGGCCGAGAAGGTGCTAATCGACCAGAGGTTCAACCCGGTGCTAGCCGATTCAGGCCTGCAGAACCTGCTCACCAACGACACGGTCTTCTCGGCACTGAAAGCTAGTGCGGCAATGGGTTACATGGCTCCAGAGTACTCGACCACTGGCCGGTTCACGGACAAGAGCGACGTGTACGCTTATGGGGTGATTGTGTTCCAAATCCTCTCCGGGAAGGGAAATGTTTCGAATCTGGTCCGATTGGGAGTTGAGGCATGTAGGTTCCAGGACTACATTGACCCAAATGTCCATGGAAGGTTCTTTGAATATGAAGCCGCCAAGCTTGCTAGGGTTGCTTGGCTTTGTACCCATGAGTCTCCTATTGAGAGGCCCTCCATGGATGTTGTTGTTCAGGAATTAGGTAACTTCAGTAGCTGCATCTAAGTTCAGGTGGCTTGTAGGGTTGTTTCTTTTCTTTCTAACTAAAGGGGATGAAAGTAAGATCTTGTCAATCTCATATTTCAAATTGTACGAAAGGCTAGTTTCTTCTAGCCCTGAAGGAGATGGTGGCAGGTTTAGGGAATTAGCAGCAAGGATAATTGTACCTTATCGGCCGGTCGAGTAATTAGCATCATGAGTAGAATATGAAGGTTACCCACTTACCCTAATGACCATGGTGAAAAGTTTGTAACTTTGGCATCTGTAGTTAGTTTCATCCCCAGTTGATCTGTAGTTTTTTCAAATTGTAGTTTCGTAGTTAGATTATTTGGTGACATGTGTTGCTTGTTGGTCTAATGCTTGTGGGTTTCTGTATTTGATTGTCGGAATCAGTCAAATGATTGTGAAATTTCGAGGGAGTTCAGCATATGATGAACTTAGGGGTATCAGTTCGGGTCGGGTTCGGTTACCCGAACCGAAACCTGAAAAAACCCGAAAATCCGAAATCGAAAACCACTAAAACCGAACCCAAACCCAATAAGGACTTGCGGGTTTCGGTTACCCAAAACCCGAAAATTCCTTAACGGGTTCGGTTAAAACAAAACCGAAACCCGAAAACTCGAACGCCTAAGAATACAGGCTGCGTTTTATTCATTGGAGGTTTCTAGACGAAACTCGAAAAACCGATAAGCAAAACCGAACCCGAAAACCCGAAACTGTATATAATCGGGTCGGTTTCGGATAAACTCGAAAAACCGAACCCGAATGGACACCCCTAGATGAACCAGAGTGAAATCCATATGATTGCGAGCTAAAGAGATAATAAGTAGCATTCAACATGAAATATAACTTAATGAAGCACAATAGCTCATCAGTGCGATTATGCAAACAGTAGATTGTCTATCAAAACCACAGTCGCCATAACTGTATTGGGCATTATCGCGGGTTGGGACATAAGAACATTTGATGATAACAAACACAAAATGGATTAGAAATAGGGATGCCAATGGTAAATTTTGGGAGGAAAAAATTACCTTGTATATGTTTATACTAGCGTGGCCCCGACCATTTGGCCGGATGAAGATGAGGTATGAAATTTGATAATGTAATGTGGTGTATAGCTTATTGTTGTATAGTTTTTTTTTTGGAAACACGTGATAAAAATAGTGAATTTTAGTAGAAAAGAGACATGAATGATGCAACGAATCAAAAATCAGCATTATGAACCAAAATCAAGTACCTGTTACCTTGTGAAACAATATTGTTTCTGGTAATATGATGAGGTGGAGTAAGTTTTATAGAAACCGAATTCTAGAAAATCGAATAAAAAATCGCCTATCCCGCCGGTTTTCGGGAAATGAGCATCTCACAATCGTTGCTAGCTTTTACTCGGCCCGTTGGCCGATTAATTTGCTTTATAAAACTTTCATCTTCTCATCATTGTGCTTTCTGGTTTTTTGCCACGCCATGATAAAATCTAAAGAGATCAAGAATGAACAGCACGATTTGGGATAGGAACCAACTTTCCTGTATCCCTAGAAAATGGTGGTAAACACGGACTCACCTGCCAAACTGGTTTGGATTGAGATTTTTATAGGGTATCAGGGAACCATGTGATTATAAATTAGACTTGATCAAAACGGACAAAAATTTGAAATTCAGCCTGTTTGACCGACTCATGCCAAACTCTAATTATTCTTTACTTTTAAACTTTATATTTGAAAATAAAAAATAATGAAAGAAAAGAGATGACTGCAATTCACCATTTGCACATCACTGATTCGGGAATAAAACTATAGAATTTCGAAAGGAAACTGAAAATGTTTAGGATCGTTTTAATGTTAAAAATAACCAAATTGATCTTTCTGTTTAGTTTTTAACTAACAAATACCAAACCATTCCCTATAATATACACTATAATTTAATCATTATGATATCAAATAATTACATAATATATATTTGAAATGATAAAAATTGGACTAATTGAGTTGGTCGAGGTTGTACCATTGAATAACTTTAAAATACATTATATTTTAGCCACTAAGATATAAAATAATAGCATAATATATATTATGCTAGAGAAAATATTTTGTTTTAGAATGGCAAACCCATGATGTTCATTTGTTTTACTTCATGGGCAAATCCCGTGTAGGTCAGACCCATTCAACTCTTTTATTTTATGATTAGCGGTTAGCCCATTAGAATCCATGCATTAGTTTATTGTTATTTTTTTTTCTTTTTAGCAATAAAAAGCAGTATTGTTTTTTCCTTTTCATATATATATTTTACCACTACGGAGAAATAAAAGGACTTAAAGAAAAAAATTGACACTCATAGACCCGTTTAAATCCGCATGTGTAGGGTAAGTTGGCCCGTTCCACAGAGGAAAAAGAAAAAAATTGACACTCCCTACTCTACTCTTCCTACAAACGCTCCTGGAGCAGGGAATTTGAAATGGGGGAAAGGTTTTTTCCTCTCTGCAATTATATGTTTTTAATTTAAAAAGATACAACAAATGTACTTAGTGTGATTGGTTATGATTTTTGTTTTCTTTAAAATGGTCATGGTTCGAATCCTAGTAAGTGTCTTTTTAATGAATAAAAAAAAATAATTGTGAAGACCAAAATGTCCTTCCTACTTTCACTCTGGATGCAGGAAATTTGAAATGGGGCTTCAAGTTTTCTCATTTGGCTTTTATTTATTGTGTAGACTAAGGATGGAACACAATACCTATAAACGGTAAAAAAAATGTTTTTCCCTACACCACAACTCATTACTGGTTTATAAATTGACATTTCGAAAAGAAGCAGGCTAAACACATAATATACAAGAACTTTGCAGATCAGACTACCAATTGCAACGACAAGTATATAAAGAGCATTTTCAATTTTGAGTTTTATTCAGTAAAAACTTCGAGGTCGAATTGGCCAACAATTAGCTAATTGTTGCTTAGTGGGATACATTGAAAGAGACATATTTAAGTGTGTAGACAACAAATATAATTTGTGTTTCTTTTCGAATGTGAAAACTTGTCGTGGTTGTTTATGAAAACAATGATTGTATTAATTGATTTTTTTTAATCTATGAATGAATTATTTGGATACACCATCCTCAACTCCCAGTCCCGGGTAACTAAGAGATTAGTTTTGATAATACTTATTAATTAAATATTTATATTTTGAAAAGAGGACACATGTATTATCAAATCCGGCCTTCGTCATTGTTGATCTCCAATTTCAAATGCCCAAATCCTCACCCATCACATAGCCATGCAGGAAGGATTTGTAACTCCATCGCCATAGTTGCGATCTTCGAGTACCCATGGTCCATGGATAATGCTCGTCCCATATATCCAATATTATTATATCTAGAATTGAACATCTAGAGATTTAGTTATAAGTTATAACACTAAACAGAGCTAGTGAATAGCGAAATCAACAAAGCTACACCCATTGTTCTTAATATGAATTCAAAATATCCGGCCATAAATCATCATCGATCCATAAGAAAAAGTACAATATTATTCAAATCATTTGTCTACAACTCACATATGTACTAAGCAATAAATAACTAACATAATAACAAGTAAAAAGAAGTGAAAGAGTGAATGGTGAGTAGGGGAAAATAAATTAGTGTTTGATTTGAGTGCATCTAAATTACATTTCACTTTTTTTAGTTACCTTTTGTGTCATGTATAAAATATGATCTTATGTTTTTTATATACATAAAAATTACTTTTAATGGGTCGGATATGAGTATGTGTATAACATAATGAAGTCTAAAACCATATACACCCCATCATCAAAACTTTTACGAGTTATACCATACTAATCCCATTTCCAATGTGAGAATTTCCCAAATTGATTGAATCGAGATGGTTGAGTATGTGATTGTGGGTTTGATTACCAATCCTAATTAGAATGTCTATTAACAAGCACAAATTAGACCCACCATAATGCCAACCTTTTGTTCTTTACAGCCTAGTAATCTTAGAGCATCTCCATCCCATTGCTTTTTTTTTACAATATCCATCCAATTGCTTATTGCTATTGCTTATTGGGTGAAATACTATGTGGCAATTAGGAGTTTTGAACACGACTTCCTCTCTCTTCCTTTCCTTTTTCTCTGCCTTCTCTCTAGAGGCCTCCCCTTCCAGACGAGTATGGGGGCTGCTGCCGGCGTTCTCTCCGGCGACCGGCGGCAGCCCTCCGTCCCTCCGATCTCCGTTTGTTGTCTTGCGTTCCTTCCTTCCTTCCTGCATGTGTACTTGTTTCTCTGCTTTATGCTTGTTTCCAGCCCCTGTTTTGGGTGTTTGTCCTTCCTTTGTTGGATCTCTTCCTCCCCCTCTGTTGGGTCGAGTTTTTGCCCTCTGATCTGTGTGACTCAGATCTGGAGATGATGTCTGATCTAAGAAGCGATGGAGGTCGGATCTATTCTAGATCTGGCTTGTCTTCTCCTCCCCTCTCTCTTGTCTACCTCCTTGTCTCAACATGCAGATCTTGTTGTTCCGGAGATGTAGCCCATGGCGTCGGACTCAGAGTTGAGAGCTTGAAGACAGAAGTCCTTCTCCCTCTGGAGCTTTCGCCGCCGACCGGTCGTCCGATGTGGTCCTTTGTGTCGTTTTGAAGGAGGCAGAGACGACTGGCTTGGAGTTGGACGGTGAGGGAATCCTCTTCGGGTTTGGTGGAAGCGGTTCCCTGTTCAGGCATATGGCGGCGGCGACTTGTGCAGTGGCGTCGCTGGGTGTCTTTTCGTGGAGGCTGTTTCGGCCGCGGCGGTGGATGTTGCTGAGGGAGGCAGATGCACAGCTAGGGTTAGGAGAGCCACACATGTTTGGGTCCGGGTCTGGGCCCTATTGGGTGCCGGCCCACTTGTCTCTTTGGGCCTTTTTGTTTGGTTTTTTTATCCAACTGTGTATTTCTGCTTGTACTTTTCCATTTGGGCCTGGCCCAATCGCTTTCCTAATGAACAACCCCTTTCAAAAAAAAAAAAAGCTTTAAGCAATTGCAAGGATGTAGCACTTCTTTCTTATTTAGCAAGATTGCTAAATAAGCAATCTCCTTTGCAATGACACATAAGCAATTGGGACCCACACATTCATGCACTCAAATTCTTTCTTTTCTATCCACTTTGTACACATAAAATGTTAAACTTAATAATTCTTGTGCTTATGATTTGTTTAAGTTGTTAATAAATTAAAATTATAAATTATATTTTAATTATATTGAACATGAAAACTTAATACAAAGATGTATAGTTGAAGAGATTTGGAATCGATTTGGAGGAGATGAAGATGACGAGTAGTCTAGTATTTTTTTTCTTTCATTTTGAATTTTTGTATTTTGTTTTGCATTTTTTGTATTTCATTATGTAATTTTTCTTTATTTCTATTTGGTGTATTCTATGTATTTTGTGTTTATTGAATTTTCAAAAGTCTGTTATCTAGTATGCAAATGTATTGTTAAGGAAAAGAATATGTAGCAGGTCCCATCAATTGCAATTGCTAACCTATTGCAGGGATGTAGGTGGTTTGAAATGGTTGAATGAAATAATTGCTAAAGTTGGTGATGTGGATGTATGGTCCATTTATGAAATGGCTAACCGATTAGAGGGATGGAGATGGTCTTAGACTTGAAGTCTTGAACTTCCTCAACCATTGGCCAAACTCACAAAGTGGTATTTTCAGCTGGGCCTAACTGACTGTGACTGAGGCCCTCTTAAGCCTTGCCATTACCGTAAAAAAAAAAAGCCTTGCCATCATGATCATCATCATCAATGGAATTGACTGATATGTCCATTAATGGGCTCTGCAACCAGGCTGTAGAAAGTACAAACACACAGTTGTCTGACACTTTTGAGCAGTGAGTATTTGAAAGTTATGAGAGTAAAGGGACAGAAATGACCATAATCAACATCATAGCTTAGCTTGTCAAAGCAAATCATAGAGCAAGCATGATTTATTATTGTGAAACTGGGTGTGGCTGAAGTTTTTTTTTTTTTTTACAAAGGGATCTTGGATTGCACTTCGAATGATCGGTTACAAAGAGGGATTAAAAAACCCTGGATTCAAAACAAGATCAAGGTAGCACTGAAACACAAGATGAAATCAAACCATGCCTGGAAAATACAGCAGGAGAAAGCAAGGCACAGAATGAAAACATACACCAAATGCCTATAGCTTGAACCAAACCAAACCCAACACAATCATAATCCCTCTAGTTTCCAATCAAACCAAGTAGCAAACAGATCAGCATCAGCTTGTCCGCTCACAACGAAATCAATGGCAAAGAACACAACAATGCCATAAGCCGACTCCTGGGGGTTGCTCGAAGACACCCAACACAGTGAATCTCGAAGCGAGATTGCATGACGGTGGAAAAGGCTGTGAAGCAGATAGCTCCAAGCTGAAAGGGCAGGGGAAAACGAAGCAGAGCAGTCGGGGTCGAAAGGAGCGTAGAAAATCCAGAAAAGGCCACCCACTCCAAAGAGATACCAAGCCACCACAGCAAACAGTCGGAGAGGACCCTACTCTCAACAATCCGACGAACAGCCAGGCAGAGCAAGCAACCAGGAGAGGTCAGATGGGAGAGCAGCGAATGGCTTCACCAAAGCCGATGAGACCACCAGATTGGTACAATCAACCACCACCAAGAGAGGAATGAGACATCCAATCTGCAACCTCCAGATCCAAAAGAGAGCAAGCCCATAACAAGACCGAAGAGCAAAAGCTCAACTGGAGAGGAAACTGGAACGCCACATCGGCTGGAGAAGACGAATGAAAACTGAGAAAACCGAAAAAAACACTGCCGAAAGACAAGGGCAAACAAGGAAGGCAAGGAAACGAAAAATGGGAAGCATGAGCTGCCGCCGGTCACCAAAAGGAGCCGACGGCAGCCCCTGAAAAGCAGAGATTAGGAGCTGGAGTAGAGAGAAGGGAGAGCAGATATTTTGAATTAAAGTAAGAGAGAGAATGATCTTATTTTTTGTAACTCCAAACATATGTGGCTGAAGTTTAGATGGTCCAAAGCAGGCCTCCTCTAGTTTGCTAATGAATGATGGCTCGTGTTAACGGGTTGCTAGTTTTGCTTGAGAAAGAACTTGAAATATCTATTGACTCATTCGATTAGTGTGACAGAAACACTAAACGAATTGGCATGGTGTACATTCCATTCCATCCATTCAAAGAGAAAATAATAAGTTGAGAATCGGATGAAATTCGAGCTAAAGACGTTAAAATCGTCACGTAGCATTGTTAGTACCACTAAAAACCAATGATCCATAGGCATAGAATTAGCATTTTCTCATTTTGCTGTGATTTGTCTTTTGGACGAGACCGTAATGCCCAAATACAGTTGGCAGCGAGGCCCAGTTAGATTTTGAAAGTCACGAGGCCCCGTTCATGCAAACGGATCTTGTACCCACCAATGACGCAAAATGGGCATCCCACCCAAAGAGTCCAAATTCCAAAAGGACATCTTGTTTTCCTGGGTTTTTTTTTTGTTGGCAATTCTTGTTTTCCTGTTTTATATAGGAATCACAGTTTTTCTGTACTGTGGTGGTGTTGAACCTCAGTGTGAGGCTAACTTATTCACATAAAATTCAAATCATTGGAATGAATGAGTAATGTGGGCATATCATGGCACATGTCCACACATCTCGTACTTGCACTAATATTATTTTTTCTAACTCTATCTCTTCTTTTCTTATATATCCTATCAATGTTAAATATAAACATGACATTTGATGCAAAGTTAGAATATTTATTTTCATCAACTACCAACAGTGTTTACCAAACAATTAACTTTTCTAGTCCACTCATCCTAACCCATAGATTAATGCAAATAAGCAACGTTTTTTAACCTCTACCGATCGGCTGATTGGATTCGGTCCGCCCAAAACCAATGTCTAAAACGTTCTCCAAAAACCTAGTGGTCCGGCCACTAGAGAAGAGGAAGAGAGAGGAAAGAGAGGAGGGGGAGAGGAAAAGGGGAATGGTGGGAGGGAACTATACTAATTGGCAGTCATGCAAATAATAAAGAAGAATAGGGAGAATGCTGATTTGGTGGAACTTGAATTGATACTCATCATAATTCATATGAACTGAAGAGCGAATATTGAGGGTTAGATAATAAATAATTAGAGGTAAGTTTTTAACAGATACTTGTAAGATAAAGTTAATTTCAGTCATTAAAATTTTAAATTATCATGTTTTCTATATATTCAGTAAATGTATGACACGATTTAAATAGGTTCCGATCAAATCATTATATCTCAAACCACTTACTTGATCAGTTTGACGACTAAAACTTATTTGACAACCTTGCGAATAAGTGATCGATACATTTTATGTTCTTCAAAACCCTAGTTGCTAGTGGTTTGCACACGGGACGAAAAAGATTTAAATCTTGCAAACTGATTTTTTTCCAAAGATCCCATTTCCACATGGACTAACGAATACTTAATAATATTTTAGTATTTACAGCTTACATTGGCAAACAAAACTTTGTCATCGAGCAATTAACTTGCTAATTAATAAATGGCGCCAGTCTTATTCTTATCTAAGCTCCAATCTTCCCTTGTGGGGACCGGATCCTAAACACGTGCTCCTCCCCGGTACATTTATCCACCTTCACCACCCACCGGCTCTTCTTATTCCTCGCCGGCGGCGCCATCCGGGCCACCAGCAGCCCTTCCCCGATCGGCAGCAACTGGGTCCTCCACCGCCCGCCGCCGGCGGATCCCCACGACCCGCTCCCCAAAGCATTGTAACCCACCACAACGGCGCCGTTTTGATTACTCCCAGCCTGCTGCTGGACGGCTCCCAGGATCCCCTCGTGGTTGTCCAGGTGGCAGTCGATGAGCACGAAGTCCGCGTGGGCCGAAAGCAGCAGCTCGTGGGCCTCCCCCGTCACGAAGCCCACCTGCCGCGACCGCGGGCCCAGGGCCCGCCTCGCCAGCTCCGTCTCGTGCTGGGCCTGGTGGATGCAGACCACACGCCCGCCCGTCTGGTGGGCTGCCGTCACCAGGGCGGAGAGCATGGATGACGTGGCGGCGGTGGGGGCGGCGGAGGCGACGACGATGAGCTGGGAGTTGTTCCCCGCCGCTAGCGCGGAGATGAACTCGGCCGATTCCGGCTCTTTGGATCGTTGACGGCCCTGCTCTTTGACCATTTTCAGGGTTTTCAGGAAGGCGTTTGTGGCGTTCTCGGCGGACCAATTACAAGCCATGGTGTTTTTTTTTTGTTTGGAGATGGGAGCGTTTTTTTTTTTTTTGGTGTTGAAGAGAGTGTTGTAATGGTTGAGATGGTGGGTTTTCTGGTGTGCTAATATATAGGGGGAAGACAAGGTGACAAGGAAGGTCCAAATCCAAATGGGTGAGTTAAAATTTAAAATAAAATTTTTATTATTATAAAAGTTGAGTTTAAATAATTGAGTAAATAATATAAACTAGGATTGGGTTCAATAAATTAAGCAAGAAGTAACCACTTCTATCACAAAATGATTTGACACATGATTTGGGGGGTAATAATTTGACTGCTAAATTAGCATTTTAGTTCCACCATTATTAAAGGTTCATTAGTGGCAAATTATTGAAATAATGGGTAGATTTTGTTGGATTAGATTTATCGGGATGAACGATTTTGGGAGAATTGTTTTTGTATATCTAAATCGCTCTTTACGGACTCGTCAACTGTTCGTGAACGTCGATGTCTGTCGCTGTGACGAATTTCTTTACGATAACATAAAACTTGCCACAATCAGTACATCAACGTCGAATAGCAAAGAAAATTTATTGATACCGGTTGAGCTGCACGGTAGAATGGTCGCGACCGAATCGATTAGACATGCAAGGATGTGACGACAACTAGACAAGACTTATTTTTTTTTCCTTAAGAAAATTATCTGAGGACATGAAAAATAGTAAAGGAAGGTGATCGAGTTGAGGTAAGCTTCTGGGATGCCGTTGTGGTACAATGATATCAGAGCATCTAATTAATGATTAGATATTTAGTAGCACGATGTGGTTTAAGAGAATACAGGATATGTTAGGCTGTAATGTTGTTAGATGCGCAACAGTAATCGAGAGATGCGGGCGCGGCAATGGTTGAAGATTAAGCAAGCAGAGCTCTGCAGTCTGCCGCAGTACGAGTATTTTACACGAGGGGAGACAAATCAACGACAAGCTCCCACGTTACTGCTGACAGTAAGCCAACAAAGCCATTGTTGTCCAATTCTAATCTCATGTGGTATATGCCCTCCTATAGTGGGCTGTGACTTTTGTTTTGGTTTTTTCGGGTTTGACCGAAACCAAACCGATAAGAAGTCTATTGATTTTAGTTGTTGTTTTAGAATCGTTTAGCATTTGGTTTCGGTTTAAACTGAAAATACAATAGGAAATCGATAACATCTTAACTAGGTTGATACCCGTCGACTAGTACACGCATTCTCCTCTAACTTATGTGTAGTAGATTTCCTTTTCTAGGTTAATGTTTTTTTGTTATCATTTCTTAACCCATTTTTTTGACTTCCCACACTATGGATTTGGTTTTTGGAGTTTTCAGTTTATCCAAAGTCCAAACCAAACCAAAATCGTTGAGGAACTTATCGATTTGTGATTAGCCAATAACCGATATAACTCGCAATGATTTTGGTCTTTGAAAATCTTCATGATCAGGGGCGTAGCTAGAGTGTAAGAAGGGAGTTACATGGCACCCCCTTGATTTGGAGAAACCCACCAAAATTTAGTAGTATTAATATAACAACAATGACATGTAAACCCCAAATTTTAATGTTAATTGCCAAATTTTACAATTCAACCACATTCAATTATATAAAATTAGTTTTATCTACTAATTTCTACATTAACACAGTCTAGTTTATCAAAATGGATAAGAGGTACAGATTATTAGAGAAAATCGTTAACTCTCTATGATAATAATAGTCGAAAGAGAAAAAAATGATTCTTATCGATGTATTTGCTTGTGCAATTAGGTTTAGTTTGCTAATACTTTTTGTCAATAAACACGTTAACATAAAATTTTCTTCAATGAAACATGAGATCACATCGTAAGTAATTGTTCAAAAATTATTTTAATGCACCCTCTTAGATAAAATTCTGTCTAACGATGATTTGATTTTTGGGTTTTCGTACTTAATTAATAGTTTTTCATAGTCTAATACTTGGATGGAATAAAACAGTGTGCGCGCAGTACTGTACGGGTGGTAACTGGGGCTGGCTGGCTGGCTACAATTAGAGAATATATATTAAGATGAGAACAAAACGGCTCGGCCTAGTTGCACTTGAACGTGGTTTGGAATTGAAGTTAAGACTTTTCTATGCTGTGGACCTATGATTAGAAGGCCCATTATTATGATTAATGCGTGTCTTCCCTAATTAATCGGAGTTGTGTCTAGAGACTTGAGACTTGAGACTTGAGACTTGAGACTTGAGAGCATCAATACCCGACACTAAATTAGTTAATCAGGAAGGGGAAATGCTTAATTACAGCTGCAGTTTCTGTCAACTTGACTAGGAATGAGCTACTAGCATAGCAGCTTGTTATAGTTTTGCTTTGTTTTATTTTTTTTTTGGGGTCAGTTTTGCTTTGTTGTTTGGTCGTGGAATTGTCTATGTTAGGTGTCTAACCCGTCCATTATTTGTCATGTCTACACAGTTCACTTGAAATGAGAATTAAACGAATGAGTTGGGTCATCGATAACAAGTTTTGATCCGAAAAGCTACGTAGATAATACAACTATATATAATGGAAAAATGAATGTATACTTTCTCGTCTCATCTTATTTTTTGGATTATTGATTTGAGTTGATCGTAATTACATAATGTAAAGAAAAGAAATAAAATTCTATTATGGACTTGTCACTATAGTACTCAAGGTAAATTTTGGGTACCGCATATCTTGAGTAAGAAAACACTATGTAGAATTTGAATTCACAGGCTTTTGGGATACGGTACTATACCCTACCATTTAAAAGATTAAAATCAAGGTCTTAATTCTCTAAATATTATATATTAAGATGATTTTAATTAGAAATAGTAATCGATAGTTATTATTTATCGAAATACACGCAACAAACTACATGCACCATCTCAGGGTTTAGGATTTATGTTTTGGATAAGGAGGATCAATGACACACTCATTAAGGGTTAGGGTATGATATCATGCCCGAAATCCATTTACTTAGAGGTCTCGATAACATTTGCTTACTAAGCATATGTGATATACCCCATTATATCTCGTATGATTGCTCGTTTTCTCTTCCTCTTCTATACATGTCTTTGGTACACTTTCATCTCTATGTTCATTCGATTACTATATGGATGAACCCAATCTGGAATGTGAACCAAAAAGTCTTTTCTATGTTTTCCAAAATACTATTTAGTTTCACATGGACTATATGAATTATGATCGTGTTGCATTTACTCATTATAAATATTTCCGTATTAGTCTATTTGTCATAATTAATTAGTATTAGGTTAAGTGGTTATTTTTTGTATTATTGTTATTATGAAACAACAGAGTATTATGGATGTCCATTGGATATTCTACATCAGATGCTATCTTGTATTATATATTGGATGATACATTATAAGATATTTACCGCTACATTGATCTTGAAAATGAATTCTCTTTCTGATTATTATATCACATTCTTGTGCATTGATAGAAGAGATTGTAAGGATTGTGCATGTGTACCAATAAGTAGAGCGCCCCCATTGCCTTGCACAAAGGAATATGATGAATAAGAAGAAGCGAAGAACACTTCTCTCACATTCTCTTGTGTATTTTAAACCTATCTTTGCTATTATATCCGTTCCTCTTTCCTGTAATTTTTAAAACACCTTATACTCTATTATTATTGTTATTACTCGCTAAAAATAAATAAATAAAAACTATCCTTAATCACAAAACCTAATACTCTCAATTGTGTTCTCAGTAAACCTTAATTTATGTTCTAATCTCCCCCGATTTCTATCAATTCTTCCTTAATTCTCTTCTCAAATCCCTAATTTCGTTGAGAATACACATCATTCTGCAACCTATTGTACATACTACTACTACTTCCTTGTACTTTCATGTTAATATAGTTCATGATTACAACAAATCATATGGCTGTTTTTAGTAATTAAGCTATAAGTTCCATATACAGCCAATCTTCCCAATTTGCTTACCAAAATACACGCCGTGGAACGTAATCTAAAATCTAAGATTTCGCCACAAGACAAATATATTGTGTATGTATATCCCAATCACATGGAGGCGTAACATCAGTGGGTGGATATGGGGAGTGGATTTGGACAGGGAGAAATGGTCCATTGCACCATATAGCAGAAGCAAAGAAGGGACAAGGAGTACAAAGACATCAGTCGACCCATGCTTGCTAAATAAGAGGGAGCAAAAGACGTTAAAGAACTGATAGCAATCTTTGTTTTTATTCACTTGTTCTTCCATCGATCTTACAAGACAGTACTGTGATCTCTATGTACAGTGGTGCATGCTGCTATTCCTCAGTTGGCCATGTATAGTTGCAGTATACAAACTGACTGAATCTGGTGGCAATAACGTAGTTGGCCATGGTTCTTGCTATTGTCTATAATTCGAGCGGTTGAGGGAAAATCTATTATATCGATCGATCGATCTTAGTGTATAATTCATTAACGTTGTATCTCTTGGATGAAGGCCAAGCAACAATAGAGTTGGTAGTTATCAGTTATCACCCACCCACCCATGCACCATAGTTTGTGTGTAAATTAACGACTGATCGGTTACTAGGATCTGGACAGACGAACACGGGATTTGTCAGTCAAAAGATTTGAGACCATGTAAAGAACCAACATTCATCCGCTATATAATAATTTGAGATGTTAACAAGGGAAGCGACAAACAGAGATCTTTCACCATTGGTTTACCGTGATACGCGAGACTAGATATTTGATGAACAAAACGTTAGGGGGGATCATTATAATCATTCTTTGGGAAAAAAAGACGTCTAAGAAAATGATATATAAAATTTTATATAAGAACTTGTTGATATGACTTGAGAAATAGAACTATATATAATTCGCATGCTATTCCGTCATCTCCTCATCAAGTATAATAAAGTTGGCTCCCTCCCGCGCGAACCACGTAACTCTGTGCGTTCTTTTCTTGAATTGTCGATTACCATAATAAAACTCTCTCAAAACAAATAACCTCTTTGCATCGCGGTAATTGATATATAGATTGGGTTAGCTGTACTATACTTAATAACAATTAGGGGAAAACAAGTTGGGATGGCTACACATAACGAGAAGTCAAGGCTTTTGTCCCCTAGGAGAACCAAAGGAGACTGGAGATCTAGATCCAAATCAAGCTGCTCCCTTCCCAAAAACACGGCTAATCAAGTTGGTGTTACGTTTTTTTTTTTATTTATTCTTGTGTCTTATTGTCTATGATCTGTTCGGCTAGTAGAGAGCCAAGAGGGTCCCTCTGAGCTCGTCAAACGACACCGTTCTGAGAAAGCCTTGTAGATATGGCCTGGCCAACCATGTTGGTCACTCCAAGTCTCGTCTGTCTCTTCTCTCAACATTATGGCGTTGATTTCTCAAGCTTCATGCCAAGCACATCAAGTTAGGGCCAATGGCTTGCTGCTATATTATGTTGGCCTCTCGAGTCTTGTATCTGTCTTCACTTGCTTTACTTCCAGACATTACCAGCTGTCATAGCATTGATTTCTCGAGCTAGTACAAGTGAATCAGGTTACAATCCCTAAACTTTTAATGGGTTGTTTTGGATTACGTGTTTCATGATTCATGATTCACGATCGTTGGATATACACGAAATACGCTACGTACCCAACGATTGTGGGTCATGGTAGAACGTTCTAATCCAGTTGGGTGAAGGACCAATGTTGAGATTGATAAATGCAAGTGGGGTTGTTTAGTGTTAATATGATGCAGAAGGAAGGTATAGGGAAAATGGAGGATGGAACGTGGAGAGGATGAAGGCAAAGGCCGCATGGGTGAGAGATTTGAGAGCCTCTTGTTTGTTGCTCTATGAGATGTATATAAAAACAAGTTATGGGCGTGGGGAAAGATTCTGCTTCACTGGCATTTGTGTCCATTGAAGGGGACAATTTCTGTATGGACCAACTACCCCTCCATAACAACAATATTGCAAAATTTTCTTTTACCATAGCTGTATTCCATTCCATACATATCCAATTCTTTGTATCAGCTTGTGCCAAGTTAATGGTTTGTTTCTTAGGCTCATTCAACTAATAGTATAAATCTAATTCATTTGCCACTTCATGAAAATATGATTGAAATAAAAGATGTCACGAGCAAAATATTGAGCCTTCGGCCTTATCCTGTATTTGGATAAATCAGAATCACGGATGATAATTTTGTCAAAATTCATTAGTGTTTTCTTATCCAACTCAATTGGGTTAAATATGAAATACAAATACAAGATAAATGGGTAGAGTCTGATGGGTTTATATCCATATGCACTTATTTGGGTAGAGTTTTTTAATCTATGAATTTGGAGTTTGTACCCATACAGAAATGCAAATTACAATTTGATACCTAAACCTGAAATATTTTAAGATATATTACCTATTTTTTACATATAAGTCCTCAAAGACATCGATGAAAATTTACATTTTAGTACCTAAGAATTTCGTGTCTTACATTTTGATACTTAAACTAAGTTTTTACAAATAGGTCCAGTTTTTTATGTGTAGTTAAACCATAATTTTATAAATAAAACCAATTTTATATGTTTAGTTAAACAATGTTTCAACGTAATTACCCTATTGCTGACTTTTCCGGTTAACCCTCCCGTACGTTTTACAATTTTTGATCTAATCCAACCCATACATGTTTAGAATATCGTAGCAATACTCATACTCTACTTAAACTCATCTAAAAAATCTCAAACTCAAATAAACTTCATCCATAGCATCTTATAATCATAGGTTTACTTGGATCTGGGTAACATTACCAATGGATATACCTACTACCTAGGGGTGGAAATTTCGGCGATTGTGGTAACCCGCCCCACATTTGTGGTCACCCACAATTTTACAATAATACTACCCACACCCCGCATCATAATGGTTAGTGAGTAACCACTAGCCACTGCAGATTGGTGTGGGTCAGGTGTGGTTACCCGCAAAAATCCATTTTGCGAGCATGGAGTTGAGGCCGCCATCAAACGTATTTGTATTTCGTAGCTAGACTATAGTGATATACAATTATGTTGTTCGTGGAGACACAGTTTTGTATAGCGATCTTACTCAACGTGTAGATTTTTCTTTTCAAGTTTGGTGTTCTACTTTTGTGTCAGTGAGCTATGATTTCATATTTCAGATTTCACCGACTAGGGGTGGAATATGACAATTAAATATGATCTTGTATTTTCTTTCACACAAAAGCAAAAACATACAGATAAAAGTTACTAAATGTGCCCACTTTTAATGAATTGATTATTCTCCACTCTTTCGATTATAGTATTTTATAAACTAAAAACAAATTCTCACATAAAATTGCTTAGGTGCTTATTTGATTTTGGTGGCTACTTTAATTTTTAGCCTCCCACTAATCACATACTATTATATTGTAAAGTATTATTAATTAATAAATATAATTAGTATGGTTATTATGGATTTTGTGGGTTAACCGCAGTGGGTAGTGGGTAATCACTAACTGCAAAAATTATTATTTTACTACCCACACGCAACCCATTACCCACAATGAGTGCAAGTTAGTGCGATTTACGGTTTATCCACAACTAGGGATGGCAACAAAATCCGAACCCATGGGTACCCACCCGACTCAACCCGGTCAACGTGGGTAAAATCCGTGTTGACGGGTTTTGGACTGAGTTTGGGTTTAAACTCGTTCACTATTCACCGGGTTGGTTGGATTTGGGTTTAGGTAAACCCGACCCATGGGTACCCGCCCACACCCATATAATTAATTTTCTCGATATATTTAATATTCGAAACAACTAATCTTATTTATGTTTGTGGAGACATGTCTAATTTTTTCTTTCTAATTGTGTAGAATGAAGTTGATATTATCGAGTAGAGAGTGAAGAAACTTAATTGAAAGGAAGAAGCTTTCAATTAATCGTGTTATTTATGGATAATTTGTGATTTGCTTCAATTCAATTATCTTGAGTTTTCTAGATTGGTGTTAAACAATTTGTATAGTTAATTTGTGATTTGCTTGAATTTTCTAGAATGGTGTTTTATATATGGATAATTTGTATTGAGAGATTGATATTTGACTTTAATTTTGATAGAAACTTGTTATTGTAAATTTTTTACGACAAAAACCCGTGAGTACCCATGAACCCGCGGATACCCAGCGTGTTGGGTTGGGTTTGAGTTTTTCAAACCAAGTGGGTTTTACCCCGAGTTTTCTTCACGGATAAACCCATGAGCATTGGGTTTGACAAAATCCGACCCAACCCGATCCATTACCATCCCTATCCACAACCCGCCAAACTTCCACCCCTACTATGCACCAATCCCTATTCAGGCTTATTTTTTTCTCATTTTAGGGTGGGCTCATCTTTAAGACAATTTCAGGCCCATCCTTCAAATAATCGCGGCCACGATGGGTCTTAAGAGATAGCGGGCTAAAAGAAAAGGCCGGGCCCTCTCGTTCTGTCAAGGCGGTGGGTTGGGTGGTTGCTGTTACGTTGGTTCTAACTTCTAAGTTCCAACGGACTCTCGTCGTGGCCTTCCCAATTCGCGATACCGCGTATCGTTCTCAACCAAGGAAGTGGCAAAACCAGAACGAAAGGGCAAGGCGAGCGATCGATCAAGATTTCTCGACCGGGATTTTCTTTGAATCAGAATGGGGAACGCGTACTGCCTCCTCTGCGGCTGCGTGGACCAGGCCAGCATCGGCGTGGTGGAGCGATGGGGCCGCTTCGAGCGATTGGCCGACCCAGGGCTTCACTTCTTCAACCCCTTCGCCGGCCAGTGCCTCGCCGGAATTCTCTCCACCAGGATCAAGTCGCTCGACGTTCGCATCGAAACCAAAACCAAGGTTCCGCTTCTGATCATGTGTTACTTTCATGCCGATCGATGAGTGGTAGTGATTCTTGGTCCTAGGATAGAGTACGAATGAGCTGTGAAACTTCAATTTGGAGAGTTCTTGTTGTTAGGATTTGAAACGACGATCATCGCGTTTTAGGGTTTCTTATGTGGAATTTTTTTTTTTTTTTTTGGTCATGAACTCTGATTGGTGGTGCAGGATAACGTGTTTGTGCAATTGGTTTGCTCGATTCAATACCGAATCGTCAGGGAAAACGCTGATGACGCTTTCTACGAGCTAGCGAATCCTCAAGAGCAGATTCAGGCTTATGTGTTTGATGGTACGGATCACGTTGGTTCGATAGAGAGACACTTCCTGTAGCTATATACTGCAATTCTCTGTGCTGATGGATGATCTCCTTTCTCTTCGATCTCTAAATTCAGTGGTTCGAGCTCTAGTTCCGAGAATGCCGTTGGATGATCTCTTTGAACAGAAAGGAGAGGTTGCTAAATCAGTTCTGGAGGAATTGGAGAAGGTAATGAATGGTTTGACATAGCATATCTCTGTCTTCTTCGGATTATTGTCCTGATCTAAATTGCATAAACTTGCTAAGTACTAGCTAATTAGTTCTTGGCCGGCTCAATGTGTATGCATACATATCCATTTATGGATAGCTTGCAGCCTCTTGAACTTGAAGAGATCCATTTTAACCTAGTCTAATGCCCCAAGTTTTCAAATTCTTTCAGTGGAGTCACTATGTTCTTATTTCTGTAACCTTTACTACACCTCGTGATTCGTTTTGTCGGAATGGTAAATCAGGTGATGAGTGCTTATGGGTATAACATCGAGCATATGCTGATAGTCGACATTATACCTGATCCCTCTGTGCGGAAAGCCATGAACGAGATCAATGCAGGTAATCATCATATTTGTTTCTTACCCTACTTCGAGTCCTTCATGCCTGCAGTGTTTCGTGCTAAATACCGAACAAAATGGTTAGAATGAGGGCATGTAGATTATTGATTAGCAAAGCAAGTTGCTCAGCATCTCTTCTGTCTTTATAATACTTTACCTTCCAAGCATTGAACTTGATGCTTACAAGAGTGCTGCAATCTCCTAGCTCGTTAAGGTGTTTACCCCAGAAAAAAAAAAGAAAGTGTAACATGAACAGACTTGGTAATTGGTTCTGTTTTCAGCTCAAAGGCTTCAACTTGCAAGCGTATACAAAGGGGAAGCAGAGAAGATTCTTTTGGTCAAGAAGGCAGAAGCTGAAGCCGAGGCGAAGTACCTTGGCGGAGTAGGAGTGGCCAAGCAGCGTCAGGCGATCACCGATGGACTGAGGGAGAACATACTGAACTTTTCGCACAAGGTGACCGGCACTAGCGCCAAGGAAGTCATGGACCTGATCATGGTGACGCAGTACTTTGACACGATCAAGGACCTCGGCAACTCGTCCAAGAACACCACCGTGTTCATCCCCCACGGCCCCGGTCATGTCCGGGATATCGGCGACCAAATACGCAATGGCATGATGGACGCAGCTGCCGGTGCACAGGGGAACGATTCTTAATGCGAGAGAGGCGCCTTGAAACGTTACATAATAGTGTTCTCACACGGGATTCTTTCAGACTAATTAAGAAGTAAGAACTCTAGGTATATGAATAGTTTGGTACAGCAGGTAGGTTATGCCTAAAATTTCTTTATTTTGTATAAAGATACATGATGTACCACTACTGTATTATTTGTTGTTTAGCCACAGACATTGGGATCTTAGTATGAAGTATGAACTATAATTACGAGAGTAGAAAATCTTTGTCCACCACCAAATTACAAATCATGGCGACAGAAGTTCTACTAAGCATTTTGCATATTAGTGCTCTAAATTACTCAACAAACTTCGGAGATTTTGAGGGTGCACTCAATGAAATTTGGTTGAATATGATGAATTCGAATTTGCAACTTTTTTCCTGAATAAGTCCAACAGTAACACTATAAATGTCAACGAATAAATTCACATATGAAATTACATTCTCAATTGAATTCGAAATTTATACGGCTACTACTACTACTACAATAATCTATCTCATTCCAACTCAAATTTGATCATGAAACCATCGCGGCAGCATACAAACAACACCTTAATCAATTGAATTCATCGACTAATGGCACAAGTAGTGGTAGGAGCCAGGAGGAGTAAGAATGTTTTTTGGGTAATGAAAATTATAGGGCCTAACTATTATTTTGAGAGTACTATGTCTAAGAAAAACAGAAAGCTTCCGGAATTAGCAAAAGCAATGATGGTTGGCTACAGAATTTCGGCCCCGCCACATCATCATTCTGTAAGGCTCGAACAAAGCTTTTTCCTAATGAATCAACTGCCTTATCGCAATTCACTGTCTGGTTTTGTTTTATCTGATCTGGGTAGCATTGGTACGTGAAATTCCTAACATCAACAGAACATGATCATTTATTTGAAAAAAAATTTACCTCACCATCCAGGCTCTTCCTTCTCCAGTGAACAAATCTGTAGTTGTCTAAGATTGCCCCCCCCCCCCCTGCAACAGTCAATGGGAACATTTGAGCTCATCTTTTCTGTCGGCAGGGAGTTCACGAGACTCGAATCCAACACCTTCGGGTTGGATCATAGCCATACTGTGATGTGCTACAGTAGAAGCTCGTCGATCCAGGGTCTCATCTCAACTATGGTTGTACACTGTAGATAAATGTGAGAGAAAAAAAGGGAGGAACTCAGCTGAATTATTACAGTTCAGGAAAAGAACCCTAATCTATGATTGAGAAAAAAGTGGCCTCCCTGGATACAGAACTTTACCCAATTCCAACTGTCTGCAGATAGCAGAGAAGGCAATAATTAAAGCAAAATGTTTAACAAAGAAATGGGTCCTGTCTACACCTAACCCTTGATTGCTTGGTAACGATTGTTCTTTTCTCCCCCAGCATCTTAAACCACATCTCCAGAAACCATACATCATCAACCCTAAATCGGTGCAAAATTCTCATGTTCAAAGCTGGAAACAGATTTTCAGAGGGGGGAGAGCAGAGAAGTAATCATCACTTCTTAGCCATGAAAATTACCTCCATTCTGGCAGCAACCAACCCTGAGAATTGCTTTTTGTTTAACACTTTAAACCCTTCAAGTCAAAATGCTGAAACAAATTGTGGACTACTGGCCAGCCAAATAATTCAAATACACCAGCAAAGTTGTCCTTTTGAATTGATATAAAGATGTATGCCCCTCTTTGGAGCCGTAGGCAAAGGGCAATGATGAAGGAAGGAGAATGATGGAAGTTGAAAAATGCCACAAACAAAAAAGAACAAATTATAATTAGAGGAGAGGTTCAATAAGATCATCATTCTTACTGGAGATAATTACTCGCCGTATGGACCTACCAACTGAGAGCTATGTTTTAACCTAACAAGAATCATGAACTACACAAAGTACTAAAGAAGGGTAGGCCTAGAGTCTTCGGCAAAAGTGTGAAACATGGAATCAGATTAACCTCTATAAAAGTTTCTTCTGTTTATACTAGAACAACCCTAATCTATACTAGCAATAAAAGCAGGCCATATATAGAACCTGTAACCAACTAACTATTCAATCAACTACCAACCAGAAGATTGGATTAACTACCAACCAGAAGATTTTTCAAGTCATGGCCGGTGCAGGAAGATTAGGCACTATTCAAACCAATCATGCATCACTGTAAAAGGATTAAGCTAACTTCAAAAGAGCAGGAGGGGAAAAACCAATGTTGCATCTCATATAATGGTTCTAATCACTTCCTTTCTTTTCCTATTGCTGCTTTATCAGTCATTATTGAATTTGATACGGTAATATGTAGGTACCTGATGCTCAGAGACTTATCATAAAGCAATAACACAAATTTTCTTGTTACCTCATAATAGCAAGCCAGCCACAGCAAAAATGGGATGAAACAATGCGATAGAAGGGCCACGAGGAACGAATAATGCCAATTCAAATTTCAATATCATCATGTTCCACGTATCTAACATGGACGGTCTTTGGATCCAATAAACAATCAAGACCTGTACAAAGTGGAAACAAAAAAAGGTGTATGATATGATAAAAGGAAGTTTAATCATGGTAGTAGGCATTGAAAGTGTGAAGATTCTCAGAGAGAAGGAGAGAAAAAACAAGTTATGTCCTATACCAATGATTATACTTTACTCTCTTTAACAAGAATATGAATGGAGTAAACAATGATACCATGCCATATGAGTGAAAAGCTTTCCTTTCTAGTTGGTGAGCAGTCAGCCTTGCCGACAGATAACGTGCCTCCACCAAATTGACTATCAAATACAAACAGAAGTTGGGGCAAGGTTAATCGATCTAGACTTTCTTTCACGTTCCAAATATGAGAGAGAGAGAGAGAGAGAGAGAGAGAGAGAGAGAGAGAAATTTATTCCAACATGCACACACATACACATGCACATAACACACGACCTCTTGGGTTGGCATCCCTTTCACAGAAATGAAACTGGACTTTCAAAAGAGACCCAAAAATTGAATAGCGTCATGGTGAAAAGGGTAGATTGGTGAAGATAATAAACACACTTAGCATGGTACATAATGATGGGATAGAGTAGATCGAAGCTGAAGCATAAAGAAACCATCTTTCTACAGTTAACGAGGAAAGGAACAGTGATGCTGATGGTGTCACCTACCTGTTAGTAATATTCAATAAAAAACAGGTTAAAATGTAGAACCTACAAAAATCAGTTCAAGTAAGTTGATATATCACTTTCACCACTCTATTCTTACGTGCCCCCCTCTATCAGACAGCCATCTTGCTTCTGCTGGGATCAAGACTAACTTTTGGCCATACCATGCCAGCCTAGCTGATATTCTACAGAACTTCAACTATCAAGCTTGAAAAAATATTATGGGAAAAGAATCTCATGAGAATAAGCACATCACACACAAATCGTAATGTTTAGAAAACAAGTTATCGAAGATGGTGGGACATGTCTTTGGCAATAATTATATTAACCAAATAGATAAAAAAAAATAATAATAGGGATGTTAGAGAGAGTAAGAGAAAAGGGAAGGCGGTGATTGGAAAGGAGGACCCTTATCCCCGACTTTTCTTTGACCTGCACAACAAAAGCACTGAGATTGACATCCACTCTTCATCGTGGGCCTCTACTGTGTTCATAAGCAGACGACCAAAGTGATTCAGCAAAACTTACATCAATGAGGTGTGTTCTCCTTCAGAAACAAATATTCAGTCCTGAGTGCCCTAAAGGTTGACCCAGTTGGACAGACCACTCAAGGCTGATTCATCATCCACCCATCCTAAGCCACCATTAACCTGCAGCAGATAGAAACCTTCAGATTTTAAGGCACAGAATTTCTTTATCATTTAGCAGCAAATTCTTTCAACAAATATGTCCACAAATCTACATACTACCTAGAATACATGGTTGCAAATGCATTTTCAGTTTCCTGTATGGGGAATTCAAGGCTCATCTCTTTCACTGAAGTTGTTTTCATATTCCAACAAAACGATGCAACTTAATATGATTAGTAAAAGTGCAGTTCAACAGAATTCCTTCATCCATGGCTTATAAGCTAGGTCCCATGCCATAACACAACAAGAGAAAGAACATAAGAACAAAAGATACATCAAAACAATATTTTCAAGCACACTTATGCAACATGAATCCATGTAAGCTTCATCAGTTTCGAATTTTCTGCCAGCTTTCAATATAAGGCCTTTCATAAAAAGAAATCAGACCAAACTAACGTCGACATCTCTTATAAAACACCCGAAGTTGAGGGGAAACAGTAAATACTGAATTAGAAAAGCCTACACAAAACCCTAAATGATTATGGCATAGCAAAATAACTCAGCCTTATATCAAAAGTTCACGTAGCAGAAGAATATACTGATCTCATCACATTTGCTGACCAGCAGTATGGATACTAGACACTAGTATGTTTAGATTTCAGGATTAACAGTGAAGTAGTGATTGTTGCTAGTGGCAAACATTTCATATGTTAAGCAAAATTTCGAAAGGGTTTCCAGATGTAGTTAGCAGCCTTGTTAAATAGGCATCATAGCTGTGCTTGAAATTCACTTTCTGGAGAAACACTTCAGATGGCATTTTACATACAAATATTTAGGAATTGGGATTAACTTGTATTAAGACTAGACTGGCAATTTTTTCGCCCCATAGATGCTGTTCCATCCATCAAAACTGACTACTCTCAGAAGCCTTCAGTTTAGGGACCTAAATGTTGTAAAAACTTTTAAGTCAGTGGAGAAGTTAAGAGTAGAACATTTCCAGTGGGGCTTGACTACTATTATACGAAGTGCTCCTAATAAAAGTGGTTGCTCTATTCACACTTTTTGGCAATAATTTTTTTGCTTTAAGAGAACAAATCTTTGTATATCTTCTGATGATTATACACAAAGTGGAAAAGAAGAGCTAATGACCTCAAATCTTGACAACAACTACACGATAGTTTCAGAGTAATTAGAAAACCACTAAGCCAACAGTGACCACTATGGTTTCCATCAGTGACCATATAACTTTACCCCTACACCCAACAGCTGAACAAACATACAACTACTGCATGTACACTTTCAGATCAAAGCAGAAATTACATGCATGCAGCAAATACTTACTAATAAAAAGATTGATGTCAGACCAAAATAAATCAGCGCTTGCTTCTTTGACATTGATGCTTCATATTTCTACAGCAGGCCAAAAGATAAATCTTAAGTAAGAGTCAACACAAGACTATCTCCAAATAAGTTCAGGCGCCAGCTAAAAAACAACTACTACAATAGAAAAGCAATCAATGTGAAACGTCATGGGGAAGAAAATATGAATGGACCAAGCGAGGAGCAAGTTTATCCACCTTTTACAAACCCAACAGATCAATCATGAGAAGGGGAAGTGACTAATGATTCCATAAAATCATGTAGCTATCATGTTTCCTCAACAATACCACTCACTTCTTCATCTAGGTAAAGATGGAAAGATAACAACACAGTGAAAGATTCAATTAATTCTAAAGTTCCACAACTCTACAAGTTATTGCAAAGAAAATAAAAACATTACACTGATGGTGCATCGTCAAAGACTCCATTCAGCATATCATCCTCACAGCGGAAGAGCTCCCTGTCTTTTTCTTCCTCGTCTGGTAAATCCCATTTTTCATGCTTCGCATGAGCTGCAATGAACATCATCTTCTGAGCCTGTTCAATGCCAATCTTTGAGTTTCCATTGACAGAGAACAGTTTCATGCAAGACCAATTTAAACCACAGGATGTAGCGTGGAGGAAAATTAGCCTAACTGCAACTTTGCGTAATGTCTTGTGCTCGCTCAAGCAGGTCTCCCACACTAATCTGCTGCTCTGAGGATTTGCAAGTCTCATCTTCCCTGTCAATGGGTCCCGCTGCTTAACCTGAACAGCCTGCGCATAAAGCGGGTCTAACCCTTCTGAACGCCATTTCATAAGCTCCATTAAAGCAACGTGAGCTTCTTCCCTTGAAACCAGACGGGTAATGACCATATCGACATCCTTCTCCTGCTCATGAGTCAAACACTTGAATGGAGGGAGGTACTTTCCACTTGCATCCTTCCTCAAATAAACAGGATCAAGAATAAATGCTGCAGACCATGCCGGGTGGTAGCTCTTCTTGAACCTCTTTTCAACTATTTTTTCAACTTGGCCATAAGTTACATCGAATCTAGCACACCAATCCCTCAGTTTCACTTTCACTTCCTCCCAAAGTGGGAGGCATTGTCCGACGAGTGGTTTTTCAGCCTCGATCTCTTGAACCATCCCTCTGACAAGCTTCACCAGTGAATAAACCGCTTCTAATTCATTCCAAAACCGTTCACTTTGAATCATCCCAGCAATTTCCCTAGCAACGGCATCCTCTACGAGCAATGCCTTGTACGATTCATCTAAGAAAACCATCTGGAGAACACGGGCACATGTTAGAATGTCCTCTAACATCACAGAAACAGCCACGGAATCCTTCTGACAATCACACTTGCTTGAAGGAACTCGTAGCAACCCGGAATAATCAAGTTCCTGCATCCTGTACTTTTGGAACCTACTCCTAACTTGAGATTGATTGTTTACAAAAATGGCAACCTTCAAGCAGTTTTCAGTGACAGACCTGAAAAGTTGAAGGTCCTTGGCAAAATCCTTGATCAGACTGGCAAACTCCTGAACCTGACAAGAGAGGTTCACCATCCATGGATATTGAATCTCCAAATTTCTCAATGCCTTGGCTTTATACCTATCTGCAACTATTCCTGTGCATCTCTGCAACCCACTGCCGCAGGTTTCTTGCACCGCTTCCCACATAATCTCTTCAGCATACTTTGGTGAAACTGATCCCCCATTAAGAAATGTCTTCTGATACAAAGTCGTACCGTTTGGGAGATTGAGGCTAAACTTAACATAGTTTTCTTCCCCGTTACAGCAACTTTTGGTCTTCCACCCATTGCACGCAACCTGAAAGAACATAGCATCTTTAATTCTAGCTTCCGTTTCAGCCTTGGCCTTCAGAAACTTGTCGTCAAGCCTGGGCCCACACAGGTCTTTCCCTGACAAAAGGGGCAAGCCAACTTGATGGAGAAATGCCCGAAACTTCGGATGCTCGATGCTTGAAACCGAAACTGACCCGCAAACCTCGTAGAACCAGCTGGTCAACAATTCAAGAGCAGAATCAATCTGTTCTTTACTCAACGAAGAAAAAGACGACGACTTGGGACTTTTCAGCTTCTTAACGCTATCTTCCAACATTGCCAGCGGACCCAAATCATCTTTCCCGCCGGATAAAACCAATTGCTGCTTCGGCTGGCTCAACCCCACATTCGAATAACCGCCACCATCGTCGCCGTACCGAGTGGAGTCTACCAAAGCAACGGAATTCAGCGGAGTCGCCAAAAGAGAGGGGCGCTTCCGATGATTATGCGTTGATGAAGGAGAAGGCAACGACGATATGGGCTGAGGCGAAACCGGAACCGCGGCGGGATTAGGTCTCAGGAACGAGGCGAAATTCGGGCAAGTGCCTCGCTTGAGATGCTCGGAGGCGGTCCTAGAAGGGTTGGAAGCAGAGAAAAAGGAGTCGCAGAGCGAGCACTTGAGCTTGACTGCTCTAGGGAGATTGGTGTCTAGGTTTCTTATCAAAACCGGCTCCAAATGAGCCCAATACCACGCCCCTTTCCCCTTTACCGCCTTGCTCCGAATCCCAACCAAGCCTTCGTACCTTCTGCTCGCAGCTTTCGCCGCCGCGTCCTCGGGTAGCGACGAGGAAGGGTCAGTGGGCGTTGAACTCGTGGACGCCATAAATAGAAAATGGGTAGTGGGATTTGTAGCGGTAGTAGTAGTAGTGGAGGCTGCGTTTGGCCGCCACAAGTCCAATTCACTTGCAGCAGGCATTTAATGGTAGCAGCCCATCAAGTCGAACTACTGCTCTCGACCAAACGCAAACACCCACCCTCTCCCCCGCAATCGGGCATCAGGCGGCGAGAGATGACAAGAAGGAATCCATGGCGGAGAGAAAAAAGGAGAGGGTAGAAGGTGGGGAAAGGGAAAGGGAAGTGGTACGAGAGTGTGAACTTAGTAGAGCTGGAGTTTTTGTACCGTGCAGACGAAATGTTTGCGGAAATGTCAAGCTGAAAAAAAGAAAATGTTTGTGGAGGGAGGGGACTGGGGAGCCGACGAGAGGACGGCAGCTTTGGTATAAATGTAACGACGTAAGGTTAAGGAATGGGGGAAAGGGCCCGACCCGACCCACCATAGAGACGGAGAGAGACACTCGAAGAGAAGAGAAATGGAGAGTCGAGAGGGAAGAAGAAAAAGGCTTGCAAGTTGCAACAATGATCGCCAGACTAGAGACAGAGACAGCTGCCGGGAGTAGGGATGGCAAAAGTATTGGTCGGGTCGGGTCGGGTCGGGTCGGGTCAGGTCGGGCGGAGTGCATATCCGTTACCCTACTCAAAATAGTTCGGATTTATCCGTATAAAAATGGGTAGAAAATTAAAACTATACTCATACTCGTTCGGGTTTTGGATATCCACTGTTATTCATGGATAGTAATTTCTCTTTATAATTCCAACTAATATATTAACATTCACACATATATTCACATTATACAAATGAAACATACGACAATAAATCACTAGAATGAAGAAAATTAGTTAAAACAATACAATTTCATGAAAATATTATATTTGTATGCTAAATATAAAATATGTTCATGAAAAATAATGTTTATTTCTAGACAAAATACATATGCATATGTATAATCAGGTGGGTTCGGGTTGGATAGTAAGAAAACCATGTCCACCCATTACCCGCAATATTCGGGTTCGCGTTTTACCCGTACCCACTAAAAGTTATTCGGATTCGAGTTTTACCCTACCCAATTAAGTCAGATTCGAATGGATATTCACGGTTACGAATATTTTTGTCATCCGGGAGAAACGTTTTTCCCCCTTCTTTTTCTAGTGCCCTTTTCTCACCGTTTTTCTATTTTGGAGATTGTTTACTTGTGCATTGGCTTTTTATCATTATTTTATTTATTTATTTATTGGAAACTTGTATCTCATAGGGGTGAACAAACACACTCGTAAACCGACCCAACCCACCCGTATTTATCACTAATACAAAGATTTTGGGTTGGGTGAGGGGTTTTCTTTTGTACAATCCGCCTCTTTTGGGTTGGGTTTGGATTACACAACCCATAGAACCCGACCCAACATGTGTTCCAACTATTGGAAGGAGTTCGTATCCAAAAAATATTTATGTCGTATATAGCCATACTTATGAGAAAATTAAAATATTTCGCCATGTTTTTCTCTCATAGTCTCCCTAATCTAATGCATTTTTCGGCTTAAAGTTTAGACATATATTTAATATAGCTATGATTCACGTAATCCTTTTCTTGTGTACAATTTTAATAGAATAACATATTATGGATGCATTCATTTATAAAAAATTTAGCTTATTTCAACAAATGTCGTGAAAAAAATAGACATATGTTGAAGTAAATCACATTTTATTAAAATTCAAACAACATTTGTGAATTTTGATACCTTTCACCTCGGTCTTTATTCGTTTTAAATTTTAATTAGTTATAAAATATTTTTATGGTGTAGAATAATTACATATTTTGTGTGGGTTTGGGTTGATTGTTTCCCAAACCGTAGTGCATGAGTCATGATATGTGTCGCTTCATTCGCCTTTCTCGGGATGTGTCTCCATGTATCATTTCCTAGTTGTGCCAACCTTTGTATTATAATCCTATAGAGGACTCTCATCTCGCTAAGGTGATGACCTAGTCTCCGAAGCTTCGGGACCAAAGTCATACAATGACCTATACGGAAGCTCTTCAACCTGAAACTGTAGCCATCCTTCACTGAGTATGTATGGTTCTTACTTTCACTCCAGACCTACACATCCACCTCACCATTCCTGCATGATGGTACCTAGGCTATTGCCTGGATCTATATCTGAGGGAAAGCAACGTTCAAGCAGAAGTCGGTTCATGTTTCGTCTCCTCAGCAATCAGCTCACGCACCATTGCCTCTATCTGAGTCCCATCGACAATGACGAAATGAAATGGGATGTTTGGAACCCTAGAGTCGTTCTTAATCCTCCAGCGCAATCCACTACAATATACTCTTGGACTGAAAGAAGACTTCAATGTATATAACTAGGTCGTCAAGTGTGTGTGATACTTTGCCCGTAGAATCCGAACAATTAAAGACTTTGTTTTTTGAAAAAATTTCATCACTGTTTTGAAAGTATGGTTATATTAAAAACCCTCTAACGCCCAGAAACCCATCCCCTTCTTCTTTTGGGCACGACAACTCCTCCCTCTTCACCCACTAGGTACGTCTTTAAGTGCCTCTCAGCCCGATCTGAAACTTGTGATCAGGCTATGAATTCCCTCTAGAATACCCTCCAGGATCCTAAACACTAACATCACGTAAGTAAATTGAGGTTGAGCAACTGACTTAATCAAAACTTATTGCGCCGCATCAGATTTGGTCATCTTCTTCCACCCTTAAAATTTCTATTGATATCTATTAGTAATCTCAGCAAAGAGCTTCTTTTTATCATCCCTACAAATGTGCCTAACCCCAAATATTTATCGTTTGTTGTATGAAGTTCATCACCAACATGGATTCGGGAGCATCACCTACAACAAATAACTCACCATAGTAGTTAGTTAACACTTGGAACAATTACTCATGTCCCACGTGCCACATTCATGCATCATCTTGTGGATTGCGGACTGAGTTTCTTATTTGGCATGATGAAACTTCGCAATGGTTCTAATATTGTTCCTCATTGTCCTCCAACTCGATCATCTTAGTTTCCAACTGCTTCTTTTGCTCAAGTACTATTATTGTCTGTTGCACACATTTCAACCTCTCATGGCCCGCCGAATACTTTATCGTTGCTCGAGAACCTTAGGAATGTATGGTGACTCCATTCATCGAGGCTACATTTCCAACCTCCATCTTAGACAACGTACTGCTCGCCCCAACATCCCTCTGCGCACACTCAATAACCTTCAGATACTCCTTGTGTTTTGCCCATAATGGTTCAAGCCAAAATCACCATACCCACATGAGTTCCTCATCCTCGTCGCCGAGTGTGTTGCATAGAATTGGCCTATGATCTTATCTGCACTTGTCCATATGGGTGACTAGTGCATGATTAAAGTTATCTGACTAGCTCTTTGAGATAACAAACTTATCCAAGCATTCTTCGATAACCTTCCTATTTGATGGTTGTTCTCTCATGTGAATTGATATCCCTAGAAGCCTATATCATGGAGTCCCCTATCAATCAAACATTCTGCCAACTCCCTTATTTCCCCATCATCAGCAATATTGCCACTACTCTTCTCTACCCTCGTTGATACCTGGTTAAAATCAGCACCACACAATCATGTGTCATCTCATTGTGAAGCTAACCAACTTAGCGCGCAACACCCATGTTTGAACTTTCTCATATCCTTCTGACCACTTATAAATCCCTGAAAATCACCATGTTCCCTTGCTTGCATCCTCTACCCGAGATTCAATATAATGAAGGGATTCGATATAATAGTCAAGTGGATTTCATTCGCTACCACAAACCCACCCCCTGCTCACCCTCCTCCAGAGTCTCCCTTCAAGTAACCTAGTCTAGTCCTTAACATGTCGTTTTCGTCATTTGTTTGTTTGGTTTCCTTAAAAAACACCTGAGGGGAAATAACTCCCATAAACGAATTTATAGATTTAACTGCACGTGTGTTTCACCAGCATGACAATCATAACTAACAATCCTCATTTAGAGCATTTCCGTTTTTTTTAGTTTTCTGTTTCAGGATATCCCCCGCCACCCTTTGAAGAATTACCACCGGTAACTGATTTGGTCATCTATGTGGCATGACGAGTGGTCCGAGCTTTGTCATGTTGCAGTTGTGGATCTATTTCCCTTTGTTGAGTTTGAGCAAAACTCATCCTTCTACCCTTCTTTTCCCTATTATTGATTCAAACCTCACTTTGAATATTCTTTCTGGATGGTTTTTCAACCTGTTGCTTACTCCCTTGATGTTGCTTCTCTAATTGTTTCTTACCACCATGTATCTAACCACCCTGTTTCTCCCTCTTATTCATCAACTCATTCACTTCCTTTGAGCTAGTGCTGATAAAGAATCCTGAGCTTTTTGAACGGTTACGTAAATTCCAAATTTAAGTTAGGGCAATAATAGTAAAATTAGGCTACATTTAGCCGTTTAGAAAATCAAAATCTCCCACATTCCACAGGAAAAAAGAAAGAAAGTGCATTCTTATCCACTAAATGGGCTAACATATTGTTTTGCTTGCCAACAAAATGAATCTCCAAACCCAGACAGAGGGCTAATAGCATGTGTATCTCATTATCGATAAATCTAGCAGTACAATCCCAAGTGACAATGCTATGTAGGGGTGTACATGGGTCGGGTGGTCCGGGTTTAGGCATTTTAATCACCCGACCCATGCACTACGGTTTGGGAAATATTAAACCCAAACCCACCCAAAAAAATCGAATCCCTACGGTTTGTTTCTAATTGGGTTGGGTCGGGTTGGCGATATTTTTAAGTATCAACCCAACCCAACACAAAATATGTAATTATTCTACATCATAAAAATATTTTATGACAAATTAAAAATTCAAACGAATAAACCGAGGTGAAAGGTATCAAAATTCACAAATATTGTTTGAATTTTAATAAAACTTGATTTACTTCAACTTATGTCTATTTTTTTCACGACATTTGTTGAAATAGGCTAAAAATGTTACAAATGAACGCATTCATAATATGATATTCTTTTAAAATTGTACACAAGAAAAAAAGTACGTGAATCATAGCTATATTAAATATATGTCTAAACTTTAAGTCGAAGAATGCATTAGATTAGTGAGACTTTAAGAGAAAAACATGGCGAAATATCTTAATTTTCTCATAAGTATGACTATATACGACATAAATAATTTTTTGGATACAAATTCATACCAATAATTGGAACACGGGTTGGGTCGGGTTCTACGGGTTGTGTAATCCAAAATCCAAACCCAACCCAAAAGAGGCGGGTTGTACAAAAGAAAACCCTCACCCAACCCAAAACCTTCGATTTAGCGATAAATACGGGTGGGTTGGGTCGTGTTGGACGGGTGGGTCGGTTTGCGGGTGTGTTTGTTCACCCCTAATGCTATGTACTTTGTCATTAATGACCTTAGCATCTCCCTTGGTCTCTACTTGTTGTATCCATGCGTCCACACACCATTGGATAACTTCTCTGAGCGCAATCAATTTCGCTATTGTTAGATTAACCATCCTTACAAACGACATTCCTTTTGCCATCAACATTG